AGGGTTATAGCTTATAAGAGGAGGGAAGCTTAAATAAAAGCTAGCCTTAGCTTTAACCTCTTTTATAATCTTAATATATAGGCTATAAGGGTAAAAGGCATTAAACCGTTTACCCTTATTAACCTATATAATAAAAAAGAGGTTAAAGGGGCCTTAGCTAGCTAAGGCTAGTAAGGGCCCCTTATAATAAAAAGGCTACTATTAATAGCCTAGCTCCTAAAGTAGCCCTTTCTATTAGTAAGGGACTTTAACTTATACTACCCTTAGTAGAACCTATTTATAGAACCTTCTAAGGCTTATAAGGTAGAAGCCCTTATTAGCTAGCTCGACCGCTATAAGGCTTCCTTACTAATAGACCTTAAGGTAGCTATAGAAGGCACCTATTAAAGGAAAGGCTTAAAAGGGGCCTTAGTTATAGACCTTACTTTTTATAGCCCCTTTAAATAGTCAACCTAAGCTAACTTCCGCTTCTTAAAGGCTATAGGCTTAGATTATAAGCCTATAGCCTTTAAAGCTAGCTTAATAGGCCTTAATAAACCCCTACTAGCTAAGCCTACTACCTATAATTATAGGAAAGTAAACTAAAAGGTATTTTCGGAATACTTAGCTAAGAAGGAATAGGACCTCCTTAAATCTATAGAGAGGGCTATAAAAAGAGATAACTTAAAAGGGATAGCTTCCCTTTTAATAAGAACCCTTATAGAGGCCTCGAACGTAGCGATACCGAAAAAGAGGCCTTATAAGGGATCTAAGCCCTAGTAGACCGACGAGCTAACTTGCTTTCGGAAAGCCCTAAGCCTAGCCTAACGGGCTTATAGGCTAGCCTAGGATAAGGAGAGCTAAAGGAGCTTTATAGAGGCCCGAAATAGCTTTAAGTATACTATTAAAGCTATTAAAAAGTAATACTAAGAGAGTTTTTTAATAAAAGTAGTAGGAAAGGATATCTTTATAGCCTTTTCCTATACTAAGGCTAGAGCTAACCTTACCCTTCTTAGTATCTTATATATAAAAGAAAGGATAGAGGTAAAAGCTAATACCTTTACGGAAAAATACGAGGCCTTCTTAATAACCTTTTTCCCGACCCTAGACCCTAGCCCTAGCCCCCCCTCTTAGCTCCCCTTAGAGCCTAGAAAAAGAAGAGCCTCTAGGCTATATAGGTAGTAAGGGCACGGATAAGTAGGACTAGCTAGAGCTAAAGGACCCTAAGATTAAGAGGGCTATTTTTAGCTCTTTTAATAAGAAAGCCCTTAGCCTAGACTCCCTTAGCTTCCTCCCTATTTAATACGTATATAAAGCTATCCCTACGGTCTTTAATAGGGCCTATAAAGCTTTATTTAACTAAGGATACTACCTTAAGGTATAGAAGGAAGCTATAAGAATTATACTTCCTAAGTAAAATAAGCTAGACTATACTATCGTTAAGGCCTATAGGGTTATAAGTCTACTTAACTACTTAGGAAAGGTCCTCGAAAAGCTATACGCTACCTGGCTAAGCTATTTAGCTAATACGGCCGGGCTTCTAAACCCTACGTAGCTAAGGGGACGAAAATAGCGGTTAGCTATAAATATAGCCTTCCTCCTTCTATACTATATCTAAAAGAAGTAGGAGTTTAATAAGAAGGCTATTACTAGTACCCTCTTATTAGATATAAAGGGCGCCTTTAACTTTATATCGAAGGAATAGCTTATAAGGGTCCTAAGGGACTTAAACCTCCCTAAGGCCCTTATAAGCTAGGTAGACTACTTCCTTACTAAAAGGAAGATCTAGCTAGCCTTCGAAGGGTAAGTCTAGCCCCTTATAGACCTAGTAATAGGGGTGCTTTAAGGGTCTCCTATTAGCCCTATTTTATTCCTCTTATACGTAAGGGGGATACTAGCGGCTAAGGGATACTAGCTATCTTATATAGATAACTTTAGTATCTTTATAACGTCGACCTTAGCTAAGAAGAACGTTCGGTAGCTAGAAGTAATAGCTACTAACCTATTTAAATAAGCTAAAGACTAAGGAGTCTACTTTAACCCCTTAAAGATAGAACTTATCTACTTTAATAGGCAATAGCAGCCTATTTTAAAAGGTATAATAGTAGGAGGCTTATTTTTTAAGGCTAAGCCCTTAGTATAATAGCTAAGGGTCTTCTTTAATTCTAGGCTCCTATTTAAATAATATATCGAGAAGAAGTTAGCCTTTATATAAGCTGCCTTTAAAGGACTATCCCGCTTAACCTCTATATAAAAAGGCCTATTATTTAGAGCCTTTAAATAGCTCTACTAGGCTTATATAACCTCTATAGTAAACTATAGGGCCTAGCTTTAGTATAAGGGGCCTAAGATCCCTAAGAGCCTAATAAAGCCTTTTTAAAAGCTTTAAAACTAAGCTCTTTTAAAGGTCTTAGGGGCCTTTAAAGGATCCCCTATTAAGGCTTTAGAAGCTAAAGTAGCCCTACCGCTACTAGAGGTACGATTTAAAAGGGTATGCCTCTCTTACGCCCTCCGGACCCTATACTTCTTACCTAGTTACCCTATAAAGTAGGCTTACGACCTAGCTATATAGGACGACCTCGCCGACTTAAGCTTTAACCTAAGGGCCTTAAGCTATATTAGGCTATATACGTAGCTCTTCCGCCTCCTTAAAAGCCTAGTAGCTTTTATAGGACCTAATTATAACTTAGAAAAAAGGAAAGCTAGCTAGGAGCCCTTATAGGCCCTAGAGCCTAAGGCCTTTATTATAATAATAAAGGCCCTTAAGCCCTTAGCTAAGAAGTAGTACTAACGCCTCTTAGCTAGCCTAGCTAGCCTAAAAGACTTTAGGTTACGGCCCCTAGCTTTCTATACTAACGGCTTTAAGGGGTGCCCTAAGGGATCCCCTATAAAGACTAACGCTTACTCCTTCTACGAAATAGGCCTAGAAAATAGGCCTATTAAAGCGTACTATAAGAACCTAGGGCCCTCGATCGAAGTAGCTAACGTAGAGCTATTCGCGATACTAAGGGTCCTAAAGGACCTAGCTAGGAGGCCTCGGCCCCTAAGGCTTAGCCCCCTTAACCCCCTTATAGATACCTATATCTTTATAGATAGCTAAGCCGCTATAAGGAAGGTTATAGGTTTCTCGGACCTAGCTATACGTATTAAAAGGCTCCTATTTAGCTTAGAAGCCTTCTATAATATATAGCTATACTAGTGCCCTAGCTACCTAGGGATCTTTAGTAATAAGCTTACCGACTAGCTAGCTAAAAGAGGCTTAGGAGCCCCTACCTAAGGGACCCCCTTAGTCTCTATTAGCTACTTATAAAAAAAGGTCCGGTAAGCTACTAAGGACTATTAAAAGGGACTCTAGGCTACCGAGGCGGCTAAAGGCCCTAGGGCTAAGGGCCTAGGTAAATACTATACGTCTATTCGAAAGACCCCCCGCCTAGCCCTTAGCCTAGAAAAGGACCTTATAGGGAGGCCTAGGCTAACCCTCTCGGCCTTCTACTAGCTCCTCTTCGGGGCTAGCTTCTTATTTTCCTTCTTAAAAAGGACTAATAAGGTAGACCGATACGACTGCCGCTACGGCTAAGGAAGGTATACGGCTAGGCACCTTATCCTAAGGTGCCCGAACTATAAGAGGGAAAGAGAGGTCCTTTACTAGACCTCTAAGAGACGGGAGGGGGCCCTTAGCCTACCTATTCTCTATAGCTCTAAGGAAGGAAGGGAAGCCCTTCTAACCTTCTTAGCTAAAATAGAGATAGGGATAGCTAAGTAGCTCGAAAAGGAGTAACCTAGGGGCCCTAGGGCCCTTAGGGGGGAAAATCACCGCGCGGGAGGAACTAAACTAACCTTTCCTTTATCTTTACCTTTATAGCTACCCTTTCCCTAATTAGTTATAAGCCCCCGGGCTCTATAGCTAGCTAGGACTACTAATAGGGGCCTAGGCCCCTATTAGCCTCGCTATAGCCCTAGAGGCTATATACGAGTAATAATATAAAAAAAAAGTAGTTAGTTTTATATATATTATTAAGGCTAAGAACCTTAGGGAAATAGTTCTATATCTTAAGATACTATAGGTAGGTTTATAATACGCTTTAAATCTTATTTTTATTATATAGGTCGAATTTAATATAATATAGAAGATCGGCTACTTAAAGATACTATAAAAACGCTTATATTGCTATTATACTACTAAGAGCTTTAAAACGGATCTTTTAGTAATCGTTATAAATATCTTTAATATAGAAGAACGCTATACCATCCATTAAGTGTGTGCTAAGTCAGACTCTCTGCTAGGCGGCGACGGTCCGGTCGATATCCTGTTTGAGCAAGATTTGCAAAGCGTCTACAGCTACCTCACGCAGCTGGATCGAAAGGAATTTGTACAGCACATGGTTCACTCCAAACCCTGCATTCGAGTCCTCGAGATTGGAAGCAGACGAGGCGCACCTTTGTATCGCGAGAATCTGGACCAGATGAAGGGGGCCAATGGAGATGTCCTCTGCGCCAAATATACGCTGACGACCTCGGGCTACTTTGCCGCCGAAGCCCAGGAAAAGCTATGGCAAAGCATGGAGTTTGCAACCCTAGACATCACTCAAGACCCCTTGGAGCAGGGATTCGAGCAAGTCGGATATGATCTTATCATTGTCGTCAACGCTCTCAGCACAGCTCATGATTGTCAAGGCAGCCTAGCTAATGTCAAGAAGCTCCTTAGTCCTGATGGCACACTCCTTTTGCAAGAGTTGTGCCCGTCATCGAGATGGGTCGATTACGTGCTAGGTATCTTACCAGACTGTTGGCCGGCGAGCGGGCCGCTCAAGTCGCCCTACTTGTGTGAGGAAGAATTGGAATCACAGCTCGCTGATGCCGGGTTTTCTTCACCCGAAGCCGTGGTCCATGATGTCGAGGCGCCTCACCAAGTCACGATGACCATGGTCGTTAAGTCAACACGCGAGGTACCGGATAAAAAGGTCACAGTTCTCGTCGAAAGGGAGAGTTCGGCTGCCAAACACATTATAAGCCAGCTAAATATGGCCGGTTACGAGGTTACCAGGCGCGGCTTGAGCGATGCTCCACCGGCCGGTCAAGACGTGCTCTCTCTTCTCGACATTGAGGAGGCCTTTTTCCATGACGTCGAGGAGGCGCGCTTCTTAGCCTTTAGGGCTTTTCTTCTTCAACTGCAGCGAACTGGCGGTGGCATGCTCTGGGCAACTCACCTCGTCGATATCGGTTGTCGTGATCCTAGATACGCCCAGGTGCTCGGCCTCGCAAGAAGCGTCCGCACAGAGCAATCAATCGACTTGGCCACGTGCCAGGTCGACGAATTTGACAATGCCGAATCCATTCAACGTCTCCTACAGGTGCTAACCAAGTTCCGGTCGCGTCAAGGCGACGACGAAGTTGATCCAGACTTTGAATGGGCCATCTTCAACGGCCGCATCCAGGTCGCCCGCTTTCACCCCTTTTCCTTAAGCGATGAGCTGTCGTGCCAAGGGGAATCCAACGAGATGAGCACACTAAATGTCTTGACCCCTGGGCGCATCAGTAGTCTGTACTATGCGCGGCACGAACGCAAAGAACTTGAAAGCAATGAAGTCGAAGTCGAGGTCTACTCGGCCGGATTGAACTTTAGGGTCTGTGTCATCTCGTCCTTCTACGTATAATGTTAATCTTGGCGGCCGATGACCGTTTCACTGACACGGTCCAATCTAGGACATTCTCGTTGCGCTGGGCATAGTTGAGCTTCCGGTCCGTCTGTTCGGAATCGAAGCCGCCGGCACCGTAACCCGGGTGGGAGCCGGCGTCTGCCCAGATGACCTTCGAGTGGGCGATCGGGTGGTTTGCTTCTGCAGAAAAGACGCCTTTTCGACCTTTACGACTACTTTGGCAGATGTATGCATGCGAATCCCAGACACGCTCACGTTTGACCAGGCTGCAACGATGCTCATTCCATATTTTACTGCCATTCATGCCATGGTCAACGTCGGGCGTGTGACAAAGGGTCAGGTAAGCCCCTTGGCCGCTCGCAGCAATCGTCCGTCAATGGGTGTGCTGGCCCGTCCCGTTCACATAGAGTGTTCTGGTTCATAGCGCCTGCGGAGGCGTCGGTCTCGCTGCCATCCAAATCGCTCGGATGCTCGAGACGGACTTGTTCGTCACCGTTGGCAGCGAGGACAAGGTCGCGTATCTGATGGAGACGTACGACATGCCAAGAAATCGCATCTTCAATTCTCGCGATGCTTCATTCGTCGACGGCGTCATGCACGAAACAAACGGCCGCGGCATCGACTTCATCCTCAATTCGCTTTCGGGCGAGCTCTTGCACGCCACCTGGGGCTGCGTCGCCGAATTCGGGACAATACTTGAGATTGGCAAACGCGACCTGATGGGCAACGGCAAGCTTGACATGAAGCCGTTTTTGGCGAATCGTAGCTACTGCTGTATCGACATTGACGGGCTCTGGAAAAGGATTCACATTGCCCGAGCCTTGATATTCTCCATCCTTGAGTTCTATCAAAGGGGCTCCATCTCCCCGTTGCCCGTCAAGGTTTTCCCTGCCGCTCAAACCCAGGACGCCTTTCGATTCATGGAGAAGGGCCAGCACATCGGGCGTGTCGGAATTTCCATCAAGCCATCCGGAGACGCCGATGCGGGTTTCGACACGGGCAAGATGGCTCGCAAGATTTCCTTTAGCGAGTCTGCCGCGTATCTCATGGTCGGCGGTCTTGGTGGTATAGGCCGTGCCGTATCCGTCTGGATGGTTGAGCACGGCGCTCGAGAGATTGTGCACATGTCCCGGAGCGCTGGTCTTGACGGAAGCGCCGACTCTTTTGTCCACGAGCTCCAGAGCATGGGCTGCGCTGTCAAGCTCGTCAGCGGCGATGTCACCAAGCTTGCAGATGTCGAGAGAGCCATGGCTGCGGCAGACTCTCCCCTCAAAGGCATTGTCCAGATGTCAATGGTAGTCGCCAACGAGAACTTTGCAAGAATGAGCTACGACGAATGGACGGCATCTACAGCCCCCAAGGTTCGAGGGACATGGAATCTCCACAACGCCTCTTTGTCTGCCAAGACCGATCTCGACTTTTTCACCATGTTCAGCTCCGTGTCCGGCATTGTTGGGCAAGCGGGTCAAGCCAACTATGCCAGCGGGAACAGTTTTCTCGATGCTTTCGCCCAGTACCGCAATGACCTGGGCCTCCCAGCCTCTGGTGTCACAGGTCCCGGGGCCGGCTGACCGGTCATCCGGTAATCGGATTACCGCCCCGCCCCATGCAAAACCATGTCGTTTTCGAAGGCCCGGCCCTGCGGGGCTGGCGTTTTCTTAGTCGGATTACCGCCATCGGACGGCAAAATCGAAGGTCCACGCCCGCGGGGCCCTGCGCGAGACCTTCGATTTCGGTCTCGCTCACGCGCGTTGCGCTCCCCCTCCCCTCCTCCCCCCTCCCTCCTCCCCCTCCTCCATTGCCACCGTCGCGACGGCGACCGCCTGCACCATGTCGAACGCGATAGAGGATCCCCGGGTCAGGGCGGCCATTGAGCACTACCTGTTAGATCTGGAGAACACCCAGCCGAAGAATACGAAGCGAAATTATCGTCCCAAGCAGGAAGAATGGAAGGCAAGCCCGCATGCGCGCCCTGCAATCTTCATGTAGATCCATGCATTGACTGCCTCACAGGAGTGGTGTCAAGCCAACTGGCCTGCGATCCCGGACGTTTGGCCGGCCTCGGTACCACAGGGCCAACAGCTACCGGGAGACCTGGTCGATGAAGGAAAGCTCTTGCTCTTCATGAAGGAGGTAGTGGCATCACGTCCTCCAAAGAAAGGAAAGAGGGTCGCCGATGAAAGAAAACGACACCTCGAGGCTCAGGAAGCCAAGAGGGCCGTGAAAAGACGCAGAGCACCATCAGGTAACAGATGTTGATCACGGGATGTGGTCGTCGGACTGAGCCAGCCCATCATACTAACACCCAGCTTCCCCCAGCAGATACCATCGTTGTAGGCGGCGGAGGTAGCGAATACGAGTCAGACTCCGACTTGGAGTTGTATGAGTCCACGCTCAAACTACAGTATAATACTGTACGGGGCTACGTCTCGGCCATACAGAAGCTTTACGACGAGCAGAAGAGCCGGGAGTCAATCCTGCGGCCCGGCCACAGGAGTGGCACTGAAGGCGCTCAAACGCAGCATTCTTGCAACGACTTGGAGCCGGAAGAGGAAGGAATACATGGACAGGGAGTTGGAACTCTGAGAGATGTGTATGCGCCGGCGCAGATACCCGACCACACCAACGTGGCATGGTCCGAGAGGAAGAGATCGCCTGCGCCCTGAGGACGCAGGTGGACTTTCTGCTCGGGAACCACATGCTGCTGCGGTCCGGCAACCGCCTGCCGATGGAGTTGGCAGACTGCTTTCCCTGGACTTACCCAACGAGGGCTGCAAGGCCCAGGGGTATACCACGAAGGCGCTGGTTGTCGTGATGAACTGTGGGAAGACCAACCAGCACGGCCGCATGGAGTATGGATCTGCTCTGCGGCATCGAGATCCGCGGTCTTGTCTCATCGGCGCCCTCGCGTTCTGGCTTTTCTGGCGCTGGCACGTAGAAAAGGCGGAAAGGTTTCCCGTCTTCCAAAGAAGCGAAGACTGGTATGAAACGAAAGTGCTCCGCCGATCGGCGAAGGAGCCTCAAGGTAAGCGTGATGGCATTCACCGGAATCCCATAACTCAGAGGGGGCATCGACCTTTCACTCACCGAATATACAGCTCCGTTGTCGGGCCAGACTGCCCGAGAATGGACGTCCAGGTTCTACAAGAAGGCCGGCATCAAGGTCTCCAAGGTCAGCCATGCGCCTAGAGTGGCCGCGACGCAAAACGCCGACATGGCCGGAGTGGATGAAGGCCAGGCATGTCATCTGCCCTAGGCAAGCCGCCAACCCCCTGGCCTGGGCTGACCCGAACTATACAGATCCGTCGAGCCGGTCGTTGGAATAACGGAGACCAAATGACCGGCTGCTATCTGACTTCCCTGCCTTTCGAATTCATGAGGGCCGTGGCCGACTTTGACCCTGAATGGTCGGGGTCTTATTTCGTGCCCCGGGCCACCGTAAGGCCGCCTGTGGTGCTACTCGTGCAGGTCTGGCCTCAACTCGACAAATGGAAAGAGGCCCACAGTAGCCCTTTCTCAGATCTCGGGGTGGAGCAGAACATGGCCGCCGGCGCCTTCTTGGAACTCCTGGAGTGGCTTCGAGAGGTGCTCCTGCAGGACGCTGTCTTCCTTCGCGAGTCCTACCCCGACCATCCTATCTTCCAGGATCCGGTCTTCTCTTGCCCCGAGTTTGAAGCGTTCGCCAGCAAAGTTCAAGACACATGCACACGGGACCACGAAGACAGCCATACCACGGTCATTCAAAAAGCGATGCCGGTGGTTGCGGAGAAGCTGCGCACAGTACTGACTCAACAGGTCGCAGCCGAGCAGTTAGCTGAGCGAAGACATCTAGACCTTTTGGGGGCTTCTTACGAACTATGCACAAAGTTGGACGAGTTTGCGCAGGCGACCTACACCGTCACCTTCAGCCCCGGCCAAGGTGCTGCAGGTCAACATGCGGAGATCGCGGGAGCTCATCAACAGAGGCGCCGCGCTCCACGAGAGACGGTCCTCAGGTCCGAGATAGGCCCTTCGCAAGCGGGGGGTCCGACATACGCTCCGCTCTCTCTAGAGCAGCAGCAGGGAATGGTGCAAGCCGGCCAGGGACAGGCCCAGGGAAGAGCGCATGGCGAGCCGCCTGGGCCGCGCGAACCTCCGAGCTTCAAGCTCCCCCGTTCTGTCAAATCTGTACAGGAGCTGCTGCGTCTCTGGCGGCAGGGCTGGGGCGAAATACCTTCTGTGGATTCTCTTGAGCGAGACTGGGGTGCTCGATGGCGGCCATCTGCAGAGAAGAATTACTCTTCCACGCGCAAGATCATCGTCGATGAGGTTCGGAGGCGGGCCCAGTCGGACGGCTTAACTGAAGATATCGTGGCGAGGCAAATGGATGAAGAACGTGGTGGACCCAGCTCTTTGGATAAGTTGTTCAAGGCCATCCGAAAGGACAGGCAAGGCGAAAAAGGGACACAAACGTGCGTCGGGGCAATTCAACGTCGGTGGTAGCGAAAAGTCGATGGCGCAGTGATTTTGAACACCCGTCTGATAGAATGACCGAGGACCTTGGCGGCGAAAGTGCCCCCAGGCCGTCAGGGGGCCTGTAGACAGGGTATGCATCCGCTAAGCGTCGCTGTAGCTCCAGTGCGTCAAGGCTAGAAAATGCTTCAAATCACCGCAACCTCGCAACCGACAGGATGTAGGACCTTAGACAAAGTGCATTCTGATCGCACAAACGCAGGCTATCCAGTCGAACTGGTTTTCTCGTCGTCGGTCCCGGCTTTCGCGCTTTATGGCGCTCCGAAGATGACATCAACCCGGCAGAGGTGATGTCAAGGGCAAGCGGGTAATCGGCGGTAATCTGCGGGGTAATCCGCTGACCGCCCACCAAAGCCGGACCTGTGACATCCACTTGTTGTCGACATGGGTGCCGTCGAAGGCATCGGCTGGATCAGCGAGCACCAGGGAATGATGGGCAAGATGTCCCGAAGCGGTTTCAAGCCATTGGGTGCCATACCTATAGGCAGGTTCAGGAAATCGACGCCAAGAATATGTCTCATGCCCTCCACGGAAATATATCCGAAGGAACTAAGAGGCTCAAGCGGTGCCGGAAGGGGCAAAGCGCCTGTCGCCAACGCGAAACCAAGGCGCCGCCGTTGAGCCTCTCTTCAACTCTGCGTGTCTCAGAGCCGGCCGTGCCTGTGCAACGCCGAGTCCAAGGCTCTGTCGCGACGGGGAAGAGCGGTGACTGTACGTATCCCATGCCTTGGGGTGAGACGAATATTGGCCATGTATTCAGCCGTCGTGGCCAATCAAGGTGCCGCGCTTGGCGCCCTGTGTTCTCTGGCCGGACGGGAAAAGGGGGGGCGTGCTTGTGCTTGTGCTTGTGCTTGTGCAGTTGATGACTGTCAGCCATTGCCCGCGAGCCGGCCGCCAATTGGCTTCAACTCTTTGGTGCCGGGTCTCTGGGACTGGTCTTTGGAGCCCTTCTGTTGGGCCATGGATGGGCGTCGGCTGGTGGCCCGCTCTCGTCTTTTGCCTGCTGTCCGCTTCAGCCTCGATGCCCTCATGAGGGTTCCACCGATCAAGCATTTAGATGCGTATAGCATATAAGACTACGCTAGCTTTATCACTACGAAGCAACGACTCGAGAACGGCTACTGTAGGGGAGAGGGGTCTATGCTGAGACGAAGTATTTAGCACAAGTTCTACAGCTAGTAAACACAATATATATTTTTTAGTTATGTCGACCCTTTTATATACGGTCATATCTGCGGTAGTTTACTCGATCCCGTTAGATCTCGAAAAGTCAAGCCCGCAAGAGGCAGATTAGTAGTTGGGTCGGTGACGACCAGCGAACACCGGCTGCTGTATATATTTTTGCATTTTGCCCCTGTTTTATATTGATTATTGCGGGCAACTTATAGCAAGTACGATTGCGCCCGCATTCCTCTTTCCTTTCCTCCTTGTAGAACATTTGTATTCTCATCGCGGGCCTCCTCTGTATGCCACACTCGGACCAATCCTCTTGCATAAACCCATGCGAGCCTCGTCCTTATGCACCTCTCTCTGCTTAGCCCTCCGCGCCATGTGTTGCAGCCTCCCGTGATTTCGAAACTTGCTGGGCCTATCACCCGGCGGTAGGCCACCCCTCACAGTGCAGCATAAACGTTCTCACTGCCTTTTCAAGGCTGATGGGCTGCTCTTGGTACGGTTGCAAGTGTAGTAAAGCAAGTGACCGGTCCATGTTAGTTGGACTGGACTTACTTAGTACTCACTAGAATTGTAACTGATGTAATACCGTTACTCTTTTATCGGTCCATAAGACCATATCAGACAGTTGTGTCCCACACCATGCATCATAGCGGCAGTCGTGATAGCACAAGTCAATTCATCAGAATGTTCTAAAAGAATAAAAACAGGGCTTAGGGAGGCTGTCTTGGCCATTTAGCTGAGGCACAGGGCCGGGACACGTACACCTGGCCTTCGAGGTTGGATTTAGGGGGAGCTGGCAGGGAACCTACGCTTCCTATCACTGAAAATGCAGCTCCAATGGAGTTGAGTTTGTTTTGGACGTTCTCGTGCCCGCGGGTCTAGACCTATGATGGGTCTCAAATGTAAGCCAGTATATTACGATAAAGCCAGGATGAGCTTGTTGGTGGCTTTTAGGCCAACTGCTGGCTTCGTCTTCGTGATACTATTCATGACAGTGCCTCTGATATCACGGAGCCAACCGCGGAGGTATACAGCTTCGTCACCGACTTCTTCCTTCTGGTTCTAGAAGACTCGTCTTCTTGTGCCTCTCGTCTGCCGTATTCGTCCCCTACATCCCGAGTTTTAGCATCGTCATCAACAGAGCCAGCCAGCGATGGGTGGCAGACATGAAGCAATACAATGTGATGTTACATCAACACAAAAGCCACCTGTTGTTTCATATGGGCAGACATGATTGGATTATTCCGACTGACTATAATGCATGTCTTTGCTATGTTAGTCAGAAATCGAAAGTTCAATTGGCTGTAAGCTGCGCCGCTTACGAAGAGATGGGGAGACCAGATGCTGGTCGAGGCCTAATACACGGAAACCCTATGGCAGCCCGCTGAGATAAAGGCAAAAACGAGGCAAGATGTATGGCGGTACGACCCAGCTCCCAACTAATTAAGTGGCGGCTTATGGCGACTTAAGTCTTCTCTACTGTAGTCTCTGACCACGTCTCTTGCTTACCCATTTATTATCGTATGCCGAGATGAATTTTAAGATCCTTATTGCCGTTGCTTCTATCGCTGCGGCCGCGGTTACTGGTGAGTTGAACATGCCCTTGAGTCTTAAGCTGTACCTTTCAGCCAGCCAACTAACTAATGCAAGGGTGAGCGGGCCTCCAAAGATGACTCCGTGAAGCGCGGGATCAATGCCCCCCAGGCGTGCTACTGGGAGGGTGGTGCTCCTTTCTGCTCTGGCAGCTGCAACAGTGGATGGAGACAGGTCAGACGTGATAGATGTGGTGATGGGAGGTGTTGTTTGTCAGGCAGCAAGGCGTTCTGCTGCCAACCGTAACCAGAGACGCTATTGAGTAAACGCAGGCAAGGGCGTACGCAATGAGTCTTCTACAAGACCCTAGTGGAAGGCTAGATAAATCCAGTCGTTCAATTTCTCGAAAATATTGAATGGACGTCCTGTTATCCGCGCCGAAGTGATACAGGCCTTCTCCCACTCCCTCCGATATGGCGCATTGTGGTTTAAATGCATCTCTTCATGGTCAAGAAATCGGACTGCAAAGATGAGCAGAGAAAAGGGGGCCTAGCCTCCTGCGAAAACTTCTCAATGCCTACGCTCTGCAGACGGAGAATGTAGACTCTATTAATGGTGATGCCCTCAGAATTATCGAGGTATTTATTCTTTCAGTTCAATAGCCTCTACTTGGGGCCAAGAGTCAAGGTCTTGACCTCCACCTTGCCTGTTGTCTATTTATAAATGCAAGCTCTGTTGCTTCGTCCTGGAGCCGTGTTTCGCCTTGGCAGAAGAAAACTTCATTGTTTTATTTGATATATTTCAAAGGGTTATCTGTATAGAAGTTATTTTCTCTACCCTCAATTTTCAAGACTCTGCCCTCTTTATCCAAGCAAAATGTGTTCTCCAAACATTCCTCCTCAGTGTCTATCTATATTGGATCTAGCCAAAAAGAAACACCGTGACCTCTTTGACACCATATACATCTACATAAGCTAGCAAGCTGCTTCCACTATCTCTCAGCAAAGGTATAAGGAATCTTTGCAACGATTCTCATTTATACGAGCTCTCTCGATAACGACACCCCTTGACCCCAGCGACAGCTCTTCTGCTGAAATACCTTTCTTTCGAAGCCTTTTCTCAATATTAATAGTGAAAAGCTCGCCGTCTGATCGGATGATCTTAAAGCTAAGACCGCAGCGTTGCTTCATCCAGCAAAAAAAAATATCCCGTCACACAGCCCAGTTATGTTTCTCCTGGTAGATCTTTATGAAATAGGGGAAAATCATGCCAGAATAAGGCGTCAGTGGTAAACATGATGATAAGGAGCAGCCGCATCATACCTCGATGATCCCAACAATACGGCAGGAAATCTTACGATGAATGTGTCTTCGTTGTCCGCTCACGCGGGCTGTGGGAAAATGAATGAACGATATTGATGATAATGGCTCTCTAGCTATAGAAAGGAGTGGAAGGCTAGGTTTTATAAGGACATAAACTAGCAGTGATTGACACGATCATGAAACCTTCTCGAGACAACCGGTCGCTTCCAACAGTGTTCAATGCTACCAAGGCTTTGGTAAACCCGAAGCCCTAAGGAGTGTCGTGAAGGGGCGTCCTCAAGGAGGGAGTAAAACTAGAATCAAAACTCGGACGACCTGACCAACCAATGACCTAAATGCTGCACGACTTCCTTTGACGGTGCCGGACACTTTGAAAGATCTGACTCAAGTCTACAGCATGCGCAGCCGGCATGGTAGCGAAGGAGGCAAGCCACGAAAAACTAATCATGGCTTGAAGCAACTTCTCCACTGGACGGTGAACTTGACTGTCAGCTTGCCGCTAATATGGTCGACCTGTTGATACTTTAGCATCACCCCATTCTATATTCCTGGGAGAAAAGCAGTCAGGGCTTACAGCAATTAGCGCCGGCAGATGTGTTGGGCTAATGTTGCAAGCAGTGTTCATGTTCAGAATCGCTGTACTGCCGCCGCATGGCGACCAAGACAGGATGCCAGGGTGAGATTCAAGATCGAAATTACCGCTGTACTTTCCGCGCAGCCCAATGGAGTAGTCGACGTGCTCTCTGCCTTGGCCAGTAAAAGAGAATGTATTAGTGCACCGGCCGTTGGCGCCAGCAGGGATCTCGGCGAAGCCGATCATGTCTGTGTCGAGGATAGAGAATCTTAGACAAGGGTTAGTGATAAAGGTATAGATTGGATAGTGAGCTTGATGTGCGACTTACTGGAAGCCATCGTCAAACTCCATGTTCAAAGTCAGCTTGCAGTTCTTGCGCCAGTCGACAGCTCTGGTGCCTGGGCCAGTCTGGACTGTGTACTCCGAGAACGTGGCTTCGAAGAGAGAGCCGGTGGCGTCAACCTGCACATTGGCGGTGCCGGCTGGGCAGCCACTTCCGAGGAGGCTGATCCCGTGAATCTTGACCTTCTTGGGGGCCCGGCCGCCGGCTTGGGAAGCAGCGGCAGCGAGGCCGATGAAGGGGGCGAGGGCAGCTAGCCAGTGCATGTTGGAGCGGGTAGAATAATGGCAGGATGGGAAGTCGGTGCGATGTGACCGGTTTGCTATTTGGTTCGGGGTTTTTGAAGACTTTAAGGCGCTGGGTGATCATGAAGTTGACCTAGAGCGAGGTCGAGGATGGTCTCAATTTATAGAAAGAACATTTCTCCAGTGAGCGATATGGAGTCAAGAGCGCCTTTGCTCAGTAGCCCCAGCTTGTGCCTCAGCTTCTCTGCGGCTGAGTCGACGGACACCTCAAAAGAGCCTTAATTCGCTGACGTATCCCGAGGCCCTGAGTCCATCGCGGTCCGTTTCGGGTAGCACGGCAAGTTGGGTGTTCAGCGGACCATCCCAGTCACAGCTCACCGTCCTGGTCAGACTCCATGTCCATTCCGATCAAGTTGAGTATGATGATTCGTAGAGGCGGTCGTGACAGGGTGGGCTGGGAGATGACTATTGACGCCGATATCCAATGCATGTAGGTTAGCCTACAAGAGCGACAAAAGGAATTTCAATAGAAAGACAGTAAACTGCTGGATGAAAACCGAACATGGCGGGATCGGTGACCAGCTTTCGGCATTTAGTGTTTAAGTTAGCTACGCATGCTAGTTATTAATAGAAGTTGAACAACCCTGTTCCCCCGGCTTGAACAAACAATCTAAGGCCAAGGCCAGGAAAACTCCCGTATCAACTTAAGATCGGCTTTACCGCACCTACCACCCGCATCTTTGATTCATTTTGTTTAGCGAAGTTACTTTTGGTCGATGATGCCTCAAACCGAAATCTGATTTCCCAGCTGTTTGTTTTTCTTTACGCAGCAGCCTCATGCGTCTAGTGATATCTGTCTGCCACAGCCAAGAGCACCATATCACTCAGATTTCAAAGAGGGGTTCTGCTCTTTTCCTTGATCGATGATTCTGGATATCAAGGCCCGGGAAATCAATTCATTACTTGATATTCTTCTGCTCAATTAGCCCAGGGCCATCAGAGAATAAGCCACTCCAGTGTACGGCTGGAAGCGACATCAGCGTCCTCTCTTATGCTCTCAGCCATTTGGGCACGCAGCAAATGTGGTACTTTGAAATACGACACATAGCTTAGCGGCCAGAACTGGCCGATGGACATCACTCTGAACATTTACAAAGCAGAGTCTGCCAGCTGTGGAAGACCAGGCTAAAAGAGATACGCAGCTCTATATGAGGTCCGCCCAAATGGTCTTTATGCGTTGAATTCAGAGAGGAATAGGCATACGCAAGGCTTTTCGCACGCCTTTTCACAAGGCTCCTTGAGCCTTCGCAGGGCAGGCAGGTTGGAGGCCTCGCTTCTCATGGTGTATTCCCGTCACCCATGGAAGGCTCGTGAGATGGGACTGGACCTAGGCAAGAATCCCTCAGCTTTGACGCTTGTTTGTGTCTCCATCCATGTCATTAAACAAGAATAGGATGCAGTGGTTGCAACCCCAGCGCCTGCATCCCTGTCGCCACACCCAGCTTCGCCGTCCCGGCCCTGCCTGGGCCCGCCGAAGAGAAACTGGGTCGGAGCCTTGCGGCTGACAGACAAGTAAGTGATTGGCCAAAGTGTACTGGTGCGCCCGCCGGCCGAAAAGGCGTTGACGTGTAGGTGAATCCTTTGTGTCGGGCTAGAGGAACACGACTTCAGCTGGGCTTGGAGCCTGCCTTGACTGGCCCTCGTGCGCTCCGAGAGGCGAAGGAGGTGAGAAAGACAGAAACGAGATGGCATGATTCACATCAGACATGTCACCAGAGGCTACATGTATTAGCAAGCTGCAATGCACCATTAGTCTTCTGGCATCCAGTTGTAGCATTGGGGCCGGCGGGAACTCAACCATAATTGCCGGGGTCCTATAAACTTGAATCGATAATATGTGCCACAGCAAGGCCGTTATGCATGATGACCCAATGCGTGGAGACAATTGCGGATGAGGCTGGTAATGCATGTCAACGGCACGGCGACAGTAGTTCTGTTGTTTAAAGCCGCTTGAATCCCTGGGGTCGATTCGAGTCTAGAATCGATCAACATGTCAAACGGAAGTAGTATCGTGGCGATTTGATTTTGTTCGAGTTTGAATTCTTTCGGTACCATTGCCCGGCAAAGGGCATGGCAACAAGCAGGAGCGCGAGTGCTCTGTTGGAAACATGAACGGACTGTGTAAGTGATAATGCACTATCCGTAGATGCAACTGAGGGGAGAGCAGGTGAAGCGAGGCCGGGACTGGGAGGCGAGCATAGAGCGGGGCCAGCTTCTCTCTTTTCTTTGGTAAGTTACTGCTAAGGTTATCTATTGTTTGATGCCGGGGCGAAAAACACCCGTCAGAGGCTTGGCTTGGCCTTGAGTCATTGACACCGCCGTGCCGGGCGAGCTCAGCTTTCATCAACCTTGTAAACTAGGAGCATGGCCTCACGGCTCGACCCGCATAAAGGCTGGAGCCACAGCCGGGTTTGTCCCTAAAAATAGGTCGCTGACGAGCCGTCACAGCGTTGACAACGAGAGCCGAAGCAGGGATAGAAAGGTCATGAGCGATGCAGGGCTGACTGCAAGTCTTACTCGCGCCCGCCGGAGATATTAGTGCTCATCATTGGCATACGCCTCCGCTTTGGCTTTGTTCTCCCTATACATGTTTTGCTGTCACGTCATCACGAAGCCCAATCCGACGAGGAGCAGCTTTGATATTTAGCGGTGACGGCAATTCCCCTCCTTGGATTCATACCTATTGCAGCCAAGCACTACGGTACATACCCCTCAAGCCCCTGCGCTTCATTGTATGTATATTTCTCAAGCAGTGGCTGGAAAGCACAGTCGAAGGTATAGGGTGTCTCAAAGAGATAAATTTAGCAACACATCTCTATTAGGACCAGTAAATAACTAGCTGTCAGATCTGTACTGTACGGAGTAGAAGTCACAGGATCAGGCGCGTGCAGGGGTGACCGGCCACACTAAACTTATTTTTCGGCAAGCAGGATAGGCAGAGTGGTAAGCAGGTTAGTCGAGGCGTTGATATATGAGGTGACAATGGGCCGGCTACAGGCATCAAACGTAGGTCGACACGCATTTCTGTCATGGCTGCCTTCTGAGCTGTCGTCGAAGACCTCCGAGACGCTGTTCTGCTTGCCAAAGACAGTCGCAAAGATAATCATCCGCCGCTTGTCAGAGGCCAACTTGCATGTAGCAGGCCATGCTATGCAATCTATCTATGCCGAGGTACTCCAACTACGCATGCACATCCTCATGGTATGGCCTGCAGGTTCGTGACTGTTTCGTCGAGACAGCTTGCCTCATTTGCCACTCACAGGGGTTCTGGTCACTTCAGCTTTCCAAAAGCCGTGCTCAATTCCTTTGCATTTTGGACAAGCAGAATAGCAGGGATCCAGATCCAAAGGGAGTTAAGAAAGACATAACACCCCCAGAAATTGTATTTCTCCGGGAGTGAATAGGCCTGCTGATGCACGGCACTGTCAAACGTGCACGTTGCATAGTATAAAACGTCGCCGTATAGCTGGCCTAGGCTGACAATAGACTGGAGCGGATGCCACCAGGTGCAGTCGGTGACGATCCAGTAGGCGCATACAAAGGATAATGGTCCCCCAGAACATGGCTGCCATGGTCTCCATGCAGACGACAACGTTGTCGCGTACGAGATAGCGAGAATCGGACATGGAGTATTCCTTCCAAGCTTGTGAGAGGACGTCGGACAAGCTGCCAGTGCGATGTGCCTGTAGGGAAAAGTGACCTTGTATGGTTAATGACGATTGATGAGAAGAAACGGAATCTGAGTTCGTATTGTACCAACCTTCTAAGCCGAGATGGATACACCCGCAGAGGACTTGGACGCACGCGACGGGCCACGAGATTAGTGGGCAGTATAATGGCACTAATGGTTGTAGTGAAAATAGCTAGTATAGTATGCGTTGAGAGGTATTGGTAACGTAGCCGGGGATCACGGCCCCGACGGGATGATAGGGTTGCTTGGTATCTGCAACGGGCTTTGCACTGTCTATGAACTTCATTGGGTCCTGAGAACGTAGAAAATGTTTGAGTTTGATCTCCTCCTCATGGTCGGAGGACAAGGCCGCCTATAGGAAGTTGTCCGACCTGCCATCATCAACTCTCGAATTCGTGACATGGGGCTTGTCCGTCCCGCTCCAGGCCTCCGGTGTCTTGGAGAGGCTCGCTTCAGGAAGCCCTGGCGGGTTGAGTGAGATGCAGGTAAGCAATGGGCTCGTAAGCGGGCGTTGATTTCCGCCACCGGACCGAGAATCCGATATCCGGATCGGCTAAGAATTTGGAGTCTCAGGGCCCCTGCTCGATCTAATGCTACCCTAATGCAGCTACTACTACAGTACTAGCTGGGGACTTTGCGGAAAGTTGCGTTCAAGCTATGTCCTGTTCTCAGGGTGTCGAGGATGAAAATAGGTCCGGTGTCTCATATGAAACTAGGCCATCTAAGCTCTCTGAACCATAGCCTCATGCAACCCATGTTGCTATTCGGCGACCGGTAAGCTAAGCGTAGCAAAGGGTCTACAAAGCTACCTTTGAGCGCTGACACTCTTAGAGTTAGTGGCGCGGCTACTATCTTCTATCAGGAAACGAAAAATATCTATGCCTCTTTCACGGGTCATCTGCTCTGGTAAGGAGCTTGCTTTCATCGCCATGCATGGGGGGTTCCACAATCTACGATGCCAAGGCGGATTTTTCTACAATGGTGCTTGCCACCTTTCCCTCAGCTTTGGCGGGCTCGCTTCAGCTTATCAGCATCGTTGGGAGAAGTCGAAGATGGTCCGACGGAATCGAGCTCGTCCTGAGTGGGCCCCAAGTCCATTCTGAATAGAACCATAGACTAGAAAAAGCTTAAAAGATATAGTAAGACTCTCAGAGATCGAAACGAAGAAGACTGTCGGTCTAGACTCACCCCATTCCGCCATTGCGGCTTCGCAATGATAGGTAAGAACCCAGTAGTATTATCTACTCCGTTTCTCGGTGCTCCATGTCTGTCAACCACCTTGGACGATAGGAATCGACCATGGCAAGCCCTTTTCTGCGGTCAGCATTGCTGGCCTCCAGAGGAAAGTAAGAAACAAACTTCCTCAGCTTGCCTAAATTGACCCAGCAAAAAAATGGCCTTTCTAGTATGAACGATGTTCGACGCTTGTCCAGCGTCAATGTGCCATCTCATAGCCTCTTCGTAGTTCTATTCTTCTAGATTGCCAGAAGAGTCTCTTAGTACTAAGTCCCTGCACATAGAAATGGGCACCCCCCTGTTTTGGGCACCCAAGATGGGTGCCCAACCTAAACGGCTGCGTCAACTTCAACAGCAAATTTCACCGCGGAAACGCATCCAATCTGCTAAAAAATTGACGCATGTGTCTTCAAGCCACTACTGATGAAATATACAGAGTCTGACATTCACAGCGCCCTTGAGGCAATCGCCAATGGCGGATCCGCCAAGAAGGCTGCTCGCGATTGGGGCGTCCGAGGCAACTCTTTACAATCGCATGCATGGTCACGAATGCAGAAAGGATGCATTTTCTGCTCTTCAGAGGCTTTCTCAGACACAGGAAAAGCAACTTACCGAATGGATTCTCATTCAGGACGCCTTGGGCCTTCCTCCCACTCACTCGCAGATCAGGCAGTTCGCGCAGCGCATGCTCGCCGTCAAAGGAGACCACACACCGCTCGGAAAACACTGGATGCAAGCATTTTTAAGACGAAATCCTGCAGTTCGGACCCAGAAGTGCCATCACAGAGACTCTGCGCGTGTCAACGGCGCTTCTACCGAGGTAATTCGGCCTTGGTTCAACAATTTCTTCCTTCCCGAGATTCTGGCTATTAAGCCGGAGAACAGGTACAACATGGATGAAGCAGGCATCATGGAAGGACTTGGGGAGAATGGCCTGGTCGTTGGCAGTGCTGAAAAACGATCTGTACAAAAGAAGACGCCTGGTTCTCGGGTCTGGACGTCGTTCATCGAGTGCGTGTCCGCTGCCGGCACCTTCCTCCCTCCACTCGTCATTTTCAAGGGCAAATCGGTCCAGCAACAGTGGTTCCCAGAAGATCTCAGTACTTTTAGTGACTGGCAATTCACTGCGACAAAGAACGGCTGGACTTCGGACCAAACTGCGGTGGAGTGGCTCGAAAGGTGTTCATTCCAAGAACCCAGCCACCCGACCCTTCGGGCGAAGACTGCTAGTATTGGACGGCCACGGAAGTCACGAGACGGTTGACTTCATGTATCTATGCTACCAGCATCAGATTCACCTTCTTTTCTTACCTCCCATACCTCTCATGTGCTGCAACCGCTCGATTTGTCTGTCTTCTCGCTCTTAAGCACTACTACCGCAAACAGGTCGGATTTCTCAGCCTCCTGACCGATTCAAGCCCAGTCGGCAAGCAAAACTTTCTTTCCTGCTACCAGAAAGCACGCGAGCAAGCGCTCACTGTGTCAAACATCAAGGGTGGCTGGAAAGCGACGGGTTTGTGGCCGGTGTCGATGGCGAAGCCACTTTTGAGCCCTCTTCTGCTGGAGAACAGCAACAGACGCAAAAGAACGCGAAAAATGTGGCCAATGCATTCAATAGCCACTTACCCACCAGTGACTGGCAATCAGACACATCCCAGATTGCGTGGTCGACCCGAGGCGCTCGCAAGATCTGAAGGTTCAGGTAGTTCAATTCAACCAGCTAGACGACGACGTGCCCACGAAGAGATTGCTGTTCAGGAAGATCACAAAAGGGTTTGACGAGAAGGATGGCCTTTTAGCAAAAGCTCAATTGCAGATTCAGGCACTGGAAACACAATTGGCGGCCGTCAAGCCGAAAAAAAGGAAGAGGGTGGTCACGAGCCCGAATTCGAGGTTCGCCAATATTGAGGCAATACGACGGGCGCAGGAGGAGGTGAACGCAGCTGAGAATGAAGAATCTGATGAAACCGAAGCTGAGGTTTCAGAAATAGGTGACGATTGTATCGTAGTGCACGGTGGTGGGCAGTGAGAAGGGATTGAATTAATGGTGTTGAAAATGGTCGTGATTTTTTTGGGGTGCCCAAAACAGGGGGGTGCCCATTTCTATGTGCAGGGACTTATACTGACTAAGTTAGGAAACCTCTTGAAGGTTTATCGCCATGGACCAAAACCAAATCGGTTAGGTAAGTGAGAGTTCAAATACAGATCGGTAGACTTGCAGGAAACACGAAAGACTGTCCGTTGCATAGTTTACGCAGCCAACTGTATGAATCCTTCCTACAATCGTCACCGACCTGTATTTTCCCAACGGTAAGAAGTCTATACGTAGCCGTATTAGCCAGATCAACCTATATCTATTTGTCTGCTCTGTCTAACAGATACCCTGCGGTAGGATTATCAGCTCTTTTGCCTATTGTATAAAAGTCACCATCTAAGTTTCTGTCGAGACTGCTCGTGATTCAAATCAGCCTCATGTCATGAAAACTGCCTTGACGGCGGCGAATCGACATTGATCCGTAGAGCAAATTGGTCGACTAAGAGACATGAGGTTCCCCAAGTCACACAAGTACAGACAGGACAAAGCGGTGGGAAAGTACATCTTGGTCGCCGAATTCACTGCCGCTTGCAGCTCTGGAGCTCTGGATTTGCTGGCGGCCATGGTTGAGTCGAGCCATCTCGTCCGACGGGACCCTGACGACTTGAGTCGAGGGCTGTGCGCCACCAAGGAACATGCTGGACCTGTCGAGCTTCTGTTCAATTACGAACCGCTCTCACACAGCCTGAATGCCACAGAGGATCTACTGATCGGTACAGCTGCAAGGGTGCCGCGATGATAGCAGGCTTTCATCCAGCGAATCTCGACCACAATCGCTAGACAGACTTCAAATGTCGTTCCCCGGCACGTCGACAAATGCGGAAAGATTTTGGGCCTCTTCCTAGAGAACGGTGCCAGTTTGGAGGATGAGCTCATAGTCTTGGGCTCCTCGCCGCACGTGGCATGTCTCATTGGCAGCAAAACCATCCTGCAGCAAGTCGTCGATGAAAGGGCGGGCGCCGACGAGATTAGTGAATATTTTGGGCAGGCCATGTTCGGCGCCCTGGTGGGGGGACAAGCCGATATTGTGACTCACGAACAAGGGTTAGAGAGCGCATGTGAAAGTGATCAGGGGCATATAATTGATGTGACAATGATGCATGCCCTCTTCTAGCTACGTGAGACCCAAGGGGGTATTTATTCGTATAGATGCCTCTTCTAGACCCTGATATAGCTGCTAATAGAGTATTACTATTACTATTTGCCCAAGACCAACTCTCTATTCGGCCAACACCAGCTAAAAGGCGGGGTACCGTAATATCATCCTCTAATATCTTATATATACTATCTTTTACCTTTTCCTTAATAGTAAATACTAAAAAAAGGTCTAGATAGCTCTAACTACGAAATAGCATACTCGAGCGCCGAATAGATATTTATTCTAAGCGTGGATCATATAGCGCGGCATCTGATGCTTGGGGTCAATCGAGTCAGTCGAGTCAAGGTCGAGGTGAACTTTGGAAACGAGTTCTCAAAAGACTATTTCGCTCGCTAGGGAAGATGGAATGTCAGTCAAAGTATCGCAACAGGGGGGCCGAGAGTCGCCGCGTCGGCAGCGGCGGCCGCGGTTGGGGACGGCCACAAGTGACAAGGCCCTTCAAGCGACAGGTTTGGCAGAGAGTTGCAGCAGTCTCGCCCTCCTCGACATCCTCTGTCGCGCTTACGGAATTCGCAGCAAATATGGGACTTTTGGGCCTTGGTGTTTCCGTCTGCAGCTCGTCGGCGGCGGATGCCCGGGATAACCCTGCTGTCAACGGCCGCACTAATACGAGTCAGCCATCGTGCCATAACCCCCTCGAAAAGGTATGTTAGAACCGTCGTTTCCCCTCAATTCCTTCCAATTCGCCTCCCCATCCATCATCTGCAACCGTCATCGACATCTCCAACGCAACCAACTTCCCGAACCCGCAACCATGCCGTCCTACGAGTACAAGAGCTCCGGCACCAACAGCCAGGTTTGATCCCCTCGCCTCGTCTCTCGACGCAATACTGATGCGGAACAGGGCAACCATTACTGCTCTCGCGACTACGGCAGCGGCGCCTCCAACAGCAACTCCTATCACTACTCCAACTCGTACGTCCACCCCTGCTTCAATCCCCCACGAACTCGTTCCCGTCCATCGACTAACGCTCCGGCGGAAACATAGCAACGGTTCATACTACTACTCCAACCCCAGTGGAAGCACCTACTACAACGACGGCCAAGGTGGCTCCGTCTACAAGTCTTCCGGCGGTGGCAGTGGCAGTGGCAGCGGCAGCGGCGGAAGCAAGAGCTCCAAGGGCGGCAAATAACCTGTGCCAACGGGACCCCATCACACCTTGGCCGGCAGAGGCCTTTTCTGATGGTTTCACGGCAGATACAAATTTAGTACCGTACCCATTGCCACATTTCATCGTCTCCCGACTTCATCGTCCCCTGCCCAAATCCCAGGAAACCCTCAATGGTACCTTGCCACTCCCAGTCAAGTAGATTTTCCTACAATAAACATCCTCCATCTCTCCCCCGAAGTCAATGACCGTAGACGGCGGCAATCTTGCACGCGCCACCGCGTCTAGGCGCCATGGACAGAGTAATACACCGCCAAGACCGTTATCAGGACCGGGTACACCACCGCCTCGACAAGCAACTGCTGCTTCAGGATCGCTCGCTGTTCCCGAGTGAGTGAGTTGATTTCGCCGTGCGAATACCACGAGATTGTCGAATCGAATCGCCCGCAAAGGGCCACAAGGCCGATCAGGGGAAAGAATATAGTCACAGTCATGATGCCGAGAAACAGGAATCTCGGCTGCTTGTCTTCGTCCGCCGAGAGGCCTCGCCGGTAGAGCATATCTTCTCTGGCAGACTCGATGAGATCCGCCTCGGAACGCGTGAATAGCTCCAAGCTTTCCTGCCCATGTTTCGCACGTCTTTGTCTCGTGCTCGACGAGAAACCGCCAAGTCCGAGAGCCCGGGTGTCAAAAACCGACGCTCGTCCGCGAAAACCGTTCTCGCATCGAGAGTCGCCTGATTGCTGACGGGACCCCGTCAACTCGGAGCGGCGCAGGACCGACGAGAAATGCGGCGGCGTGTCCAAGGTGTCCAGGCTCACTATAATCCATTAGCTCGGAGGAACATTGTCTGTGTGCGAATAGCGACGTACAGTTAGGATGCCTTCGTTGGCAACGACGTTGATACGCTGCAGAAGGCCTCGCAGTACCTGCAGAGATGCCCATGGGAAGGTCGCCAAAGGCAGAAAGCGGCGTCGCAGGGCCAAGGAGGGAAGACATGGTGCTGATGGTCCCAGACCTCGCCGATCGTGCCTTGGCGGCGAAGGAGCCCGCGGGGTCTGTGTGGTCCTCCTCCCCTCGCTCTCGGCGGAAATATTGTAGCATTGCTGCTTCGGGAAGGCTGATGAGAGGAAACGGCAGTGGTGGAACGTCACTCAGAAACCTCTCCTGCAGTACATGGCCATCGTGGCCACTGCCATACACCTGTCTGATACTTGGTCCACTCTGCCGTTCGTCGAAAGTGCCCACGGGGAGATTTGGATAATCCCATTCGCAGTCCTGTCGGACACGGGACCGTTCAGCAACATGTTCCCTGCCATGCCGAAGAGGAGCTCTGGGCTGCACGGGCTCCGAGTCCAAACTCTCGTAGCTGCTACAAAATTCCTTCATTTCGAAGAGTGCGATCGGCTTCTCCCGTTTCGGAGTTACATGATCCTGACGAAACGGGTTCGAGAAGTGACGAATCGCGTCGGCGGCACGAGCAGGTAGCTGAGGCACCTTGGAAGCCCGAGCTGGATCGCCAGATTTGATGGCCGTCTTGATCCGCGGTTCATCAGGCTTGTTGCGCTTCATCAACTTACTGAGGCCGAATCCATCCGCCTTGGACTTGTCGAGACTCCGCGAGTTGTCTAAGATTGTGTTTGTAGTCATGCGCTCTTCTGCGTCCATGTCCTCGGAAGCGTCCGACACATCAGCAAGGCTGCTGCCAGACTCCTTGGCAAAGTTGAGCTCAATCTCTCGAATCGGCTCATGCTGGCGTTCCGTCGTGATTGTCTGCCAGTCTGTGTCGACGTCTTGCTTTGTGCGCCCAGGAGTGGACATGTTTGCTTCTTCATCAAGAAAAGCAGGGGGATTGGCGACAGGAGCCTGAAGGGCGCCGTCTCGGATTACTGGAACCTTGACCGCATTGTCGACTTTCTAAGTCGACTGAATGGCGGCGTGGTTGTAAAAGGTCGCGTCGCGGATGATTCTCACCCCCTCCGGATCGAGGTCGACTGACCTGGGTGACTGGGTGATGATTGCTTGCGAGTCAGTGCCCATCCTTGAGGGATCAAGGACTTTGCTGACCTCTGGTTCGCCGGGCGGCTTGAGGAAGATGGAATAAAGCCCCCCGTCGTACTTGAATCGCTCCATACTCACACTACTTGAAGTCTTTGAACAGCTTCTCATGAGCTCACCGGGCGCAATCCTGTGGATTTCCAAGGTAACCGGGCGTTGTCGAACCGGATTCTGCTCCCGAGTGTGGCAATTGGGTCGGTCCAGGGACGCGTGGACAGTCCATTCATCTTTGCCCCCATCGCTATAAATGCTTGAACAAGTATGCAGTGAGTCCTCGAGGGCTCTTGCATCAAAGCGCACTCTGCCGCGCGTGGGTCTCGGGGCCAGAGAATCCACGGGAATCAGAGGGGTGTTTGGTCGGTTGCGCAAGGCATCTGGACGAGACGAATGTTCGCGGGTATGTTGAGACTGGGCGATTGCGCAAGCGTCTTCGGGTCGTAGCTTGGGCAACGACTCCATTCCCGTTGAATAGTTACAGTCGTCGTCTCCAGCCACCGTCTCCCACTCGGACGCAGCCTTTTCCTCGTCATGCCTCCCGGACGGCATCTGGACGGCAAGGCTGGAGTGCTGGTGCTGGTGGTTGGCCAAGCGAGGTGAAAGCTCAAAGTCGAACCCAGAAAATGGCGTCGGAGATTCCAATTCGTGATCCTTGAATCGCTCCGGCGGCATGTCATGGCTTGAGGCTTCGAAAGGCCTCGGTTTGAGAACTGATCTGGGTCGAACAGAGCTACAGCTGCGACCCTTGTCCTCTGGGACGCGCTGATTCAGATCTCGCAGCAGCGAGGGCTGTTTGGCGACTGAGTGTTGCACGAGTGCATTACTCTGTCGGGAAACTCGGCGATCTCCCTCGAACATGGGCTCAGTGGTATAGCAGGAAACAAACAGACGGCGCTAGACGTCCAATGAAGGATTCCTTGGCGTGTACACGAGTCAGCCTTTGATGCATGGAAAAGAAGATAAGGGGGAATCGTCTCACTTGGTTATGATGTGGAAAGGGTTGTCCAAAACTAAGGTTGCGGGAGCGCGAGGGGCCCCCAAGCCAAAGCAGCGAGAGGGGAGAAGTGTGCCAGAGAAGAGGCGATGTTCCGGGTAAAGGCTAGATGATCGTTGATCATGTAGCCAGGTAGGCGAGGCTCGGGGAAGCGCTCGCGTTTGTTGAAATGATGGGCCGAGCGACGCGGTGAAGTGAATTGAAGAATGAGGGGGCACGGCGGAATTGCTGGAAGAAAGACGGTGGCGGGTAGGAACGAGGCAAGAGGAAGACGAACCAGAAGTCCGCCTCCCAATGGGATGATCAAGTGATGAGATGCGGTTGAATCCGTGTCTCCATGAAAAGCTCGGGTTGTTTTGGAAGAAGCGAGACGAGGATGAGAGGGTGAGGGGGCGATGTGTCGACTGTCGAGGCGCGGTACGGAGTACCTGGGTACCGTAACGTACCTTTGATTCCTGAGGCAGACAAACGGCCACTTTGATCATACTGCGAAGACTTTGAGGCCGAATTTCCCAGACCTAGTACCTCGAAGCACCGCGTCCTCATTTGGAGATTATTACCGGAGTCCTTTTGGGCGGGATGCTATTACCTACGGCTTATGCTGGGGAGCTCTATCTAAACTGTGAGGATTTATCCGTACAATCGATGCATGTCCAGTGCTAAATGCGAGTATCCATTCTACTAGTAGGTGAAGGCTTCTGTAACTCGAGAATGGATACCAGCCAAGATCAAGCAAGTCATAAGCTTCTGCGTGCAGCACCATCTAAGTTAAGCGGAGGAATAATAATTAAGGTTGGATCCTGATCGACATGGGCGATCCGGAAATGGCGCACGACAATGCAATTGATTCAGTGGCTAGCTCTGGGGACCAGGAGCGTGCCGGGCTCTGTAATCGCGCTCCAGACCCTCCTCCACGACCCCTGCCGGGTCGCCCGGGCCGCCTCTCCAGGCCGTCCGTCGCTACTAGTAAGTATGGGAAGGCATGGGAAAGGGGGCCGAAAGCAAGGACTGGGGGCCCTGGACAGAGCCAATGTAGCGGTACTGCGCATGCAGATATCTTTTCGAGGGTCCATGTACTCCTGCCCCTCCATCTACAATATTGTAGTGCCACGTCTGTAGTCATGGAAAAGTACCACCAAGCCCAGGATACCTGCTGTTGGGGCTGTAGGCAGACTGGCCATGTACACTGCCGCGATCCTACAGCCTGCTACCAGCGGGATCCGGATGCCAAAAGAAGTCGCATCCCTTCCAAGCCATGCTACTAACTTACCGTCAGCCTTTCCTCACACACGCCTCTCCTCTGACCTCTGGACAGCAGCGCATACTATATCTGTTCCGGTAGCCTCATCCTCTGACGCGAACCACAACGGCCCGGCGCCATCGTGCGCCATGGTCTCCCAAGGCCGAGTCCCGGGGTGGGACGAACTCCCAGACGAGATCCTGCTCCAGATCGTGCGCTGTAAGGCCGTCGTCTCGCCGCCCGCCCCGCTTCCTCTATCCCCCGCCCTCACCAGCAGCATCTGACGGTCCCGTCTTCGCCAAACATAGATCTCGAGCCCTGCCACATCACCAACCTGCAGCTCGTGTCGCGCAAGCTTCGCAAGTTCTGTCTCGACGACGGGCTCTGGAAGCGCCTCTGCCTCGGGGACTCGCCCTGGTACCGCTCGCTCCAGAGCCGCCGCGGTTTGTCTGGAGCTCCCCTCGAGTCCGCCGACGGCCCTCGCCATGCGACGCTGCTGCTGGATCCGGGCTCCGCGAACATCCATGAGTCGGCACCTCGCGGCAGAGCTTACCCAGAGCATGGCTCCCGATATCGTCGCTGGCAGGAGCTGCAGGACATGGCCAACTGGGATCCCACATACCCTGGCGAGCAGGTTTCGTGGTACGACGAGTACATGCAGCGCAATGGCCCCGTCTGCGTCAACTGGCTCCAAACTCCTCGAATACACAACGGAGAACGCGATGCCATGGCTGAGGCGCGCGGCTTAGCGCTGTACAGTCCCCGCGATGGGCTCGGCACCATGCTCGCAGTATCTCCCCTGGATGACGGATCGGTGTGCTTGTGGGACGTCAGAGGCACCCGGGGGAAGCGGGGGGGAATCGTCGCCAGAAGCAAGCTTGGCATGCTCACCCTCGACGGGCCGGGCAGCCAGAAGGGTCAAAGGTCTGCCAAGGTCGACACTGGGGTGATAGAGTGCGTCAGCGTCAACAACAGCGACCACCGGGCCCTTTTCGCCGTTAAGAGCCGTGAGTACACTCGGGAAGAAGCGGGGAATCAGAAGGCCACTGGCGCTGTTGCTAACCATCGATGCCAGATCTCGTCGAGGTCGACCTGCGCCGCTTGGACGTGGTGAGCCGAGAGTCGTTTGAGTGGTCCATCACAACCCTCTCGGCCGTCCATGAGGGCGTTCCTCTGACTGTGGGCACGTCGTTGGGAATCCACCTCCATGACTTTCGCGCCAGAGCCAGAGTACCTCACGAAGCGATAGAGCGCCTGGACGGGCCCCAAAGAGGCAATGCGGATGTCCTCAAAGCCATCTTCGACCCCAAGCCACTGCCACCATATGCAGCCCTCTCTCAGCCGACGCCCATCAGCATTCTTCACCTTCCGCGGCTGGGATCGCCGGATCTAGTATCGGACGATATTTACGTGGCTGGGCGGTTCACCAACATTCTGCATTACGACCGTCGGAAATTCCCATCCATTGCGGGGACCATCCACTCTGGAGCGCAGATCAAGAGCCTGGCAAGCCTGCCGTTCTCGTTCTCACCGCTGGATACGGAGCTGCGTCGGCGCGGAGAGCTCAGTGCGGAGCGCGTGACTCGGATGAAGTCGTCGAGCCAAGGACAGACTCTGATCGCTGGAGGCGGCTACAACACTAAGGGATCGCTTGAGATTTACGGGCTCAGCACGGCCACCGAGTCAGCAAGCCACGGGATGCTGCATAACTCGGCGATGAAGAACCGTCAGACTGCGGCGTCGGCAACGATCCTGTCGGTCATCAATCACGGGACCAAAATTGTCTTCTCGGACGGCGCAGGGCTTCTGAAGTGGTTTGAGAGGGATGGCTCGACCGAGTGCCGCCGGGTTAAGATCGGGCACAGCGACGCCGAGGAATTGGATTCGCTGTTCGCGTCGATGCCGGGCACGGACGACCTGGCGCGCAAGATGGTATCGACGCAGCCGAGAGAGGGCCAGGAACGGTCAAACGACGACAACATCTTGTTCTGGACGGGGGAGAAGCTGGGCATGGTGAGTTTTACGGCGGGACCGCTGTTCAAGGCCAAGGACTTTGAGGTGGCAGACAGCGAGGAGGCGACGGAAGACGCGGAAAGGAAGCGAGCGTACAAGGATCGGATGCGCAAGGCGCTGGCATGGCAAGCAGACGAGGTGCGATTCATGGGCACGCTGGGCATGGGCATGGGCATGGGCGCAGGGTAGCAGGCAGGCCTTTGGGTCGGAAGCCAAGGGCGAGGAAATGTGGATAGCGAGTCGACTTCTGAAAGTGCATGAAATGCTATATCTCTATTACTCTTGCCGCTGGCGTTCTCCCCCATTGGCCGAGAACAGGCAGGGTGAGGAGCTGAGCTGAGAGGGCGGGCGGCCCAGAGCGCCGCCGGCACGGGAGAAGCAGCAGCCAAGTCGGCGACGACGGAGAGTTGGCTGCGTACGGCGCAGGCATGGCTGGCATAATGGGCGTGGAGCAAACGCAAGTGGCGACCATGCATAAAGCACGCGGCTGGCAGAGGAGGAGAGGAAGAGGCATCAATCGGTCTCGTCCCACCCGCATTGTGAGGCTTTAGGCGCGTTACGTGTCGAGGACGAGGGGACCGGCATGAACTGGCAGCACGGGGACTAATCCAGGGCACATGCACATGCCGTGGGTGGATGACCGGCCTGGAGTGCAGGGCGAGGCGACGAGTGGGAGACGCAGCGGCGGGACCGCGGCTGGTGAGTTTGAAAGCCACAAGGCGCATTTGCATCGTGCTGCACAGTCGGCACCAAGATTGTGGCCCTATTCCGTGAAGCAAATTCCAGATGAGTGGTGGCCGAAGCAAGAGGCCTTCAAGGATCCACCCAAGGCCTCGGAAAGGCGGGGGACGACGGGACGAAGACGAGCGAGACGGTCTTGGACTTGATCCTGGGTGGACGATGGATGAGGGCCTCCCAGGAGGTCGTCGTCGAGGGAGGGAGGAAGAGGGCGGCAACGAGGACGGCAAGGGACGAGACGCAGGGGCTGGACATGGTTAGTTGGTCGGTGCATCTGTGAGCCACAGACAAGCAAGCTGCATGCAACGGCCGAGCATGTACAGTACAGATCGCAGGGTAAACGTGAGGCTCATCATGGGGAGATGGAACATGACAGGCCAGGGATGGCGATGGGGCAGTCGTATCGAGACCCAATGACTGTCGACTCTGCAGCAGCCCTCCTCGACAGCCAAAGCCAGAAGGGCAAGTCGACGCTCAATTGGAGAGAGAGAAAGCAAGAGACAAGCACGGCAATGAGAGACGCCACGCTCTCTTTGCCGTGTCCAGGCTGTCGGGAGACACGGCATCAACCCGTTCAGCTTACTTTGTCCGTACATACAAAGGACAAGCCTCGCATGCCCACGCCCACGCCCACGCCCACGACATCAACCAAGGTGTCATAAGCCCCGTGCCGTCCTCGCCCGGGACCGCTCGACAAATCAGGCCAGAGGGGCGACAGACAGCCGCGACTGGCGCGACTATCCTTGACGAGCGCTCGCTCTTCTTCCCCTTTCCCATACACACCACCTCCCCTCCTTACATACTTTGCCGTCCATCTTGCTCCCCCAGACCAAGCCAGGGCCCGTGCCCATGCCCATGCCCTTGCACATACCTGGGCCATGTGCCAATGAGTCCAGATTCTCGCAACGGCTCGGCAGTTGGCGGGGGTAGACCGCGTGCCGCTCGCCAGTAATAATGCCTGTCTATTTCCGCCCGGCCCCAGCGGAGCGCGGCGCAAGGGAAGCGGCTCGGCGCAGGCACGCTGATGCTGATGGCAATGCTGCTGAGCAGGCGGCGTCAGCGTACGCCTGACGAATAGAGTGCATGTAAGCGCGACGGCGAGCGAAACCGACGGGACAGTCGGCCCTGGACACTCCCATGAAGATGCCGCGCACGCACATTCATGCGTCGTCTACTGTTAACGCTGGCGCCGCCGCTGCCGTATGGAGTCGTCAGGGGGTGTTTTGCTGGAAGCAGGCAAGGTCAAAGCTCGAGGGCGAGGATGAGGCGGCAAGCTTGACGTGCAGCTCCGTCCATCCATGCTGACCTGCGGCCACGCACACCGCTAGGTTCGTCCAGTCGACGAGACAGCAAGGACATGGTGGGGAGACATGGCCGGCAGGCCGTCTTATGTACATGCTGCACCGGAGTGCGCTGGCGAGGCGAGGCGAACGAGGGAACCGCCAGAGCCAAACCAAGCCGCTGCTCGCCTCGCGCGTCTTGCCTCGTCCCCGGAGCGAGCCAAGGGCGGGCTATCGACGTCGACTTGTTGATGCGTCGACGGCGCTTCGTATCGTGCGTGACCTGGCATGATGTGGCTGGAGGAGGGGAGAAGACTTTTGATGCATCCACCAACAGCTGGTCGCTACCGAGGCGGCAGCAGGGTCGCCCCCTTCCGACAGAGTGGAAGCAGAGATTGCCGAAGAGGCTCTGGGCAGGCCAGCGCAGGAGTGAGGGCGGCTGGAACGCATCCATCCATGCTCGCACCCCCGTCCACGGTGCTGGCGAGTAACCGTATGTATCCGTACATGGCCGTGTGTCCTTGTTTGCTTGGTGACGGATTCGTCGAGGTGAACAAGTCGAGGATGAGGACAAAGACAAAAGCCGTCGAGGATTGAATGGCTGTGCGGCAGAGGATGGACCAAAAGATGTGTCTTGGGATGCAATTTTTCATCGTCCAGAATGTTGTTGCGGAACCGGTTTGTCCTCTGCTCAGGGCACTTGGGCTCGCAACCTATCTACCTAGGTACCTACTTAGGTACCTACCCAAGTAGATACTGTACTTGTCTGCGCAAGGGGGCTCTACCGGTAGCAAAGGTACCCAATACTCCTGTCTAGTACCCCCCTTAGGTAGCTTGTCTGTCGGGCCTGTACGGATACAGACATGGCTTTCATGCATCCACCCCCCAAGTCGCCCACGATGATCTGGCAGTTCACTTAGGCCCGTTGCGGAAGGGGTCACTCGTCCTGGGCCTTCCTCCTCTTCGCTTCGTTCTCCATGTCTCGTCACTCTTGATTTTTCTTTCTTTCTCTCTGCATACCTCGTTTTCGATCCTCCTTTTCCCCTCTCCCACTCACCCCGCCCGAATCCTTCTCTCCCTCCTCTCTCCAGCTGGCTGTTCTCGGCCCGTCAGGCGCGCACGTCCGTTGAACGTGGCTTGCTTCTCTCGCCGTTCCTGCGTTGCGCTGGCCTTGCATCTTGGCCGCCTCGACAGCTTAAACCAGCCGTCCACCCGCCTGCCGCACGCTCGTTTTCTCCCTCGCTCACTCGTTTACTTTTAACCTCTGGCCTTGTCTCCGTCACGGTTGTATTTGCACTCGTACACACGCCGCCTCCCCCGCCTCCCCTCCCCTCCCCCGGGCCAACCGGCAACCCCATTCTCGTCTGTCCGTTGTTTGCCTCGTTGATCTCACGAGCCGACGGGCAGCGGCACCGATCCCTCGACTTTAATCCCAACGGGAAAAAAAAGAAATTCGCTCGCCGGCTGTCTCTGGGCTCGAGCATGGTCAATGGCCTTTTGGGTGCTCGGAGGCGGTGGCAACTCGCTCCATGTGCCAGGCGACAATGACAGCTCACGGGCGATGCCGTGTTTTGGCAACGGCAAGCGGAAGATGGGCGGCGGTGCTCATGGCCAGGCCGAAGACGAGCGTGCCTCTTACGACTACGACATGCAGAAGAGGGCCAGGATGGCGCCGTGGGCCGGTCTCCCCCCCGGTGTCGGAGCCGACTCCGGTTACCTCCATCGCCGCGACTCGGTCCCCATCCGAGACCTAGCCTTCCTTGTCATCCGCGAGGGCCAAACTCCCATCTGCTCGTCGCCGTCTCCCTCTCCCGAGCCCCCTGCTGCCGCCATCGCCTCCCCTGTCCCCAGCCCCGGCCCCGCCAGCCACAATCATGCTCCCCCCGGCTTCGGCCACGGCCACGGCTCCGCCTCGGCGCCACCTTGCTTTCCCATGGAGCGCACCGAGTCGGGCCTCTCCATCTCGTCGGCGCCCTCGCCCCACAACGCCCTGTCCGCCCTCGTCGTCGACGACGACGACGACATCGCCACCGGCCTTGTCCTCTCCGACTTGGCGGCCGCCCGCCTCGTCCGCACCCATCTGGCCTCTTTTCGACGACGTTTCCCCGACTCGCAGCCCGAGCGCATCCTCCGTGCCCTCATTACCCCAAAGTCGCGCGGCGCCGACTTTCCTCTCGACAATGATGCCTTGGGCAGCATCTTCTCGGCCGCCAACGAACTCTTCTTCGCCAGCCGCCTGGCCCGCCGCGTCGCTTGGGATTGGAGCCACCCGGCCTGCGGCCAGTACGAGAGCCACATTGTCGGCACGACGGCCCTGCGGCGTTGCACTCGCCTTGGCGGCTGGGAGACGCTCATTGTGCTGTCGACGCCCATCCTGCGCGACACCAAGTACAACCGACGCTTGCTCATCTCAACCTTTTTGCACGAGATGATCCACAGCTTCATGTTCGTCACGTGCGGCCTCAAGGCGAGCCACGACGGCGGGCACACCGACGGCTTTCGCCAGATCGCAGCTGTCATTGACGAGTGGGCTGGCAAGGAGTACCTGAGGTTAAGCGACATGGAGGCCAACCTGGAACGATTTCGGGGAGACGACGTCTTTCTTCCGTCTCACAATGCCTTCCCTTTCCCTCCTACTCCTCTTTCAGACGAGGGAAACGGCGCCAGCACTCACATCAATCATTGCAATGGCCTCGACGACAACAATGTCATGGTCACGGAGCCACAGGAGTGGCCACACGCTCACCACAGGGGCCAGCACCACCATCATCGTGCCGTGGTGCCGCCATCCCCCTCGCACAGCGCCGGCGGCGTCTTTTCCGGCGGGTGGCAGTGGTACGAGCGAGAAGACTTTGGGGCTCGCAGCCCGCACGCATCGGGCTCACCATACGTTTACTGAATGGAATCAGCAGTCCAACGGAGCGCTCCTGGCGGCGGCGCTTATTTTGCATCCCACCTCTTGGCACTCCCCCCCCGTCTTCCTCAACTCCCCAGATGTGTCGTCTGTTCAGCTTTGTATGAGGAAGCGTGTGTGGCCTTGGGGAGGTTCAACAGCTGGCTGGAATGATAGGGCAGCATTGTGTGTTGGATGCGGGCTTAGGAAACGGGCGTTACGGAAGAGGACAGGGAATAGATAGTAAACAATGCATGGCTTCATAGAAAAGCCACTTGTTGGACACCATCTGCCAATGCAGCACCAGTGCCAGAGACTCCGTAAGACGGGGGAGCTTGGGCGTGGTCATACAATTTCAAGCGTCGACTCGCGTATAGGCATGCAAGGACAGGTGGTTTAGCCTCGGTGACGTCGGCCTTGGAAGCCAAGGCGGTTTAGTTTCGTGTCTCGTATTCAAATCAAGGTGCCCTCTATAGAACGACCAAAACGTGTACCCGACAGAGTGAAGCAATGCAAGTCTCCAAAACGCCGTTGGATGCTGTTCGTGTTTGTACCCCCCTGAGCACCGCAGAAGCAATGTCCTTGACACGCCTCGCTAGTTTTGTCGATGCAGATGCCGAACCCCAGCCCATGTCCACCCCCCTTCTTCCGTCACCGCAGGCGCGGCGACTCGCTACTTTGGTTGAATATCGGTTGCGTTGTAGGACACGCCCTGCTTATTCCTTCTGCTCAGCAAGGGGGCAGCGGCGTCGGCCTCGTCGTCCGAGACGTCCGGGACGGCGGGTGCGCTAGGCAAGACGCCGTCACTGCTGCCGTAGCGCAAGGATTCGGCGGCGGCGGCGTCGTCGGGGCACGGGTCGGCCGAGATGGTGGGGCCGTCGCCGTCGCGGATGAAGAAGCCGGGGACGGCGCCGGCGGCGGAGGCGAGGGCGAGGAAGAAGTAGGCCGAAACCATGTAGCCATGCCTGGCGCCCCAGGAGAAGGCGAGGCCGGTCGAGGCCGGGCCGATGGCGCGGGCGAAGCCGCTAAACGAGGTGCCGAGGCCGTTGACAGTGCCGAGGACGTGCGTCGAGGCGCACGAGTTTGTAAGGAGGATGGTGATGCAGGGAAATGCAACGATGGTGACGAAGCCCTTGATCATGAGGACAATGATGACGGCGGCGAGGCGGGTGCCCTCGGTAGGGAAGAGGGAGGTGTAAGGCGTGATCATGTAGACGAAGGGGATGACAACGGCTATCTCGACGTCAGCTAGGCATGCTTGGATGAGAAGGGAGAGGGGGGACGCACAGCAGACGTGCCAGCACCGCAAAACGCCGAAGCGCTTGACCAAGGACGGATAGAGGAGAAATTGGATGACGCCGCAGGTGATGCCGTAGATGGCGAAGATGGATCCGATCTTGCTAGACTCCAACCCGAATCCGCCGTTGAAGTAGAAGGGGAGCCGGGTGTTTTCGGGAGTGTGCTCCATGACGGGGTAGTTGAGGAAGACGGTCATGTTCTGGTCAAAGGCGACCGAGTGCAGCGACAATATCGTGTAGGTGCCGAGGTTGATGACCGTCTGGCGCGTGAGCGCCTCTCTCATGTTGGGCGACGTGCTCGGAGGCGCCGGCTTCTTGGGGGACTGGTCCGGCGTGGTGGCCTCGTCGTCGGCGCAGGATCCCGGGCCGAGGTGGGGGCGGGGCGGCTTCCGGCGCACGGCGCGGGTGAGGCGACTGCCGAGCACAAGGCCCCAGTCCCGCTGATCACGCTTGGCCGGCAGCGATTCCTGGTCATCTCCCCCCCTCCGGTTAGGCTCGGACGAACGGGAGGGGTTGCAAGGCATTCAGGCGGCAGGCACGTACCTTGAGGAAGAGAAAGGCGGTGGTGGCCGAGGTAAGGAAGAAGACGGTGGCGACGAGGTTGGGCAGGGCGTAGGGAAAGCGCTTGAAGAAGTCGATGTGGCCAAACAGGTCAGGATACTGGCGGGCGGGCTGTGCGAGGAAGCCGCCGAAGGCCGGGCCGAGGACGGCGCCGAGGGACCAGACGAGGGGCATGATGGAAAAGGCGCGGGGGCGCAGCTCCTTTTCGGGGACGATCTCGGCGACAATGGTTCTGATGATGGCGACTGCAAGGTTCATCGTCAGCCGCCGCCGTGCGGAAGAAGAAAAGAGAGTAAGAAGTCACCGTTTCCGTTGCCGGCACCCTGGATGGCGCGGGCGGCCATGGCCATGGGAAGGCTGGTGGAGACGCCCCAGACGAGGAAGCAGACCATGGTGCTCATGAGGCCACACAGGAGAATAGGCTTCCTGCCGTAGCGGTCCGAGGCGCGGCCCCAGGGCAGGGCGGCGAGGCCCTGGGAGACGGCGAAGATGGCCGTCGTCATGCCGGCCCACTTGGCGACTTCTTCCTGGGGGACGCCAAAGTCGCGAATCATCTCGGGCAGGTAGGGGTAGATGGAGGTGTAGGCCAGGGGCTCGGCGAGCCTGGCAACGACTGTTGGGCGGGTTCGTCAGCAGTTGTCGCCGTGCTGGGGGGAGACGGAGTGGGCAGCACAGTGGGCAGCACAGAGGTCCGAGGCCCTCTCAGCCGAGGTGGTCGGCCTGTAACCCGGGCGACGTGCACGGCATTGGTCTTACCGAGGATGGCGAGCTGCTGGACGGGCAGCTTGGGCCGTGGCCGTGACTGCGCGGCCTCAGTCATGGTGGACGCGGTCGCTGATCCCGGGGAGGAAAAGAAGAAGAAGACGGAGGAGGAGGTGGCGAGCCGGATACTCGCGCCACTCCGGGGAGTCGGAGGGCCGGGAGTCGCGTCGGACGGCGGCTGGACGCAGACGGGCAATTGGGGACGCGGGAGGAGGGGGACGCGGGAGGAGGAGGATGCGGTTGGAAAAGAAGCCCTTGACGATGATTACACTTGTAGCGAAGGGGGGGGGGCGAGAATGGAAGGAAAGGGGGGGGGGTTCTTCTTGCTCCGTACTTCGGCCCATCACCACCTAATAAGAGATCAGAGAAACCGCCCAATGCTGGTTAGTACAGCGGATGTCGGCAAAGGCGATGCGCTGCAGGGCCGCCGAGCCAATGATGGATGGCGGCCTATTTTAGCGCCGTACCGCATGACTCCAGAGATGTCTTGCCCTGTAGCAGCCGGTTCTTGGCCTGTAGCCCTGTACCACGGGGCGCTGGGAATAGGCCGGGCGGTGCAATGGGCCTCATGTACTATGTACTGGGCCGTTGCCGCTACAGCCGTTGTGAGCACTGTCCGAGTTCAGCGCGAGTCGTGGTCGAGAGATGCGGCTCGGGGGGGCAAGGATCCGCGTCTGGGCTGCGAGTCGACAGGTGCCGAGGACCCGCTCCACCTGATCATGCGACGGAAGTGTTCAACGGCACACGGGCCTCCGATTACCGACATCTGGATGTGGGGGCTTTCGGTCCTGGCCCCGGGCCAACCCCGGACGACACGGAGCCGGTCACCGTGCCGGGCTTTGCCGCGTACAGTACATAGCATGCCTTGGCCAGCAGCACCGTCATCGGCCTCCCGGTCTGCGGATCCTTGTCCCTTGTATGCGGGCGTGATGCTGGATCCATCATTCCACGGGCTTCAGGGTGGCGGAGGGAGATGCAGCTGCCAAATCCGAGGCATCTGCCCGCATTGCGCAGCTTCTCCAGCCGAGCCCTCTGTTCGCTCTCGCTCAATCTCGGCGGGCGAGTGTGTGTAAGTACTGATGCGCAGTACCTGTACCAGTACCTGTGCTGTAGGTGTGTGAGTGGGAGCACACATGTATCCCGAACTGAGTCGCTACCCGCCGTCGGGTGAAGCAAGACGCCGCCCGGAGAGGTACCCGGGAGTGGAGGGGTACCTTGACGGCAATACGGCAGCGGCATGGGGCAGACGGGTAGAAGCGGGCCCACTCGCCTCCGTGTCACATGATGGACGACTCGACGTAACCTCAACCCTGTTGCTCCCTTTGCTCCCTCGTCTCCTGCCTTTCATCACCCTCTTTCAATAAACACCGCTTTTTCCTCTGGAGCTTCAAGGCTCTTCGCTCCGTCGACTCCGGGCCATCGATACGAGCCATGATGAGCCGCCGCTCCGAAAGGACGCCCCTCCTCCAGACCGTCCGTGTCGGCCCTCACCGGAACCGCTATCCGCACAACACCCGCCGCCGCTTCTGCACCATCGCCTGCGCCTCGCTGCTCATCTGCGGCTTCGTTTCCTTCCTCACCCACGTCTTCTTCATCTGGCCTCATCACCATCATCACGCGCCCCATAGCCGCTATTCCCTCTCGGGACGCGGCGGCAACAAAGTCAGCCACGAAAGGCTCCGCGACATCCTGCTTGCCACTCCCTCGGCAGAGCACGCAAAGGAATGGAGTCGCTACTACACCTCGGGCCCGCACCTGGCTGGCAAGAACTATTCGCAGGCCGAGTGGACCATGAATAAGTGGCAGGGCTGGGGCATCCAGTCTAGCATCGTCCCCTACGACGTCTACATCAACTATCCCGTCGACCACAGCCTTTCCTTGCTCAAGCAGTCTGACAAGTCCGATTCCTGGGACCTTGCCTTTGAGGCTTCCCTGGCGGAAGACGTCTTGGAAGAGGATCCGACCACGGCTCTCGACACCGCCATCCCCACTTTCCACGGCTACTCGGCCAGCGGAAATGCCACGGCCCCCTTTGTCTACGTGAATTACGGCACCTATAGCGACTTTGAAGACCTGGTTAGCGCCGGCGTCGACCTCAAGGGCAAGATTGCCGTTGCCCGGTATGGTCGTGTTTTTCGCGGCCTCAAGGTCAAGCGCGCCCACGAAATGGGCATGGTGGCCGTTCTCATCTACAGCGACCCCGGCGAGGATGGCGACATGACCGACGAGGGCGGATATGACTACTACCCCAAGGGCCCCGCCCGGAATCCAAGCAGCGTGCAGCGTGGGAGCGTTCAATACCTTAGCGTGCGCCCCGGTGATCCGTGAGGTCCCCGAGCTGCAGCTAGCCATGCCTGCATGGTGATTGTTTATTGCTGACCAAATCCGCGGCAGAACCACCCCTGGCTATCCTTCCAAGCCGGGCGCTCCTCGTGCACCGCCGCATGATTCGACGCCCCCCATTCCCTCCATCCCCATCTCCTATGCCGACGCCATCCCTATCCTCAAAGCTCTCAATGGCCACGGACTCCAGGCGGCTGAGCTGGGCGCGAGCTGGTCAAGGAATCTCGGTCTTGGGTACAAGGGCGTTGATTACAGCATCGGCCCGTCGCCCGAAACCGTAGTCCTCAATCTGACCAACGAGCAGAGCTACACGACGACTCCCCTGTGGGACGTCATTGGCGTCGTCAACGGCACCATTCCAAACGAGGTCATTGTTGTCGGCAATCATCGAGATGCGTGGATTGCTGGCGGAGCCGCCGACCCAAACAGCGGCTCGGCCATCCTCAACGAAGTTATTCGAGGCGTCGGCAAGGCCCTCGAGGCTGGCTGGAAGCCACTGCGCACCATTGTCTTTGCCAGCTGGGACGGCGAGGAGTACGGCCTCATTGGCAGCACCGAATGGGTCGAAGAGTACATCCCCTGGCTCTCCGAGGCCAACGTCGCCTACATCAACGTCGACGTCGGCGCCGCCGGGCCCGTCTTCAAGACCGCTGCGGCGCCGCTGCTTCACCAAGTCCTCCGAGACGCCACAAACCTGGTCCCGTCTCCCAACCAGACGACGCCGGGCCAGACCGTCGGAGACGTGTGGGACGGCAGAATCAGAACCATGGGCAGCGGCAGCGACTTCACCGCGTTCCAGGACTATGCCGGCGTTCCCTGCATCGACATGAGCTTCAAGCCCGGGCGCGCCGACCCCGTCTACCACTACCACAGCAACTACGACAGCTTCCACTGGATGGAGGAGTACGGCGATCCTGGCTTCAAGTACCACGTGGCCATGGCCAAGGTGCTCGGAATGCTCGTCGCCGAGCTCAGCAACACAATCGTCATTCCCTTTAACGCCACCGAGTACGCCCGTGCCTTGGACAGCTACCTCGACATGGTCCAAGATAAGCTCCACCCCGGCAAGGAGTCTGACTCCCGGGCGCGCTCGTCCAGCGAAGTCAAGGGCAGCGCCGACGCCTTTGAAGAGAGCCTCAAGACCCTGCGCGAGTCCCTCGCCGGGCTGCGCGTCAAGGCCAGCGAGCTCGACGGGCGCGCCGCCTGGGCGAACCGCAAGCTCGAGGACGGCCTTCCCTGGTGGAACATCATTGCCAAGATCAAGCTGTGGATCACCATTGCCAACGTCAACACGCAGTTCAAGCACATGGAGCGCCACTTTCTCTTCGAGGGCGGGCTCGACAACCGAAGCTGGTATAAGCACGTCGTGTTCGCGCCCGGTCTGTGGACGGGCTATTCGGGAGGTGCGTTTGATTTTCTTGCCCTGCTCTCCCCCTTTCCCATCTTTTTGGCCCCTTTATTCTTTGAGCAGCCACTTTGTGCCATGCATGGTGCTGGCAAACGCTGACGAAACATCGACTGTAGACGTGTACCCGGGCCTGATGGAGAGCATCGCGGCCAAGGACTACACCAACGGCCTCAAGTGGGCCGGCATCATTGACCGATGCGTGGCCCGGGCTACTCGTGGGATACAATAGGGTCATCGAGGACAGGTGAGTTGGACACGTCTGATGGACCGGGGTCGAGGGGAAGACGCGAAGGAGGCAGCGTGTCCCCGACGGTCAAGTTTGGCTGCATGTCGCATGGCCAGGCATGGAATGGCAAGGCATCTCTCGCATACCAAATCAAGAGTCAATATCATAAAACAAGCCAGAGATGGACTGTCACGCGACTTGCAGCCACATTCAGTCAAGCTTCGGCCCACTTTCTCATCACAAAGGCATGTCAATAACGAGGCAAAGAAGGCTTTGTTGAGCGTAAAGGGTTTGGAGGCGCAAACCTAGCCTGGGGATGCAAACTTTGAGCCTCTGCGCCTCGGGCTCTTTGCGCCGCCAAACCCAGCCAGCCAGCACGTGCCATGAGTCCAGGTGAATGAGTATAAATTCTCCTCTGGCACAGGCATGGTTCTTTTCGTCCTGTCTCCTTCTACATCTTCTGCCATCCCATCTATCCCCTCGCCCCGCCGATGAACCCCTTCCCTCGAACGACGACGCCCATCGACTTTATCCGTCCCCTTCACCCAGAAGCAAAGCGAATACACGATACCAAAAGCACAAAGTGAAAGTGCCCCTCTTCCACCGCCTTCAGCTACTCACTCTCTATCATCATGCCGAGCCCACGCTCGCCTGCCCCAAGTCGTAACAATACCCGAAGCCGAGGGTGAAAGCCGGCGCTCACCCTGAAATCACCTCCCCTCCAAGGCAGAAAAAATCCCCGATGAACAAGCGGCGTCGGCCTTTTGGCTAAGAGGGCCAACCCCCTCATACATTGTCCAGTCTTCACCGCCACGTCGGCTCAGACGAAAGTCGTAACCTACCAAGCCGATGATGAGGGCCACCACTCTGAGGTCAAAACAGTTCCTAAAGGGTTCCAAAAAATGAGGTCAGCCTCAAGGGCTGAGTGGGCTAATCTCCCTCATATATGTGCTTCTCTTCATTGCCGCATTGGCTCAGACCGAGACCTATTTAAATCATTGGGGTCCTCACCTCGACTCAAACGCCAGACGGAGCTGACCTCAAGCCGGTGATGAGAGCCATTACTCTGAGGTCGAAATGGTTCCTAAAGGGTTCCAAAAAATGAGGTCAGCCAAGGGCTGAGCGGCTAATCTCCCTCATACATGTTCTTCTCTTCATTGCCGCATTGGCTCAGATCGAGACCTGTTTAAATCATTGGGGTCCTCACCTCGACTCAAACGCCAGACGGAGCTGACCTCAAGCCGGTGATGAGAGCCATTACTCTGAGGTCGAAATGGTTCCTAAAGGGTTCCAAAAAATGAGGTCAGCCAAGGGCTGAGCGGGCTAATCTCCCTCATACATGTTCTTCTCTTCATTGCCGCATTGGCTCAGATCGAGACCTGTTTAAATCATTGGGGTCCTCACCTCGACTCAAACGCCAGACGGAGCTGACCTCAAGCCGGTGATGAGAGCCATTACTCTGAGGTCGAAATGGTTCCTAAAGGGTTCCAAAAAATGAGGTCAGCCTCAAGGGCTGAGCGGGCTAATCTCCCTCATACGCAAGGATCTCTTCATTGCCGCATTGGCTCAGATCGTACTCGAGTTTTAATCATTGGGGTCCTCACCTCGAGTCAACCGCCAGACGGAGCTGACCTCAAGCCGATGATGGAAGGAAAACGTTCCGAGGCCGAGAATAGTTCCCAAAAGGTTCCAAAAAAAGAGGTCAGCCTCGAAGAGCTGAGTGGGCTAAATCTCCCTCACGCACAAGGGTCTCTTCATCGCCGCATTGGCTTAGATCGTACTCATAGCCTTGCCGATGATGAAACAAACGCTCTGAGGCAGAAGCGGCTCCTCAAAGGCGACTGAGGTCGTTCATTCGTCTGGGTTGTGCATTCATAGATGCGAAAGGGCAAAGAGAGGGGGAGGAACCGAGCGAGGATCATGATGGGCAACGACGGCGTGTCGTGTCGTGACGGTCGTCGATGGCTGTGTACCGATGCCGAATTCCTGACCTGGGGCATGTGTTAGTCGAAAGCAAGTGCTAATGGATGGGCAGAGGACTCACCATCCTGGCCCAGCTCACGTCCCCTATTCAATGCCCCAGGGCACCTAAACAGAGAAAGGGAAGCCTTCATTCCTGTGTCATTTGCACTAAGCAGTGATATGGCAAGGGGGAGGCCTTGACGAGACCTTGAAGAGCAAAGGCGGCAAAATAAGACGGAGGCAGACAGGGGTAGGGGGCGGGACAGGGTCGGGGGAGGAGGAGAAGCAGGGCGACAAGGACAAGACGAGGGGACTGGTGGAATCGACGAGAGGAAAGATGGGCGGGGTGACGACAGCAAAGGAAGAGGGCATGTGGGAGCGGCAGAGCCAAGTGCACCGACGAAGACGGTGGACGGGAACGCCAAGGCTGAGGATGATGATTGAGGTGGACGATCAGAAAGAGGTGATCAAGAGAGCAGGATAGAAACAAAAGACGGGTCGAGAGCCCAGCTCGCGAGGACGATGGGCCAAGGCGAGACGGTGATGATGACGAGAATGAACAGAAAGGGGCAATGAGGAGAGCAGAGCATTGGGAGGCGGATCGAGAGCCCAGCTGGCGAAGTCAATGGACGGGGGTGCCAAGGCTGGTCGATGGTGATGATTGACAAAGACGAGCAGAAAAGAGTGATGAAAAGAAGAGGAGAGGAGAGGGTTGGGAGACGAGTCCAGAGCTCGGTTGAAGTACTGCGTCTGCACATCCTCGCAACTTCCCGGGCATCCCATCGCCACCACCCCCACCCAGGCCTTCCGCGCAGCGCGCAACGGGCGAGCAGGCGGGCTCAGAGAGACGGGTAGGCCGACCCTCACCTGCAGTAACGGCACGGCAGAGAGAAGCCTTGGTCTTGCCAGCATGACGGCCAAGGCAGGCATGAGCAGCCAAGAGAGCAACGCTCGGAGGGGAGGCTGCCCCGTGGTCGTCGTCTACCGCAAGTCAAGAGCTCCACAAGACGGGATCAACTCAAGGAAGGCTCTTTTGCAAGGGACACGGACGGCGCGCTCTTCAAGCTCAGGGTGTTAAGTCTATGTATGTATGCCACCATGTTGGCAGAACGAGCTCATCGTCACAAGCCAAGTACACTGGTGGAGGCTCGCGAATCCATTGATTGCCGGCAGGCTCGCCTTTACATGTAGTTCCCCCTTTTTTTCATGTCGAGGAGAAGGACGGGTCGTCTGCTACCTACGTGTGGGAAGCAGAGGCAGCCACCGGTGTCGTGGACGCAAGCTGCCTTCGAGAAAATAGCAGAAATGGCACTTGCAAGGGTACGAATCCGACACTTGATTCCACGTTGGAAAGAGCGGGTTTATCCACGTATTCGCCACGGGACGTCTTGACTATGGTCGTGTAAGTGGGCGTATTACGGAGTGCTACCTGCAGACAAATCTCATGGCATCTACATACAAGAACCACCAGGCCACAATAACAGCAGTTTCACATGAATTCACCTGCCACAAAGGCTCGCATGCAGTAGCCCAGTCTCTTTATTTCTGCGTGAGCCGGGATAATACAGGCAGCAGTAAGAGTGACCCGTCATGGCCCATATCTACGGCCTTTACTTACCCTATACAAGCCCCCTTTACGCCTTGGCACCCCTCTTCTCCTTTATCTTGCTCTCCAAGTGCTCGACGTGCTCTTTAATCTTTCCAAACTGCCACGGCCAGTTGACGACGTACAAGAAGGGGCGCAGGCTGAGCAATCCGTTAGCTACCGCAATACCCCTTGGCTTGAACTCGACTCCAGGTCCCGCAGACTTACTCGTGTCTGTTATCGTCGGGATTGTACCCCGACAGGTGCACACTCGGCGTGATAATGGTGGCTTTGTGCCGGTTGATGGCGTAGAAGCGGTAGAAGCGGTAGACCTTCTCAGCAATCTCCCTAGGCCCAAAGCCTGGGCGTTCTTTCCACTGGCTCAGCAGTCGGAGGTAGGCGGACCACGGGCCCAGCTTGTCGACCTTGCGCAGGATGCCCAGGTCGGAAAGCTCCGAGTATGTCAGGCCCATCTCAACCTCGTCGGCCTGGACGCCGGCCGAGAGGGGGAGGAGCTCGGCCGAGGGCGTCGCCTCGATGAACTCGTCCATGATGGGCAGGTCCCAGTTGTCGCGGGCCCAGCGCTGGAAGTCCTTGGCGTCGTTCTTGGAGATGGAACCCAAGGGGGCGAGGTCGGCTGAACTGGCGTCGTACTGGGGTGCTCGCATGTCAGCCTTGTCCCGTTGGCTGTAGTGAGTGAGATCCTCACCTTGGTGTAGTAGCCGCGCAGATTCTCTATTCCCTATCAGCTTCTTCTCATCTTCATCGGCAACATCAACAGCGACTCACCGTCAACGTTGCCCGATCCCAAGACGAGCAGAGCTGCACCTGCTCGGGGCAAGCCTCTGGCCTGAGTCGATAGCTGAGCAAGCTCGTAAGCTACCACCATTCGGTTTCTGGCCTGAATGTTTTGCTTGGCCAAATTCTCGTTCACCGTCCCGCCCTCAACAGAGAACCTCGGCTTAAATCCACCGAGCGACTGCTCGACAATTGACTCGTGGGCTCTAATCGCCTGGTCGATGTTGATGTCCGTGTGGTAGGCCCCGATGCGCTCAGCTAGCCTCTTGGCCCCTATGTGATCCTGTCGTCAGTCCATGTCGCTCCATGACAGCTCAGGCCTCCGGAGAAGTCGGTTTGGGCCTGTTGCTCCCCGAGACCAGCAGGAAAGGGGGGTAATAAGGGTGCGTACTCGACCGGGTCTCATCGGAACTGTTGACTGTGCCCATGAAACAGGTGTGAAGTAGTTTCGACACGATTTCTTCGGGGCTTTTGGGAGAATAATCCTTCTCGCCCACCGCTCTGCGCAGATCGTGCAAGGTGCTGTCTTGGCCGCTTCTGATGGACAGCAGCACTAGCCTTGCCATGCCGTATACAAACAGCGCAACGGTAGAGCTGTCTAACCCGCCCGACAAAGCAATGAAGAAACCCGCGCTGGAGCTGCGGACCAGATATTGCCACAGGTAGACCGATGTCGCCATGTAGATTTCCTCCATGGGGTTCAAGATTTTGATGGGAATCTCGGTGGAAATGACCTTGTCCGAGAGAAACATGTCCGCGCCGGGGCGACACAAAGCCATGTCGCACTCGACACGGGGGTATTCGGGCTGCTGGGCTGCCTGTATGTTGCGGCTGTGGCTGGTCCGGTAGCTCCGGACTCTCTCGAGGTCGACAGTGGCGACGGTGACCTCGACTGGAGCGAGAGAGAACTGAGACGACTGTGCCAGGACTTCGCCGTTCTGGATAATCATGCTGCTTCCATCGCTGCAAAGCGCATGAGCATCGACTCGTCTGCAAAAATGGCGGACACTGAAGCTTACAATAGCATTCTGGCTTCGCCGTCAACGCCCGTGGCGTTTGCGTAGACGTACAATCCGCCATTGCTCCTTGTCGAGTTCGATATCAGGTTAAGCCTCTTCTCGAGTTTGCGCAGCTCGGCGTGTGAAGCACTGGAGTTCTACCATGGTAATCGGGTGAGTCCATGCCCTTCAGGGGTGCCTTGGGGGTAGCGAGTCTGACGGCCCACGCTCCAGGGAAAGTGAAGACGAAGGGTGACGTACCAGAATGATCTCGGCCCCGTTGACTGCGGGTTGGGAGTTAGCGTTTGGTAAGAAGGGTCTTCAGGGGCGCAAGGGAGCCTGAATTCACGTACGGCCGGTGAAGATGGACGGGTTCCTCGGGACAAACTAGAGAAGATTGTGTCAATAAGTTTACAACAGAGCGTTTAAAGCCTGCTGCTCGCCGATCGTCGTGGAACCGAGTAGCGAACATGGCTGCAGCACAAAGACAAAGCACTGACCAGTTCCTCGCACGTCTCGCAAGTGACGGAAGTATCGGGCGTTTCCAGTATGAAGTCGCCAATCGGAACCGTCTTCTGCCCCGTCACGTCCTTGACGACCTGGTGCAGCTTGTACGCTTCCACCTGGCGCTCCTTGACCCATGCCGTGAAGTGGCGAGCCTCCCGATACAGCCCGTCCCCCGCAAGCGCTACGTTGGACACTCGATTAGCCCATTGCTTTGCTGTGGCGGGTTTCTGGCGAAGCTTGATGAGTAGAAAGGGCGGAAGAGAACGGCCTGTAGAGGGAAAGGGAAAGATGGAGGGTTTGTAGATACCTTGCTTCGCCCTGACGGCAAAGACCTTTCGGTATGTGCACAGGACTCGGCAGTTGTATTGCACGTTTCTGGCCTTGACGCCCATGCCCAGGTCGACGAGGATGCCGCGGCACACATCATTGGAGATGACGTCGGCCAGGACCTCCCAGCTGTGCAGCTCGGTGTCGCTCTTGGGTTGAGGGTTAGCAGCGGGAGCTTATACATGGCAATCGCGATGCTCAGAGGCCAGCGAGCTCGGCGTACCTCGAGATGGTGATCGAGGCATCCTAATCTACAAGTCAGAGAACTGCACTCGTCCGCCCCCAAAGAACGAGTCAGGGCAGCGTACCGTAGCCGGGGATCTCGAGCTCTGGCCCCGTCCGCAGCGAGGCTCCCTTTTCCTTGGCGATCCGGATCGACTCCAGGATACGGTCTCGGTTCCCCACAAAGTCAAGCGGGACGCTCGGCAGCGTGGCCGCAGCGACCGTCACGAAGCTCATCTTTGACCGCGGCGAGTGAGAGTTGACAAAGTGTGTTGCGCAAGCTTGGTTCCACTTTTGCTCCGGTGTAGGAGTGGTGGTGTCTTGGGATGGACTGCATAAGCAAGCGGGGTACCCGAGTTTATGTAGAGAGACGCATATCAAGGAAAGTATCTTTTTTCCGACTCGACGACTGAACACTAAGCTCGTTGGACACAAACAACATCTGGAGACTGTAAACAACATCTGGAGACTGTGTTTCTCCTGACCTTATCTGGTGCTAGGGAACCCGCGTCTATCCTCTTGGCAACCCATCATACAGCGCCTCTGCTCTAAAACTTATACACCTGCTCCTTGGAGTAGCCCAGGTCCTTGAGCGCGCCCACCAGCTCGCCCTGGTCCTTGGGGTTGACCTTGTTGCCCGACACGGCATTCATCAAGCCCGGGGGCCCGCATACAAACAGCTTGATGTTGTCACCCTTGGGCTCTGGCAGCACCGTCTTGAGCAGGTCCTTGGTGATGAAGCCCGTGCCGCCCTGCCAGCCCTTGGGCGCCTTGTCCAGCACGTAAAAAGCGCGGAACCGCTGCGGGTACGTATTCTCCAGCTCAGACAGCTCCTTCTTGAGCAAAATATCCTCCTCGCTGACGTTGCCAAAGACCAGCGTCACCTTGGTCTTGTCGTTGGGGTTGTTGAAGATGGCGCGCAGCAGCTGGTACATGGGTGTGATGCCCGTGCCGCCAGCAATGAGCCCAATGTGCTCGTGCTTGTTCTCCGCCCACGCGTACTTGGGCAGCGGGCCCTTGAAGTCGAGCCGCTGGCCTGGGGCCATGCTGTGCAGGTGCGTGCTCATGGGGCCGTCGGGGTACTTCTTGACCAAGAGGTCCATGTAGCCTTTCTCGCCTGCTCAGCAGGTTAGCCAGGACCATAGCCAAGCAACATAAACCCCAACAGCGTTGGTCACCCCGGAGTGGGAGACAGGGGAGGCCGAGGGCACGCACCTTCGTCGCTGATGGGAGTGTAAGGCCGTAGGGTGGCCTTTTCGTCGCTGGGCCCCTTGTACTTGGTCAGGATTGCGCTGGCAATCTGCAGGCCAGAAACCATGTCGCCCTCTGGCAGCTCGAAGCGGAAGCGCTTGGTGTTGTGGTTGACCGTCTCGACGTCGGCCAGCTTCAGCGAGACGAAGCCCTGATCACCGCCGGTAAAGGCCGGCTTCCCCGCGCCGCCAACCGCCTGCTTGACCTTGGCCTCGGCCTTTTGCGCCGACGGCGTGCCGCTCATGTACCAGAAGCCGGCGCCGGCGAGGGCCGCACCGCCGGCGACGTAGAGGAACGTGTTGGAGCCGCCGCCGCCGCCCTGGGATCCGGACTCGGTGGCGTAGCGGCGTGCCTGCTGAAGCCTGGGTCAGCAAGTGAGCATCGGGGAAAGCTTGCCGCGCCAAGGCGAGCTTTGCTGGAGGCTGGAGAGCAGTGCAAGACAGGAGAGGCAGGCGAGGACAGCTTACCGTCCTCAGCGGCAGGGCCGCGCGGAAAGCAGATCTGCAAAACATTTTGGCCTACGGTTCCTCGAGTGGGAAATAGCCAATTGAAAACCACTGATGGCGCTGCAGCTGATTTCGAGCTGGAGAGTGTCAATCGACGGCGTATGCAACAAGGGGGAGCTTGCGAAGACCCCAGAAGTTCGTCCGGATACGCTGATCTGAGCTGCACCGGATGGACGGATCGGGCACGTGACACCGGCATGACGCAAGCTTCCCTGATTGATAATCCGGCCTCATCCCCAGCCCCTTGCCTCACATAAGCAATTCGCCTATACATTCGATATATAAGTATTGCAATTTATCCCGTAGCAAATCTCTATTCGGCTTAACTAGCTAGTACTATGGGTATACAGGCCGTCTTTAGTAAATCCTTATAAAATTTCTGGTGCTTTACCTATAGAAAAGCGTACTTAAGGGCCCGAGCTAGTAAGGGAGGCCCCTACTAGGAGTTTATCCTACGCGAGGTGAGCGCAACGTACAAGACGAGTACCTAAAGATACTTAAGACTTCTTGCGGATGACTAAGAGGCATAACATCTAATTAAATAAGGGGATTTTTATTAGAGAATCTAGGCCAAATAGTAACAAGCGCCTCGCTCCAGCCTAGCAGCTCACTTGTAGTCGGTACTTTACCAAGCTTCCGAGCTTCCCTTTATTTATTTTTATTTTTATTTTTGATTATCTGCATCACGCCCGACAACCCTGTGCTCCATCTTTTCCTCTGGTCCACGCACCGCCGGCCTTTACATTCGTTTGCTTCTCCCGCATCTCCCATCCCGGCGACCCACGAACCCCCCCCCTCGAGATGCGCGCCCCCGCGTCGTCCACGCTCCTCGCCGCCGCCGGCCTGGCCCTCTGCTGCCTCGCCGCGGCAGGCCCGGCACCCGCGCCGACCCCCGCGCCCACGGCCGCCTTGGCCCGCCGCAACGACTTGACCATCCGGCCCAGCGCCAGCTTCATGACGGTCGACCCCACGGCTCCCTGGGTCTCCGTCAATGACGAGGGCCAGCCCGTCAAGACGGTCACGCCCTCCGTGGCCACCGTCAGCGGCACCCCCTCGGTCGTCGACGGCGCGCCCCACGACCTCACGGCCTCCGTCTACTCCTGGACCAGCTACGGCCTCATCACCACCAGCACCGGCGCGCCCCCGAACCCCACGGCCACAAAGGCCTCGACCCCCGAGGGCGCCTTTTCCCGCTGCTTCAACCAAAAGGACGACTTTGCGCCCTTTTGCCGCCCCTTGTACAACTCGACCCTCCTCACCAGCAACACCTTCTACAGTCCGCTCCCCCCTCTTTCCCTCTCTCACCCCCCCTCCCTCTCCTGACCCCTTCGCTAACCCTTGGCCAAGTCACTTGGGACCCCGACTTCTACAACCACACCCGCGACAACACCACCTACGAAGTCGCCGTCCGTCTCGACTACCTCAACAAGACGAGCAATCAAATGATCAAGCTCGACACCTACGAACGCGTCCCCGCTCACTGGGGGTACTGGCCCTTCAAGCTCACCCCCGACCACCTCATGGGCCAGGCCTCTAACAACGTCACCATCACCCTCCTCGTCTCCCCCCACGGCAGTGGCGAGAAGAACCAGTCCGTCGCCCTGCCCGTCGTCCTTGCCCGCCCCACCCTCGGGCCCCCGACTCCGAGCCTCCCCCCCAACCGCTCCGCCATCCTCATCGCCCTGCCCGTTTCCCTCGGCGCCTTTCTCCTCATCCTCGTCGGCCTCTGCCTCTGGCACCGCCAGACCCGCCGCATCAAGCTCGGCAACGTCATGGGCCGTGCCCGCCACGGCTACTCGGGCCGCGCCCACCGCCGCCTCTTCCGCTCCGCCCACGGCGCCGACAAGGATCGCGGCATCCAGCTTGACACGGCGCCCCTGTCCCCCCCGCCCGCCGACTACCGCGACGACGTCGACCGCCCCCGCCGTGACAGCGATGCCCTCGGCAGCCTCGCGGGAAGCCCCGTCAAGGACACCTTTGACGCCCAGGGCCCTGGCGCCGGCGATGGCAAGAATGCCTTTCGGGACGAGATGAGGCGCCAGGCGCGGGAGAGGCGAGGCGGGTATTAATCGACTTTCCGACCTGGTGCACCCCGTCTTCGTCTCTATTTTCAGGTTAACTTGCGCGCCTTCTTTTCTTCTCTCGGCTGGGTCTAGGAGTTTCGGGGCCGGGGGGTGGTGGAGAGTCATTTGTGTGCCACAATGTGCCATCTACGCAGCAATGCATCACCAACGCATGGGGAACAAGAGGAACATGAAACGATTCGGACGCTTCTTCTATAATGAGATTAATGTTCAGATCTGGACAGGGCACGTGGCGCCTGGCGCATATCATCGACGAGACCATAATAATACATCTAACAACAACGCCTCGCCTCACCCAATGTTTCCCTTCCTACCACCTGCCAATTCCCTTTTCCATGTTCCATGTTTCTCTGCCCCCTTCAAAAGCAAAATATCAAGTAGACCCCTGTGTACCGCCCTCTGCCCAGATAAAAAAGACGCCAAGCCTTTTCTGTTGCCTGGGGTATATATTGCAGCAAAAGAGCAAAAGACGTCCGTCCGTCCGGCTGCGCCCCTCCTCCTTCTTGAATGATGGAACTGCCAAAAGCAACATGGCCACATGAAGAATGGGGGGGAAAGAGTAAAGAGGAAAAAAGAGCAGACAAACGCCAATCTTCACACTGGTCCGCGCGCACGAGGCGCATGACCCGGGCACCCTCAGTCTTGTCTTCGTTACGCCTTGATTCGTTTCGCGTCCCTCTCCTCCATCGACGCCTTCATCACACCTCCATTTTCCTCCTCGTCAAGCAGACGTTCCCCGCACGCTGGTGGTCCGTCGAGCAAGGGGCGCTTCTGGAGGCACTCGAGTGGCACGATTCGGCCGTCGTCGCCATAGGCCGCGCACAGGTCGAGCCTCTCCTCGCCCTCGGCCAGCGGCCTCATGAACGCCGCAGGGATGGCCGTCGCCAACCGGCAGCTCTCTTGGCACGGTTGGTACGAGTCCGTGTTCCAATACCCGTCGGCGTAGTTCCTGGCCTCGGCAATGGTATATCCCGTGCTGAAGCCCTCGTGGTAGGCGTCCGGCAGGATGACAATCGTCTCGCCGGGCCGTTGGTCGACCATGCGGTACGGGATGCCGAGCTTGTCGAGCTTGTCCGGGAAGAAGAACTCGGCGCGGTGGCGCATGAATTGTGAGCAGCCCGCACCACGGCCGAGGGCCTTTTCGGCCGTGTCGACGGCGGTGGCGGGAACGACGACCCAGATCTTGCGGCCCCTGTACAAATGGTTGAGCGAGGCCAGGCGGAAATCCTCGGCGTGGATCTGGAACGTCGCGCCAAAGTGTGGGCCACTCTCGTAGACGTAGGGAGTGTGGATTCCGGGAATGATGGCCTTTGTGTGGTCGAGCTTGTCGCCCTTGAGGGGGTGGATGGGGCTCCGCTCCGGCACGCCCGCCTCGAGTCTCTGCCTCGCCGTCCAGGCGGGCACATCCACTCTATAGCGAACGTTCCGCATCTGCCTGTCCCGGTTGCTTCGAAAGAGCCGCTTGAGGTTCTTGAAGGCCAAGTCGACGCTGTCGGAGAAGTCGGGACCAGCCTGCGACCAGCTGAACTCGCCGTCTGATGGCAGTGTGCTAACCTGCCAAAAGGTCGTCTTCCTGATCTGCTTAACCTTGTAGGCGTTGGCGGGGACCTTTTTGACGGGCTTTTCCGGGAGTGGATCGTGCAAGCCGTCTGGGATGGAGACCTTGAAGCAGCCATCGCCTTGGACGCCAAGCGTCCTGGCGTAAGCCAGAACCGCCGGAAAGTCTTGCCACTGAGAAGGCGTGGGCTTGAGGCGCAGTATGCGATGGCCCTCGACATCATCATACCCGTGTTCGATGTGGAAGCCGGGGGCGATGCGTTGCGGGACTGTCGTCGGATGGTCGGCCTCGGACCCGCCTGCTAAAGAGTCGCCTAATGGCCAAGAGGGTTGTGTCACCGCTCCGTCGACATTGCCATTGGTTTCTTCTGGACACGGTGGTGTCGCTGTGCTGACCAGTTGGTTCTCCGCCGCCTCTGGTTGCGAGCCACCCGGGCCCATGAACCACTGGCTCCGATGCGGAGGCGATACGGCGGGGAAAGGACTGGGGGGGAGACGGGGCGGCGGGGCGAGGGCAGGCGATGGGCCTGAGGCTGAGGTGGAGGTGGATGGGTGGTGCGGGACGGATTCGGCGTTACGGGTAACGTCTGCAGATGAGGTGCCAGTCCCGGCATCCAAAGGCCGCTGGATGGCGTGTTGGTCCTGATGCGCCGCCTCCGGGCTGTTGACGAGGCCGAGGTTGGGACCAACAGGGGTTCGGTCATGGTCGCCAATGGCAGTGGGGGTCGCCATGCCATGCGGTCCGTCTACCGAAGGCTGTTGCGCGCTGCCGAACGTGAGTGGTCTGCCGGGCTCGATTCGCGCGTCGCCACCGCCTTGCGGCGACGCCATCACGTCCTCTCGCTTTGAAGACGACTCGCTCTGCTTCTCCTATCGATGTCGCCGGGTCCAATCGGGTTTGTCTGTCCTGGGAGACTTGGCGGGGCCACTGTGTCGGCGACAGTACCTCGACGAGTCGGCGGCAGGGTCTCGTCGTTCAAGACAAAAAATCCTCCAATGTGAGGGTTGCGCAGGAGGAAAGAAGCGGCTCTGGCGCCCGAGGCCTGCGACGGGCAAGGCCTGCGACGGGCAAGACCTGCGACGGGCAAGGCTCGGGAAGAGCGACGGTGGGGAATGGCGCCGGAGAGAGCGCGGCTGGGTGGGAGCCGATGACCTGCAAGCGGGAACGGAACAGACGACGGTGGTGAGCAGGATCGGCCTGCATCCCTAGTGCAGTGATGCTGTCTCCTTCAGCCGGCAGAACAGGAGAAGCAGCAGCGGCGAGCGGAGAGGACTGTAGAGAGACGGTGTGTGTCTTCGTTTACCGTCGTCGCAGAATGCAAGACGACCAAAACGTGGGGGCGGGTCTCGACTGTCGTACAGACAGAGCACCCCTGCCTGGCCTCCTTCCTCTTTGGCTCACCTCTTTTTGCCCTCCTTGGTGGGGTAACCGTAAACGACAGGGGCGTGTGGAGACTGGCGTTCCGATCTCTGGGCGTCGCTGCCCCGAGAGTAGCATATCTAGGTGCCTTGCATATACGTGCTACTTGCACAGGTGCCGGCTACAGGCGCCGGCTACAGGCGCCGGCTACACATTTACTGTGCACGTGGACTGCCAACGACCTCGCGAGAAAGACACAGCCCTGCAAACGCTCGCCTGTTCAATCACCCCTTTACAAAAAGTCCAGCTCCATCTTTGAAGCCGTGAAAAAACCTGTATTCGCCCACCGTGTCGGCTGTTCCGGGGGCCATCGAAAGGGACAGTGCGACAGTGCCCCTGGCAAGTGAGTTATCTCGCACTGTCCAGTACAGGTACCCAGAACCCGAGGAACCACCTGCATACCGGTAGGCAAACAACGGGGGTTGGCTCTGCCGGGCATCCCGTCGCCTCCCAAGGCAATGCCGCATCCGCATGCACCCTGCGCCGGTCTGGGATCACAGATGAATCTGCGCTGCCTGGACAATATCCACCCGAACAGCACTGTTCTCATCGCTCACGTTGCACAGCAGCAGCCTTTTGCCATATTGCCTGGGAGCCTCGCGCTATGCCCTGGCACACGCTGGCGGCCCTTGAAGCTCAAACATGTTGATTCTGCTCAACCAGTCGTCCCCTGGAAGCCGTAACGCATTCATCTGACGAACCCATTCAATCAATACTTCATAGCTGATAATCAGCATCATCCCTCTTATTCATCTGCTGGCCCTCAGTGTAAACACTGTGGCCTCGAACCATCACTTGCCAGCCACCTCACACCGCCTCCTACCAACATCGTGTCCATTCAACCCTGGGAGAGCCCGTCTCCTGTCGCCTGACAGCGAGCATGCTTCCACCCGGCTCGAGTCGGCGCCCGAGCACACTTCCATACCCAATCGAGGCTTGCCTTCACCCAGGTCGGGCCTTCATTTCCCCGACTCGCTTCCACCGCCTGCTCCGTCAACCATTAAAATACTGTCACCATGACCACAAGAGACGTAGCGTAAGGGGCATACAAACACAAAGCACATGGGGTATCAACAGAAGTTCAAGTTGCATCACACAGAAAAGAAGCCATCGAGCCCATCCAAGGGCATCGTGGAGGCGCTGGGCCAAGAATTACCTCTTTGACAACAGGCTCGTGTGGTGTGCAGCATGCTCACGGTCATGGGGCAGCGTGCGTCCCGAGCCACATCATGAGAACTCGTCGGCGCCGTTGCTCGCTGAGAAGCTGCCTACCCGCAAGGGGAGCTCCTTTGTCTCGCGGGCAATATCGAAGGCAATGGGTGGTAGGCTCTGCGCCCACATGCGCCAGTCGCGGTCGCCTTGGCCGACGCCCGAGTCCGCCAGGTCTCGACCGCGCTGGCTGGCATCGATGAGTCTCTCTCGGCTGCTGTCGAGCCGCAAAACCTCGTTGCCACAGTTATTGGCATTGGCTTCCGCGACAATCTTGCTCACAGTTGCGCTGATCGATTCAACGTCGTCGGTGATTTGCCAAATGTCGGCGTCGCCGCGAACACAATTCACCAGGCTCTGGACAGCCGACACCAGAAGCGCAGTCTGGTCGTCGAGGTAGATCTGAACTACCGTCAGCTGCGTCGACGGAAGATCAGAAGCCACCCTAGGTGCCGTAAGCGTGTACCTTGAAGTCGTCGGCTCGGCCGCCACGTTGTTGCATCCCGTAGCCGGCCGAGACGCCCTTGTTGAGTCCCATGTAAGCGAGCCCCTTCGTCAAGGCGTTTGCTCCACCCTCTGGATACCGCTCAACCGACTCCCGGGGGGAGCTGACGGGGCTGTACGCCGAAGACTCGGCACTCGCGCGGATTCCCCCGATGCCCTGGAAGGGGGGAGGGGGAGGGAGGTTGCCCTGGGCAGAGGTCTGCGTCGTGCTGCGAGGCGAGAAGAAGTTCGAGTCGACGGGGGTGATGGTGCCGTCGTCGTCGTCCTCCAGCTCGCCCGAGGGTGTGGTTCGGATCTTGACAACCCGGAGGAGGTCGACAATGGCCGCCGTGAGATGCGAGGCCGCCGCGTCGACGAGGGAGACGGGGGAGATGCCAGCGCCGCCTGCAAAGTTCTTGGTGGCCGTGATGAGGCCGTTGGCGGTCGACGACACCTTTGCCTTGAGCCTGCTCTGTTGTTGGACCAGCTCCTCGTCGTTGGGCGCCGACTCGTCGACATCTCTCGTAATGCGGCGCACGCTGACCACGACCAACTTCATGGCGTCAATCGCCTTGTCTGGCGTCTCCTTGCGGGCTGTGTGGAGCAGCTCGTCAATGGCCGTCTGAAACTTGACGACGTGCACGTCCTTGACAAGCCCGTTGCCGTCCAGAAATCCCTGATCTCGAACATATTTGGCCGCGTCGTGCTCCATTGCCAGGCCGAGAGACGAGGCACGCATGTTCCTGAGCTGAGTCTTTGTGCGCGCGTACCGGTTTCTCCACTCGCGCACCTCGCGCTCGAGGTTCTCGATCGTCTTCTCCATCTCGGCCTGTTTCTCGTACGTCGCGCCGCTTTGCTGCGACAGCGCTCTCATCTCGCGCAAAAACTCCTGAGCCTCTCGTCGGACCTCCTCTGTTACTTGCCGCTGCTGCCTCAGAGACTCGCGGAGTTCGTCGTTGTCACGTTGCAGCTCGGAGCTTGCATTTGCCGAGCGGGCGCCTCGTGACGATGACTGCAGAGCGGACAGCTCGTCCTGGAGCTGCCGAGTTTCTTGATCGTGATCGTCGCGCACGCGGTCCAGCTGCTGTTTCATCGTCTTGTTAAGATTCTGGGCTTCGGCCAACTTGTTCTCCAGGTTCAGGCGGATATCAGCCCATTCTTGCTTCTCGAGGTTCACGGCCGTTGCCCGCGACCTCTCCCCGTCCAGTACGCTGCTCATCTCTTCTTGCCTCTTCTTCATTGTGTCTTGCGCATGATCAAGCTTCTCCTGCAGCTCCCGTACTTGGGCCTGGTAATCTTGGATGAGTTTCTTGTCCGCCTGCGAATGAGTTAGTCCATGGACTCTCTGCCATCAAGGGAGAGTGGCCACCAACCTCCGAGGTCTCGCCGCTCGCGCCGTTGCGCCTGCTCTCGTTGGTGACTCGTTCCAGCCCAAAGACGTCGGCTCCATCCTCGTCGGCGCCGTTGTCATCATCCTCCTCCAGCATAGTGCTCTTGTTGGGGACAATCGTGTTGTTCTGGTTCAACTGCTTCTGCATCGGGCGCCCATAGTCCCCGTTGGCCACGCCGGGAGAGGGCGGTATGCCAAAGGCGTCGCCGGAGGGAGGGCCACGGACAGAGCTTGCGTCGGAGGGCCGGCGCATCCGGCTCTGGCCTCTGGGCGGATACATGTTGCCATTAACAGGTGTACCCATCCGACTCATTGGGCCGCCGCCGCGCATCGACATGGCGCTACCAATCCTCGGAACGTCGCCGTCGACGAAGTGAGGAAACCTCCGCTCGAGCTCATGAAAGACGTCGGCGGCAAGATCCCGGAAGCGCGGAGGCCCCAGGGAGGAGAGTCTCTGGCGCGCCTGGTTACGCTTGGGATGGAACGTCTTTTCGGGGAGGAGAAAGTTGGGGGGCCCGTTGGGGGCATTCTGGGGCGCCCGTGCCGTGGCCTGGCGGCGGATCAGCTCGTCGAAAACATCGGTGCTGAGCTCGTGGAACTGGACCGACGAGAGTCGCAGGAGCTTGTCGCGGGCCTTGTTGGGCTGCTGGCGGCTGTTGGCGTCACGGGCGTTGAGGAAGGTCTTGAGGGCAAGGTAGTGTTCGTTGAGGACGGACTCGTCAATGTCGGTGCGAGTGCTGTTGCGATTGCCTTCGCTGCGGGCCGAGTACATGTTTGTGCCATTGCTGGAGCGGCCGATGGAGGGGGGTGGCGACGGCCCTCCGTTGCTCCTGGGCGCCGAGGGGAATCCATTCATGCTCATGTTCCCGTTGAAGCCGCCCGAGGGGGGTGGCGAGGCAAGATTGCCACGATGGCTGGGGTAAGGGCCGCCTTCTTCCGTCGAGGGCACCTTTGAGGAAAAAGACCATTCGCTTCCGCCTACGGAGATGGGAGACAGCGGCGCATTGCGGCCACCGGCGCTCATGATCGGGGAGAGTGAAGGGCAGGGAGGAATGTTGCGCGAGGAAAGACTTCGGCCGGCCAGAAGCCGCTGCTCCCACGGCGGGTGCGTCCTGGCGTCCGTTCCCCACACGCCTGCACTGCCCCCTGTGGCTCACAGATCGAGCCTGGTAGGGGAGGTACCGGGAAGGACCGTCCACTGAGCCGGGTGGCCAGGTACCTGCACACTGTTTTCGCAGCAAAAGCTACCTCCTGTTTTGCTTGCTTGCTTTTGGGGTGGGTGCGTCAGGCACACTGGAATAGGCTCGGAGGAGGGGGGGGATCAAGGGGGGGTGAGCTCGTGGAGATGAGGGACAAAGGTCGGAGCAAAGGCAGCAAATAAGCAGCCGCTAGATGGATCCTTGGTTCAGCCCGCGTCCGTCGCTGGTGCAGAGCCCCGATGGCTGTCGTTATTTTGCCCCTCGCCGTTTGCCGTTTGATGATGGCTTTTTGGCCCAGAGCTGTGGGAGAGCGGGCGACAGGAATTCCGCGACGCGGCAGCAAAGCGTGTGAAACGGACAGTGCGCGTAGCAGGGCCAGGACTGTAGCGGACGATGGATTTCGATGGGCAGCGCGTCGCAGGGGCCAAAGGGGGGGAGGAGGAGGGAGGCGAGGACCTGTCTCGTTGGCAGTCGAGGTGGCCAACGGGAAATGAGCCTTTCTTTTTCTTTGCTGGCTGGGCGAATGATATTTGACGAAGAACTTGCAATCTCTGCCCGCCCAGGCCGACGGGACAAAAGAAGACGGATGACACGATCCCGGCGGGAAGGTGGACGAGTTGGCGAGAACAGGGGCGAGTCGGGGTGAGCAAAGAACTGTTTTTGGTTGACAGCGAGAGGAGAAGAAGCGAGAGTGGAAGCTGGCGCTCGCAGCGCTGGGCCAGGTCGCGGTGTGTACCTTCTTACCTGGCGATTAAGTATAAAATAGACCTGGACACTGCGTCGGGTTCCTGCAAGTTGGTCGCTCCAGGGAGGAGCAAGGGCCGCTTGGATTGAATGAGATGCTAGACAGGGTACAAAGGAGCTAGGTACCGCTTAGGTCTCTGTACAGCACGAGATCCATTCGAATGGAGCGTTGCATTGGGCATGGCATGTAGCAAATATTAAAAAAGCACGCCAAAACGCCGCCGTTTGCCTACTAGCTCAGACGAAAGCTCCGGGCGGTGTTTGTGTGCCCGTCAATGCCGCTGCGTTTGTCTTGTGTCAGTGGGTGCACAGTACTGTACTGTACGGTCCAGTGGTGCAGTCAGTGAGATCAGGCAAGATCAGGTACATAAGTACGGAGTACTACAGTACCTACAGATACACACAGTCGCCCCCCCCCCTTTTTCATCTCCCCTTTTCTTCCTCCCGGGACGCTTGCCTGGCTGGGCTGTCCTCCCTACAGCATGGGTGCACCATCCTGACCCGCCCATGGGCTTGCTCGTTCCCCACCGCCGCCACGTCGTTGCTAAGCGCCATCGCCATCTATCGCGCCCACGAACGCCTCCACTGATTTGTCGGTTGGAGCAGCCCGTTGCTGCGCTAGCCCAGGCATTCGAGTTTCTTCCCGAACCGTCGGCGGCGATGCCTCGGTCTGTCAGGCCCAGGAAACGCCAATTCCAATCCTGCCGGACGAACGCAACCCCCTTCGGCAGGGAGGCCGGGGATGCCAGACAAAGGGAGGCCTGAGTGGAGGAGAGCAAGCATCAAAGGGAGAAGGGCGACCTCGGCAGCGCCGCCCAGAGCTCGCTGTAAGCTGCATGCAAGCCGGGGTCCGCGACGCCGTGAGCCCTCCAACTCTCGCTCCGTCCGTCGTCTGGCGCATATTGCGGTTCCGACAGCTTTGGATCCAACCAAAGCTGTAATGTAGTACCTTTATGCCCCCACCCTCATCTCGCAAATGTCCGTCCCAAGTCGGGACCGTGATGCATCCCGGAACCCACGCCCGCTGATTAGCGTGGGCCAAGCCAACTGGGGTGGGTGACTTGTCTAATATAAGCAATCCAAGGTACAGTACGCACCGTACGCTGTTTCGTAGGGTGACAGGTTGAGGGAACTGGCATACATACGTACATGGATAGCACCGACTCGTCTTCATCCCTTGCCGAGGTAATTCTCCGCGCCTTGCCCCGTAGGCACCTAGTTGGGCAAGGAACGCAGGTAGACGGGGGACATGTCATGCTGCAGACCCTCCTCAAGGGTGAACCACTTCCGGCTGGGTGTCCTCCGTCAACGCGGGCCTTTTGACATTTCTGACATCCCGAGACGCGTGGGACGTGCTGCAGATAAGAATCGTCAGACGCCCTTTATTAGCTATGCACATGGGCGATTCGGCCCCGAGATGCAGCTCATGGCGGCCGGCGCCGGTCTCAGCCGCGATACATGGAAATGAACCGACGCCATTCTCTCTCGAGCAGTTCCTACTTGATTATACAAACAATTCCCATGGTACATAGGGTGAGGCCCAGATGATTGCTCACTTCTTCGCAGCAGAAGGGTTAACTAGGCCCCTTTTTTGTGTGTGTGAGGCCACGAGGCCGTCCGCCCAGTTTGGCAAAAAAGTGGCGCTCGTCCTTCCCACAGCTGGTCATGGACGCACCATTGAAATGGGCGTCGACTACTCGGAGGCCGAGTCGTTGGCGGCGAAGTAGGTCTCGGTGTCGGGCCCGGATCGCCTGGGCTCTCTATCGGTGGCCATGTACAACCATCGGACAGTGCAAAAGGGACTGCCGGCGACATCCCCCATCCTCGCCCGCAAACATTGCGAATCTCTGCCGTACTATACCTTGCAATGGCACGCTCCCAAGCCCATAACGCCAGCTCTGGCACAAAATCGCCTTCAGAGGGGGGCCGGCCCCTTTCGGCCGAGTCTCGGCTCGAGTCCCCATTTCCCTCCTGTGCAAGAGAAATCAAGAAAACAAATCCATCAGAACCAAGCCAGCGTCCATGTCGGCGGTAAGTTGGGCCACCGCTCTTGCCAGGCCGCGAGAATCTCCGGCACCCTCTCGTCAAAGCTGGCCCGGCTGGCGGCGCCCCCGCCGTCAAATGCTGCTGAGCCGACGGCCTCCCGCTCCTCCGCGGCAGCAGCGTTGAGCGAATTGGCCAGGTCGAGAATGCCCTGCCCGCCGATATGGGCTTCTTCGTGATTGTCTTTGATGTCGACGTTGATCACGTGTACGGGACGGTTCAGCGGAGATCCCCTGCTAAGGAGGTCGTCAATGACAGCATCCCAGCAGCGCTCCTCACACGTAAAGACTACATCCACCACGCCACCCTCGGTGCCCTCGTGGCCGCGGTCTTTGGCATGTTGCAGACGCGGGATCCCCACAGCCCAGTCCTGCCACCTTTCCGGACCCCACTTGACCTCCCTGTTCCTATCCAACATGTTGAGAATCCCATTGTTCTTGTACAAGCGCGGGTCTTTGGACTCGAGTTCCTTGTACATGCTGTCGTATGATGTCTTGTTGAACTGGTAGACATTGGGTTGAGTGATGGTCGGCCCGGGCAAGCGCACGAGAGAGCCTGTGCCAAAGGAGATGACGGGATAGTCGGCTTGTGAGAGCCGTAGATGGGCCTCCATGGATCTAAGCTCGCGTTAATACCGTAGACGGCGGCGGATGAATGACTTCTTGGCACCCACCGGTTCTGATTACTAGCACAGACGGTGCAGAACTTGAGCTTAAAAGGCCCTTGTCCACCTCCGGAGCCGTTTGACTCGGATGCCGCTGCTGCGCCATTTACGGCCTCCATATTGAGCAGTTATCCGGGTGAGTGTGCCAACCAAGAGCTCCGAGGTGCACTCTTGGGCATTATTCGGGTGCGATTAGGGTGGCTCTAGTTTGCGTCAGCTTGTTGTGGCTCGGGCGACAAAGAGCAGAGTAGAGAAAATGAGGCATAGCAAGGGTCAGAGGAAGTTTTGCGTATAATGATGTGTCTCTCAACAGAAGGAGTTCAGACAGCTCCAATAAACATGTTCATCATGAAATGGTCGAGCGGGCGAGCGGGTCGCAATGTGAGGCTTACCTTGAGTCTTCTGCGGCGCGGTCCGTATGCCTGCTTCAGATTAATGGCGCCGCGGCTGTCATCAAGACGTTTTTCGATCGGATGGCAGCGGCCGCATGGGCATGGTGCCCTACTTGCGCTCGGGTGGATTGAAAGAGAAATGTGTGTTTTGCTGTTGCACATCGTGTGACGGGTGAAAAGCTCGAGGTGTGGGCCGCCCCGAGGCGGCTCTCGGCTAAACATCGGTTATATCCGGTCCCCGTCTTTTTGTCTCGGCAAGTCCTTTCAGTGGCTCGTCGGTTGCCGGTCTACTGTACCGATATTTGCCCCAAGTTTGCATCAAGAGAAAACGGCCAATAACCCGAATATCGGACGATTGACTCATGAACTATCTCCGTGGTTGGTATCAGCCTTACCGATTGATGCTCTCGAACGTCTTGCAGACACGGAGCCCTCTCCCGAGCGATCATGATGCCCGCAGAAATCACTGGAACTTTGTCCGCGATACGTTTGCTGCCCGTCTGCCCCCGTTATGAACGCCCTGTCTCGCATAACGATATTTTGTCGGTGAGGGCTTCGAAGCTGCTCGATAAAGCTGGCCGAGTCCGCTATGAGCAATCAGCTTGGCACTGACGCGCCAGCCAGCCATGTGCTTGTTAAACGGACCTGTCGCTGCGGCCTGCAACTAATCTGATTCCTCACGAATTCAACGCCCCATAGCACTCGGAGACGCGCATTCAGGGGCATGGCATGGCGGCCAACGTACAGTACGACGGCGACGATAAAGACTCGAGGCTCGTGAGATGATTTGCGGCGGCCTTGACTCGATTCAGGGCGAGCCAATCACGTGGCCTGGGGCGCGGACGATTCCATCCTGGACTCTAGGGCGTTTCAGCATCCTCCGTGGCGCCCCCCTCCCCCGGGGGAGGAAAGACTGTTGGATGGAAGTGTGCCACGACACACAACAGGGCCAGGAGATATGGGACGACACTGGGGCACAACAGGATTGGGGCGCCCACCAGGGAAGCTGTACAGTAAGGCCAAGCTCCCAAGTTGGGTTGGCGAGCCTTCGAATTGCCTCATTGTTGGTCCCGGGCAGTTTCAGGAGATGGCATCGCTGTTGCCGTGCAGGCCAGGGATCCCACAAGCAGCAGCAGCAATAGCAGAAAAGCACGGGACGCAATTTGGCTAGAGAAGAATGCAGGCAACATGTGTAATGCGCCTCCGGGGTGAAGAGAAAGCCCGCTTGAGCACCACGGCTTGCGTATTCGGGCGGCTGGATGTCCTCCACTTGTCATGAGTGTAAGAGACGCGCCTAGGGCGGGCGGCCGTCTGGGCCACCTGCGGGCTGGCTGCGGTGCAGAGAGTCTGGTGGAACTCTGTTGGCTCCTGTCGCGTGATAAAACAAGAGCCAGTGTCTACGGCTGATATCGCGAGCGTCTCATCAAGAAACACACAGTCGCAGCGATACAGGAAGAAGGAAAGAAGGCAAGAAAGAGACCCCTTGCTTACCCAAGTGACGCTTACAGCATTGAATCCTGTCGCTCCCTGCCTGGTAGTTGCCACCACCAGGCGGCGGAGGACGTGAGGGCGCGCACGCAGCGGACTCGAGGGCGGGCTCCAGCTGACTCGCCGGCTACACCCGCCCACTGTAGCCCTCCAGCCCCCTCCTGTCAGCCAGGTAGCAGGTCATGACGGGGACCATTAGCGCAGTACCTCCTCCACCTGTGCTGTAAACCTGTACCGAGTGCCTGCGCTACACAGCGGTGCCATCCATTATTAGGTCACCACCTCGGAGAAGCTGACCAGTAGCATCAGTGCGCGACGCGCTGACTTGGCGGGCGAGGCAAGCAGCCTGGAAAGGAAAGGTCCCATCCTTCCTTTTAGTACAACGGAAAGCACCTCGACCTCACCACCCACCCTCTCCGCCTCCTCCTCCTCCTCCTCCTCCTGCTATCGACCTTCCGCTATCTAGTCTTCGTCTACATTGTCGGTCTCGTCGCCTAGCACCCCAAACCCGATCGTCACCCGTTTCTTCCGTCATCTCCGAACGAGCCCCGCCCACCCTTCTCGATTGCCGACGACTCACAGCGCCTTCGCGGATGCCCCGCCGCCTCTCGACTGCCAGTCGCCTCGAGCCGGGGCCTCAGACGCCGCACTCGCATCGGATTAGAAAGCGCAGGTGCCTCGTGGACCTTGGCCGACAGCTTACTGCGTGCACGGCATTGCGCCACCGACTCCCAGCAGCAAAGCCATTGCCTGCGCCCGGCACTTGTTAGAGCCGTTCCCCCGCCCGCGGGGTCAAGGTCTCGCGGCTCACGTCCAATACCGAGCGCACATCAAGCTCTAGGCCAGGGTTGCAGTCGGGCGGCTTGCGCTGCTGGGTGCGGCTCGCCCATACTCTCTCTGCCCGACCCTCGCGCGGCGTCTCGCTGGGCCAGCAAGTGGAATGGCAATTGCGGCAATGACAGAGACTTCATCCTCGACGACCTCTGCGACGGCCCACGCTTCCTCTCCCCAACCCTCCAACCAGAACCTGCCCGCGCTACCTCCCTTGACGACGTCTACGCCATCGCGTAGAAGCAACCTCGCGCGCCCCATGTCGCATGCTTCCAAGAATAGGCTTTCGCAATACTCGGTTGGCTCCGTCCCGTCCCGGTCGCGACCGCAATCTCACGCCTTTCCCATGTTCCCCTCGAGCCTCTCGTACACGCTCGTGCGTGATTTCGCCTATCCCGCCTCTCACCCATTGCACTATGGCCCTCCGCCCGAGCCGTCCGGCCCGGCTTCTGGCTTGACGACCCCTGCCAGCGAGAACAGGCGACTGTCTGATCCTCCCGCGTCGTGGGAGCAGAGGATGCCCTGGGACTCGTGGACAGCGGATGCCTTTAACCGTGGCAACGACATCCCGCCCATCCATTTCGGAGACGGACCCCCTTACAGCGAGGATGAAGACCTGCAGAGCCCCGTGGTTGCGACCCGCCATCGGAAGCACAAGTCGACTTTGGGCACCATGAGCACTGGCAGACCAAGGACTGCAAACGACTTGGACGATCGTGGGCCCAGTCTCATGGACTCGTCCGGCTACGACAACGACCGGGGCTACTTTATCGGGAGACGCGGGGATGGAAGCGAGCAGTACTATGTGAATGAAGGAGGGGAGGCCGACGGTCCAGGCGGAGAGTTGGTGACGTACCCACCAGACCGGTCAAGGCACAGCCGCGTATACCATTATGCGCACCGACCGCCACAAGCACGCGAGCAGGGAGGATACACGTCCGACGATTCGAGCTGTCCGTCATCTCCGGGCTGCCACGACGAGGACCAGTCTCGCTATTCCAGGGACTATCAGTTCACCATCACATCGCCCGATGAGGAATTCCACGGGAAGGCAGTGGCACTGTTTGACTTTGAGCGAGAAAACGAAAACGAGCTGCCGCTGGTAGAAGGCCAAATCATATGGGTTTCGTACCGCCATGGCCAGGGCTGGCTAGTCGCAGAGGACCCCAAGACGCAAGAGAGCGGCTTGGTGCCCGAGGAATACGTCCGGCTACTACGAGACATTGAGGGGGGCATGAACAGCCTGACTGGGCAGGTCGGGGAAGGGCCCGCGTCGCCAAACGAAGCCGGCACGCCCACCCAGGCGGAGCACGGCAGTCAGGAAGGCCAGCGTCCGTCGTCCACTCACGCCACCAACGGATACCATCAGCCGGTCGTGTCCATCTTCTCGACGTCGAGCAAGGACCTGAATCCTTACCCCACGGAGCAGCTCGGCATACAGGCCGGGCAAACTCCACCTCAGGTCATTCACTATCATGGACAGCGGGGCGGAAGCCAAGCCAACACGCCGACAGTTTCGCAGCACAACGAGCCCGGTATCGCGAGAAGAGAAAGCCAAGACTCGGGCAATAAGGGCGAGGCGGGTGCGATGCCGGTGCCGAATTCGAAAGCAGCCGGGCCTGGTTGCGAAACCCAAGGGACCATAGAGACGGAGCGGTGACACGGAACCCACAGAATCGGACTGTATATTCTCTACATGGGAGACCCGAACACCCCTGGACTTGCTTCAGGTCGTGGGTGGTAAAAGCATCCAAGCCTGGATCGGAGCCAAGCGTCGGCCACCACGCATGAGGTACCATCAAGCACACATGAGGGAGGCTATTGGCCAGCCGGTGACAAGCTGCAGGCGACCTTGGAGCCGCCAGCCCTTTGAGCTATCGGTACATTGGAATTGATCGGAATTGCTATGCGTCCATTGAGACGGCGGAAGCGGTACATGACGAAGACGTTGAAAAGAAAGGGGGGCGCTTGCTTGTCCGGCGTTGACTTGCTTGGGAAAACAGGGCTCGTGGAGGACACAAGCGCATCACGAGAAGACGCCCGTGGCCGTCTGGGCGGTTCGGAGACACGGGCTTGTATGACTTTGAATGAATGAACATTTAGGCTACTTATCTGCCTTAATTAAATGTTGAAGCCCGGATCTGCACCCATGTGAGCTTCGCCACGGAGTCTATGGCTTCATCGACGAGACGACTTGCCCGGATGCCGTATTTCCCTCGTAATGACAGCGCGGACAGGGAGATACACACACACACACACACACACACACATATATATATAAGGCTGTCTAGCCAGCCAACCCCTCAGGCTAGTCGGCCAACTAAAAGTGTTATATATATATAAACCTGGCTAGGTAACTGGTGTTCTATGCATTGTACGGAGTAGAGGTACTGCAAGTTGCGCAGGTTAGCACCTACAAAGTACAGTGTGTCGATTGACTGCTGTTAGTAGTTGATATTACTCGTCTTCTTTTGCTGTACTGTGGCTTAGTAGGTAGCTTATGCCGAGCTCACTTGGGACAGAGGTGAGCGAGCGGACTGGACACCGGTGCGTCGACCATCTGGGTCAGGACTCAGGAACATGACGACTGTCGGGCTATGTAAACTCGTGCATCTGATGATACGATAGTCCGTAATGAAGGCGTAAACCCCGGCTGGACTAATACCTACTGTACCTGGGTAGGTACTGTAAAGTCGGTGCCTGGGTTTTGAAGCTGAAAAGGGCAGTTGCTGCTGACCAACCTTTTTGCTCGGTATTTTCTGCCTCGCTCGCGACAGACTCACCGCCTCGCCCGTTCAACCTCCTACCCTCCTCGCTAGACACGGCCACGTCCAGGGCCAGGCGACGCCTTTGACGAGTCTCTTCTCGGGCGACGAGGAGAGTGGATCGAGGGTCCTGCGATATGGCTCGACACCGGACCCGGCTGGCTGCCAAGCATCGACGACGATGCCGACCACGGCCGGTCCAGCTGCATCTCGAGAGGACAGATAGCAGCCGCCATTGGCGTGACAGGCACGTGGCAGCAGACGCCAACCTTGCTTTTCCTTGTCCCACGCACCTCCTGGCCGCTGCTGCTGCACATGCATATGCCACGGCGCGGGTTCCTGTTGGGTCGATCAACACGCGGCACACGTCTATTTCGGACATCGCCCTTGCCGCCCTGTCTCGCCTGCACGCTTCCAACTTTTCCACTGTACGGAGTAGGGGGAGGGGGGGGGAGGTGAAAATTGGGGCTATCACCATGTCCCGCCCGCCCAGCATCTCCTTACTGTACGGCCCAGGCAGGCGATATCTCGAGCCAACAGCTGATTTCACCCACGCAGGCAAAACGCTTTGGGCTCCAACTCTCGCCAAGGAGTCGATTGAGCGAGGCCATCCTTTGCTCCATGGTAAAAGCCATTGGGCGCCGCCTCTCGTCGCTTCTGCTCAATGACAAAGCCGTCCCCAAGCCATGCCATGCCTTGGCTGCTCGACTGAGGCAGCCTTTGATAGGCCCGAGCGGGCTATTTGGCGCCAGCACCCAAGACGAGAGCGTGGGGGTGGATGCACGAGCCCAACCATTGCCAACTGACGCCGTCAATTTCAAGTCTCGTCGTCCCTTTGCTGCGGCTCTGCTCTGCGCAGAGCAAGACTTCATCCTTGTCCAGCTCTTGGATCCCGCGATAGCGACACCCCCATCTTGATCCATTCCTCGGAACCCCCACCGCTCTCACAAGCCGTCCATCACAAGTCCAGCTGGCGTGTGTGTGGACCCGTGGATCGTGTGGGGACCCAGGCCATTGGCCTGCCCCCGGGGAAGGCTATCCTACTTCGTGGGGGAGACAAGACGGGCGCAGCCATGACCGAATGAGAGCTGTCGTGGGGGGCAGCATCTGGTCTGCCGAGTCGCTCAACATCCCACGCTGTGGATGCCAGGCATCTGCTTGGGGGGGTGTGATGCATGAGACGCACTGCTCTTATAAATGGCCTCTCTGCCACCTTGTCCAGCCATGGAACTCTGCGACCTCCTTTGCCCCTCTCCCAGAACGTCTCCCCTCTCAGCTATATAGACGGGCGGATCCCTGACCTAAAGCACCGATCTGGACTTTTGGTTTACCCATCGCCCTTGCTCTGGACAGTGTCGTATATCAACTTGGCCAAACGTCACCGAGACCGCAGAAATGCCGACCAGGCCCGAGACCAACGACAGCAATGGCATAGTCGGGACCACCCCTCAAAACCCCTTGGAGCCCGGCATCTACGCACCGACGGTGGCCTTTTTCACGTCAAGCGACACCATTGACGTCGAGACGACAGCTGCGCATGCCAAGCGTCTTGCCCACGCCGGCATTACCGGCCTAGTGACGCACGGATCCAACGGCGAGGCGGTTCACCTCGATCGCGAGGAACGACAGGTCGTCACTCGCGCCACGCGCTCGGCCCTGGACGCTGCCGGCAAGCCGCATGTTCCCATCATCGTTGGGTGCGGAGCTCAGTCGACGCGCGAGACTCTTGGCCTCTGCCGCGATGCCGCGGCCTCGGGCGGCAGTCATGCCCTGGTCCTGCCGCCGTCCTACTACGGCGCGCTTCTGACGACGGACCTCATCGTGGAGCACTTTTGCGCAGTCGCCGACGCGAGCCCTATTCCCCTCGTCGTGTACAACTTTCCCGCCCCGTGTGGCGGCTTGGACCTCAACTCGGACACCATCCTCCGACTGGCCAGGCACCCCAAAATTGTGGGCGTCAAACTGACTTGCGGCAACACGGGAAAGCTGGCTCGCATCGTGGCGGGGACCAAGGACTCCCACTTCCGCGTGTTTGGCGGCAGCGCCGACTTCACCATCCAGACGCTGTCCGTGGGCGGACACGGCGTCATTGCCGGCCTGGCCAATGTCGCCCCGAAAGCGTGCAACGAGGTGATGCGGCTTTGGAGCGCCGGCAGGACCGACGAGGCCGTTGCAATACAGGCCGTCGTGGCGCGTGGCGACTGGGCCGCCATCAAGGGAGGCTTCGTGTCGGTCAAGGCTGCGCTCCAGCGGCACCACGGCTACGGCGGGCAGCCGCGGAAGCCGTGCGCGCTGCTCGAGGGCGAGGCGCTCGAGGCGCAGATGGGCGAGTTTGCGGAGCTCGTGGAGCTTGAGCAGAGCATGGGGGGCAGTAGCGCGTGCGTGGAAAATGGAAGCTGATGGTGATATCTTGATGCGCCGTCTCTTATGAGGCGTGATGAGCACACATCTGCGGCGGTTCGTTTGCCGGTTTGCGGGTGCTTGCGGAGCTTGTCCTTCCAGGGACGCACCGCATTGCGTATATGTAAGTGGCTTTCCCACCCGATGTCTTCCTATCCAGCTACGAAGGGGAGAGCAGAAGGGTATCTTATAGGCAGTTGCAATAATATCTACATGTAATGACAAAAGCTCGCCGACATGGTCCAAGGCAGGATGGTGGTCTTTGGCGGTCTGGTGCACTTCTTCCTCCAACAAAGTTGCTACCACTTGTAGCACACGTAGAGGGAAGAGGAAGAACAATCATATCTGGCAACGCGTTATACACAGGCACCAGGCACGCGCAAGATTAGATGGGACAGAAGACCCTATAATACAACGTTTATCGTCATTCACACGAGACGAGGCGGCCGGCTAACATTACTAGGCCGCAGAAACAGACAAGCACGCAACCAAAGAAAAAAAGACCATCCAAGCCTTTGGCCAAAAACGAGCAGCATAAACAAGCCATCCAAAGCACCGGCCAAAAACAAGCAGCAAAAAGAGGCCATCCAAAGCACCGGCCAAAAACAAGCAGCAAAAAGAGGCCATCCCAAACACCGGCCAAAAAAAAACCCACGCAATGCACACGATCCAAAAACCGTCTATCCAACAGACAACAATCAAGAGAACCAGCGTCTCGCTATCTCTGGGGCCCGGGGGTAGCCACGGCCCGGGACGGGAATGGGGATGGGGGACGGGAGCTGTGGTCGGAACCTCTGCAGCGGCTCCGGGTTTCGAAGGCGGTTCCACGCCGCAGTGACGGCGGGATGTGAGAGTATAGAGCCCGGCCTGGCTATGACGACGCGCTGGGATATGGTGGCGCCACGCTCAGCCGCGGCGATGGTGTTCAAGGTGACGGAGCCTGCCTCATCTTCGACGGAACCTGTCTCGTCTTCATCGACATCGTAGTAGGTCCGGGGAGCAGGGACAAATGAGCCCGAATGGCGGAAGCATTGCGGCTCTTCCTCGACTAGGCGAGGCCTGTTGCCATGTGGTCGAACAGGCGGGGGGCTGAGGGCAAGACTCAGATTTCGCCCCTGAGTCAAATCGTAGGGTCGTCCGCGAACAACCATGGAAGCAATGGAGGGGGCGCCAGTAGGGCTGACATTCTTGTCTTTACCCTGGCTGCATGGCTTGTTGCAGATAACTGTGGCAGCACTCGACGGTGCCGAAAACGAATCAATGTTCTCGTCGCCGGTCGGACTGTAGGAAGTGGTGTGGATGACCGTCCCAGCACTCGACGGCGCCGAAAATGACTCAATGTTCTCGTCGCCGGTCGGACTGTAGGAGGCGGTGTGGATGACCGTCCCAGCACTGGAAACCGAGCAAAGTAATTCGAGGTTTTCGTCACCAGGCAAGATGTAAGAGGGGGTATGGACGACAGTTGCGAGGAGTGGACCCTTGCCCCAGTCTCGAGTCGGGAAGCCGTTGGGAAATAGGGGTGACAGCTTCTCCGCCAGCGGGCCCGCGCCTTTGGCCTCATCCTTCTCCTCCGCTACCTCCTCGTCTACCTCCTCGATAGGGGAGCAAGGGCAGCTATAGTACTTGGAGGAGGTTGAAGAGCCGGAGGAGATACGGCGAGCCGCGATGTAGCGAGCCCAGCTCGCCTGCCTCTTCTGTTCCTCGATCTCAAGAATTTCAGACTCGGATAGCATGGGGGCGTTGAGCATAGAGAGGAGCGACGTGTCGAGAGTTGCCTCGTCGTCTCGCTGCTCACCGGCAGCAAATTGCCTAGACAGATTCTCGACGCGTCCTTTTCTGCGAAGGAGCGGCCTGGGTGAAGCCGTGGGCGAAGCTTCTTTCTCCGCCTCCTCCTGGTGCTCCTGGCTGGTCTTCGTCGTCACATCCAGCTCCTCCACAGGAGGGGTGACATTCATCTCCTCGGGACAGGCAGGCGCCCCCGGGATGGGGATTTTCACAAAATACTCGCGCGCAAAGTCATCCATGGCCTGCATCCGCCTCTCTTCCTGCTCCTGGCGACGCGCGTCGGCAGCTGCCGCATGGAGGCGCTCCCGAGCTTGACGCTCCTCGTGGCGCGGCTTGGAAGGGCAGTGGTCCAGGTTGGGGCATGCTCCCAGATTGAAGGGGCGCATTTGGCGCTCGCGCAAGGGGCAGAAGGTTGGGTCGGGCTTGACGCCCATGGTTGATTCATCCAACATGTTGGCATAGTCAGACCAAAAAAGGTAGCAGTGGTGCCACGCGACGGTGCGCTCAGCTCCGCAGTCGAGGCAGTTCCAGACCGTCTCCTGGCACATCTTGAATCTCTGCCCTGGACGCGCCTTGGTGGGAAGCAGAAGTAGGCAGTTCTGCCGGCAGGGTCAGATCCTGCCAGAAGCCAGACGAGACGCGCGTGGGCCTTACGAGCAAGAGCAAGATACCACAGTCGAAAGCTGGATGGGAAGCAGAGGAGCAGACAGCCCTGCCGCGACAGGGTCAGCTCCTGCCAGAAGCCAGACGAAACGCGCGTGGGCACTTTACGAGCAAGAGCAAGTTCGCCGCGGCGGAAAGCTGGGTGGGAAGCAGAGAAGCAGACAGCTCTGCCGCGCGAGAAGGTCAGCTCCTGCTAGACGCCAGACGAGACACGCGCGGCACTCACGAGCAGTGTCAAAGTCACCTCAGTGGAAAGCTGGCAAGCACGAGAAGCGGTTGCAGTGTTTGATGAGTCGTTGCGGGTAGTTGTAGCGTGGTTGTTTGAAGAAGCAGTAGCAGTCAGTGTGCGAAGACGCGATGGAGGAGAGAAGAAAGACGGGACGACGCGTCGGATGGGAGAAAGGCTATTTGACCTGCTCCCAGGCGACCAGCCACCCCCCCATCCCCTATTCCACGCCCTGGCGTCCGCGGGCCGATGATGTAACTGCCGCGTCGAGCACGCGCAAGGTCCACTCTCAGAAGCGAGAACGACGTCGTTTCTCCGTGGGAAGATTCCATCATGAACAGCCGCTTGCGAGGTTCCTCTGGCCTGTTCCCGCGGTCCCCCTGAACCGTCGGGGCGGCCACCCTTGCCCGCCTGAAGCCGAGCTCCCTGAAGCAGACCCTCCTCCTCCACCGCTTTAGCCCTCTTGCGTGATGCATCCCCATGGCCTCGTCGTAGATGTCTGCTTCTGTATGCCCGGCATTACCCTTGGGCTTGCAAGACTTGACACGGACCCATGCCTCCATGGTGCCTCTGATCCCCTGAGGCAGCCACTCTTGCCCCCCTCAAGCCGACTTCCTCCCTTTCTTTGCCTTTTTGCGTGACGAGTCCCCCATGGCCTCTTCGTAGATCTCCGCTGCAGTCGGTCCGGCCTTCCTCTTGGGCTTGCTGGACTTGACGCTGACGACTGGCTTCGCTTTCCCTTCCTTGGCGGCGTTGCGCACCTGCTTCTCTGCCTCGTCCCACGCGGGCGCGTCGCCCTCAATCTCGAACCTAGTAGATCATAGTCAGTAAGCTTGACTAGCGCCTGACCTTGAACTTTGGGCGTCCATCTCCTTACTGGTCCAGGGGCAGGGAGTCGATGAGCTCCCGCTGCTTTTGCCTCAGCGCCTGAAGCGCCTCGTTGCCACCCTCCTCCAGCTCGGCCTCGAGCGACGTGTCTAGCGGGACAAAGCGATCGTCGACAACCTCGTCGTCGTGCGCACCGCTCGCGTCCTCCCTCGCGACTCCCAGCTTCTCGACCTGTGGCAGCTGCGCGTCGACGGCCGCCGAGATGAGAGAGCCGAAATGCGTCGTTACCTTGCGAAGGACCTTGATGAACATGGCTAGCAGCTGGTTCGAAGGCAGGGACAGTTCCTGTGCCACGGTGTCCATGTCTTTGCGCTGGAGCCCGATGGCCAGCAGGATACACTGCTGGACACCCGTCAACTTGATGTCGGCCCTTAACCTCCCGGTAAAGTACAGGCTGGCTATCGTGGGGATCATGTCGAGAATAACGTGGTAGTCCAGCATGTTATTCGCGTACGACTCGAGGCGCTTCAGGTCAAATGGCGTCAGTTGTCTGTCCAGTTCCACCTTGTCCAAAGGTGCGACTTCGACCGAGTCGAGCTTGGCGCCGACATTGGCCGACTCGTCGACGCTCAGGGCCGTGATTGCTGGGAATGTCCGGAACTGATACGACAGTAGCGACAGGAACCGCTTTTGGAAGTCCCTCGAAAATGCTCCGAGCCACGTCCTGTCCTCGCTATTCTCGAGCGGCCGAAGCATGACGCACGTGTGCTCGCCCGTCAAGTCGTTGGCCGTTTGACGCAGATACACTGGTGAGAAGGTGGACCGCTTCCAAAACTTGAGTAACGAGGGTGTCAACCCGTAGCTGACGCCGAGGTAGTCGAGAGCCTTGGGCTTCTTCTCGTGGGGCTTTGCGAAGAGAGGCGGCATCTGGGCCTGATCCCTGACGGCAATCTCTTCCTCCAACAGGGATGTCTTGGCCAACTCGGCGTCCGTCGCCCGACGCACCTTGTCCTCCATGACTTGGTCCTCGTCTTCCGACAGATTGGCGAAGCGACCCTCGTAGTAATCGATCAGGAGTTGCAGGGCCTTTGTTCCGTAGCCCATGGACACATACTCGGGGTTCGTCGCTATCCGGACAACTCGAGCACCGGAGAGAGATGCAAAGTCCTCGTCCTGGAACTGTTGGCTGACGAGCCAGGGTATCAGGTCGCCGGACGGCCGCTGCCCCCGACTCAGGCTGTTGAGCACGCTCTGCCTGCTGATTTTTCCCTCGAGCGCGACTTGGATAACACACAGGGGCTCGGGGAGCTTTCCACTGCCCTCAACGTTGGGCGGGACCAGGACGAACAGCTCGTGGGCTGGAGCATCGCTCATGAGCTGCAGATCATCTGGTGAGTTTTTGTAGTGGCTTGCCACGTACAGGGCCACCATTTGCTGAAGAAAGGCTTCAGAGACGGGATGGAAGGAGAAGAGGGTATCGCGGTTGACGACGAGGAGCTCGCATTGCGACGGGTCCGGACACCCGTGGATGTTCGACTTGGACTTGGGCAATGTGGCATCGAGACACAGCAGCTTGTTCAGCCACTTCTCCACAGCATCGCCGCGTGCGTATCTGATTGGCTCTGCGAGGGTGATTTCTCGCAGCTTCCTGGCGGCCTGGTTTTCGTCGGATTTCGCCGCCTTCCCGGTCGACCGATCGGCCAGCTGCAAGTCACTATTCGTGGAGGCGGATCGAGACTGCTCGCGCAGCTGCTTGATCAACTTCAGGGACAGCGACCGGCCAGTACCTTCGTAACCATTGATAGTGGAGGCCATGAGGACCAGGTACGGACCCATGAGCTTCCGGACTAGGGGGAGCGGGATGGCGGCTGCTTCGTCGATGACGACGAGCTCCGCTTGCCCCAGGACGTGGGCGTCTTGTGGCCTGATGTACTGGATGGTCTGGCGGTGTTGCCTGTGGATGTTGACCCGGACAATGGCCTTGTTGAAGTCGGGGTTGGTGCTCTGGATGATGGAGTAGTCGGCGTGGTCGGTGTATCCGAGCGCATCGAAGCCCTTGAAGACAAACTCGAAGAGCGTCTTCAAGTTTTCCGGCGACGGCGAGGTGATGAAGATGTTGCTGTATCCGTGCGCAACCGCGGCGGCGACAGCGACGCCCATGGCCGCTGACTTGCCCCGACCTCTGGCGGCCGTCAGGGCGACGGTACTCCGCAGCGTCTTCTCCGCGATGGCGTCTGTGAAGATGAGGAGCGCCTGGGCCTGATCTACCGTCTTTGCGAGGGAGATTAAGGACCCCACCGGTTCCCGTTCTCGGTGGTCGTCTTTGATGCTGTCCAGCTGGACCTGTTGCGGCGTCTTCGGCTGGTCCAGGTCTGGAGGGGGCAAGGCCTTGACATCCTTGCCGCCCGAGATGGGCAAGACGTTGAGCTCATCGTCGATGACGAGGCACGACTCGCAGCGGCCCAAGGACAGCAAGAACCTTTCGTTGAATCTGGCCACCACATCGGTATGCGCTTCGGTGCGGTATCTCGAGTGGACGTCCATGGATAGGTTGTAGAGCTGTCTCAGGCTGCTCATGCCCTTGAGCAGCATGACGACGAGGCCGCCGCCTTCGACCGTCTCGACGGTGCGGGCCAGAATGTTTGGGGTCAGGGCCTCAAAGTCCTGCAGGACGCACATGCCGAAGGTGTTGCCAAGGATCTTGTCCGTCTCCTTGTAGTAGGTGTAGCGGATGTTGTGCAAGGAGACAAAGAGCTCGAAGGGATCCTCGGTGTTGGCTTCGCGGATGCCTCGCTTGATTTCCTTTTTGATTTTCTGCTCACGCTTCTTCCGGTGGCTTTTGCGCTCCTTGGTTAGCCGGCGCCCTCACGACCCGAGACTCGGGCACTGGCTTACCTGGTGAATCCTAGCAGCTTGCTCTTGTACGCCCACAGCACCGACTTGTTCTGCTTAATGTCCATGCTGGACATGATGTAGTGCAGATGGACGATGACATCCTTGGCGCGGTCGCCGACAACGACGAAGAAGCTTCTCTTCTTCTCTTGCAGGCCATTGCGGATGAGCGTCTGGATGCGCTGATCCCTGCGCGAGGCGTTAAAGGGCGGGCCGCTGAGCGCAAGGAAATTGAAGAGAAAATGTGAATGAAGAGGGAAATTTCAAGGGTACTTACACTTGTTTGCGCGACATTTTGTGGGTGTGCTCTCAAGCAATGAATTGCACTTTGTAAATGTCGGGGCCCTCTGACGCCTTCAAGAATCTCATGACGGGTGACGCCGCGCAAAGAAAAAAAAAGTGCCAAACTTTTGGGCGGCGTCGAAATTGTGCCGGGCGGTGAGGCTCGGTGAGTCTTGATGTGGGCTGGGATGCAGGGTGGGGTCTTACCGAAGCCCACCGAGGATCGCCAGCGCTCACCGACGGTCACCGAAGCCTTTTTCTTACATACGGAGAACTTGACTGCTGAAAGTGGCTTTTCGGGGACTGGGACATTGTGAATTGCTACCTGAGCCCTGGACTCGGCGTTTTGGAAGTAACAATACAGTTGCCCTATTTTCTTTCCAACCGCCAGCGCGATCCATGATCGTACTGTTCCGACATGAAATATCACGACGATTTGATGTTTGGTTTCTACACTCAGGGCCATACAAGCTTGAATGCAAAGGTAGCGAAAACACTGTTGTACACGAAGGAAGGCGCGCGATTCAAGCAGGCGACGCTGACGCTGTCTTGGTTCCTGATTTCCCGCGGCTCACAAATGGGAGCTCATAGAGTACCAAGCACGTTTCAGCACACGCAGATTAATTGCTTGCGCAAGTCTATGGGATATGAAAAAGACTTTCGGTGCAACTCAGCGCGGCAAGCCAGCCCCAACGACCATGCGCGGCACCACCAAAAAATGAAACAGACACGAGTACCAATCCGTCAAATGCAGCACAGACATGAGAACGAGCGGACCAAAGAGTCATGTACACGACGGGAAAGAGGGCGCGCGCGCGTGTTACGTGCGGTCCAGCTTCCGGCGCAGGTTGCGGGTGCGCTTCATGAGCTTCTTGTACTTCTTCTTCTTCATCTTGAGCTTCCGTTGCCTCTTGACGCTGATGGCGTGCATGTCGCGGCGAGCCTGGGCCTCGTCAAAGGTGAGCTGGCGGCGGGCCATGCGGGCGAGGAAGCCGCGCGGCTGGTCGTCGTTGACGATGCGGGGGCTGTGTGCGACGATGCGGATCTGGCCGTCGGGCTCGGTCGTCTCCTCGATGGTGAACATGGCCCTGTATACGCGGTGCTGGGGCCCTTGATCGAGGGCCTCGGAGTCGGCGGCCATACCCTCAGAGTCGGCGGCTGACTGGGGGCGCGGGAGGGGCGGGGGGCGGTAGGGTAGGAAGTCGCCCGACATGGCATCGACTTGCAAGTAGAGGCTCGACTCGCTGCCGTCGGGGTTCCTGACCTCGACCTTGCGCATGCCGTCGGCGCGTGCGTGGTGGTCGTCGTGATGGGCCTCTATGGTCATCTGGGCCATGGGGCCCTCGAGTTGGTCAATAGTGTCGGAGAGGGTCGACATGGTTTCGGCCGCCTTGTTGGCCTTTGCGTGGGCGGCAAAGATGGAGGCAAAGTGCTCGTCCGAGACGGAGCGCGGCATCGTCTGGGTGATGGAGATGGGGCGATGGAGCGAGAAAAAGCTCGAGAGGCCGATGGCTGGGGCATGGTCAGAGAGGGGGCCAAAAAACTTCCTCAAGTGGGCTCACCTTCTTGGGACAGGTGATTGGTGGCGGGAACGCTGGGCAGCTTGCGAAAGGAAGCGCTCCTGTCCGAGGCGTCCTTGTTTTTCCGTTTCCTCTTGTCGCTGCCAGCCTTGCCCTCGGCTCGCGCCGACGTCGACGCCGAGGCGGGGACCGAGGACTGGCCGGCGGGAATGTCGCCGGGGCCGTTGTCGGGCCTCGAGGGCTTGGAGGAGGAGCATCGCCGCTGGTGGCCGCGGACGAGGACGGGCGCGGCGGACGAGGGGCCGAGCGACGAGGCCAAGGCTGCGGCCTGGGGGGCGGCCGAGACGACGACGCGCCGCACCGACGAGGGCAACATGATTGCGGCCAGCTGCTGCGACGGGGCGGCTTGGGCGGGGGAGACGGAACAAGAAGCGTTGCTCTCGTCAACGCAGGCGCCAGGACGGGCGGGCGGGCGATCCTGGCTATGGGTGGTGTTGTGTGAGACGGATGGATGGATGTCGATTACGGCCCCGAGTAGGTAAAACGCTGCCGCTGGGGTTCAGGCCTGCCTGCGCGAGGTACAGTACAGTACAGTACAGTACCCAGTAACTAAGTACCCAGTGCCCCCAGGGTGGCAGAGCGCGGCCTGAGGCAGCCATGGCCGCTTGCCGGAGGCTGCCGTCTCAGTTGAAATAAGACGGGCGAACCTTGTGACTCGCCGTCCCCTCGAATCCATTTCCAAGTCCACGGTGCTTGCAGAAGACTGCCTACCTATTCCAACGAAATTCGCCAGCCCTTCATGGAGCCAACCTCGAGCAAAAGACAGTCGATGCGCGAAACAAAGGACTCGCAAATCTCCTCCCCCTCCTCCCCCTCCTCCAAGGATCGCAACGCCAGCCCCCGCCTGGATCGTGTGACGTGCTCCCTCGCCTTGTCACGCGCATGACGCTCTCGTCCCATGCTGCGTGACGACGAGACCAAGAGCGTATACCAGAAAAATGTCTTATATTTAGTCCGCATGGGGCCAAAACCCTTATATGCCCGTAACCCCAGGTTTCTATCGTCTATGCCTCTCTTTGCCCACAAAAGACCAATCCGTTGCTGGAAGAGCAACGCGGGGCTCTATACCAATACCAAACCTGCAAAGGATCCAATGCCAATAGAAACAGCACAGTCCGCCTCGAAAGAGCGAGCCGCCGGCTTTATGCCTTTTCCCTTTCCTTGTCTCCTCCCGTCTCCTGCACCGCCGACGCCGGCGTCTGGCTGTTGACCCAGCTCAGGTAGCAGTTCCAGCCAATGGAGATGATGTTGGCAAACAGGACGCGGTGCTGGAGCGGCAAGAAGGTAAAGTTGACGATCTGCACAAACGGCCAGACCATCCAGTTGGTCTGCAGCGCCGGCCACCACGTCCTCTGCAGCCGCTCCTTGGGGCTGGCCCCTTCCATGGTGGCCATGCTGCTGAGGAAGACGCCGATCATGACGGGGGCGAAGAGTGTTTGGTCGCAGGCGACGCGGGCCAGCGTCTCGATGCGCCGGTTGGAGAAGTTGACGCGCCGGGCCAGGAAGCCGAACCACGTGGTGGCCACGGGGCCAAAGACGACTGGGGCAAGTTAGACTTGCGACGGGGGAATTGGTCTGGGGGAAAGCTCACATCCACCATAAAGGGCCATGCGCCCGGTGCGCGTCAGGTCATGGCCCTTGATGCCGCGCTTGTCGACGAGCTGCTGGGCCGTAATGTCGCCCGTGGCAAACAAGACGGCCGTCGTGACGCTCTGGGTGAGCAGTGGGCGCGACGCCAGCTTGCCATTGTACCTGGGTCGAGCAAGTCAGGACAAGCAAGACGACAGAGGGCCCAGGAGCATGCGTTTGTGTGCGCGCGCGTTGCGCTCTTCTCCCGCAATGCTCCCTCCCTGGGGCCGAGGCCGTCGTACCAACGAAACAGAGAGATGACCATGACAGGCAGCGTCTGGGTCTTGTGTATATGAAGCCCGAGCTCTCGGTCGCTGATGGCTGCAGGGCTCGAGCTCGACGAAGAAGCCTCGGGTTTGGGATGCCCTCGTGCCCTTTTCGTGCTTGTCGAAGGCTCGCCTATTGGCGGTGGCGGCGGCGGCGGCGGCGGCGGCGGCGGGATGTCGAAAGCGCGGTGGTGGTGGAGAAGGACAGACGGACAAGGAAACAAGACGCTGCTACAAGAGGAAAAGAGCGACGACGGGGGGGAGGAGTAATAAGGGGACGGCCGTCGCTGACTGTAGTAGTCAATTGACGATGGGAAAGGACCTGGCAATCCAACGATGACGAGGCGGGCGGGGGGAGAGATTGCCTCCCTGGGGAAATGCTCCGCGGGAGGTGGGGAGAGCTAACAACAAGTCTCGCCCAGTCTAAAAAAAAGCATCCTTTTTTGTTCAGAGCTACGCTTCTGTCTCTGTCGACGATGCTGCTTGAGCTGGCTGGCAGATTATGGCGCCCATTGAAGTGCCTGAGCAGATTCACCGTGCCGTCTGGCTGAGGCCCCGTACGTACAGCATCCATCCATGCTCGATACATGCACAGTGCCCGCCAGTCTCATCCGCCATGGCAGAGCCGGTCAGGCCAGCGCCCATCTACTCCGTACGCCCATCTCGCCTTCTGGCTTTGCTGCTATTCTCACGCCTCGCCAGGCCTTTTCAAAAGCGTCGCTGCGCTTTTGCGTCCCCTCTTGGCAACTTTGCCTATGCACACTGCCGACCCCTGGCCTCCTCGCCAACACCAATCGGCTCGCCGCCGCACACTTTCAGGGGCGTAGAGAACCCCTGCCCATCTACACCTCCGTCTCGATGCCCGCCTGCTTCGAATGCCGGTCAAAGAGCCCCGTCACGCCGTCCCCCACCCGCTCAAACTTGTGCTTCATCCACCTCGCCGTTCGCGGCACCTGTCGTGAGGCACCAAGTCAGTCACTCACTCGCCCCCAGCACAGACGCCGGCAGTCCTCACCTTCCATTGCATGATGCCCCGGTGCTGCCGATGCAGAGCCTTGTCCCGCCTCCTGTAGTCCCGGATCTGGTCCAGCGGTCCCTGCTTGTCGTCGACGCTGCCGTCGGGTAAGTCTTTGCTCATGGAGCTGTCGGAGCTGTCGCTGTCGCTCGATGCCTCCTCGTCCACAATACCTGCTTCATGCTGCATCTTGTCCGTGTCGAGATTATCTCGCGCCGTGTCGATGACCTCCACAACGTCGCGGACATTCTGGTTGCGCGATGCCCATCGAGAATGCGCGCTCCCCTGGGCGGCTCGTTAGCCGATGCTTCTCTCGTGCAATGTCAGTCACTCGCTGGTGTGCAGCTGCGTACCATGCCCGCCCAAAACGTCACCTTTAGCTTCAAGCTGCCGACCTTTTCGCCGCATTCCTCCAGGCAGCAAGCCGTCGCCCGCTCAAAGTCGCCTTTCCAGATGGTCAGTTCGAGGTCCTCTTCCTCCTCGTCTGGTATATCCTTAAGCCACAGCACGCAAAACGCCGCCACCTTGTCCCCGAAGAAGCCCTTGTCCTTGAACGCGATCGACATGCAGCTGCTGTACCGCTTCTTGACGGCCAGGCTGAGGTTCTGCTCCTTCTTTGCCCTCCACCTGGCCTCACCCCCCCCTTGCGGATACAGCTTGCCCATGCTAATGTTCGTCTTGAGCTTGAGCTTGCACGTCTTGAGATTCTCGGGACAGTCTCGGCTGATGGCCAGTGGCTGCACGTCTACAGTGCCATAGCTCCAGCCGAGCATATTCCGCGGAGCTTGGAGCTGCACGCTCCGCCAGACCAATGAGAGCCTGATTCGCCCGTGGCCGATGCCGCCCGTCAGCGGCCAGAAACCCATAACCTGTGACCGCTCCTTGAACACGTCGCCAAGCGGCAGGTGCACAATCCCGAGAAGGGGATTGTCTTCGTGCAGCCTGGCGTCCCGCACTGAGACGAAGACCTCGCACTCTCTCCAGTCGCGTACGAATCGCTCACACCCTGCGTTGAAAAATGGCTTTGCGTTCTGCGGCTTCGTCCGCGTCTTGAACGTCTTGCTGTGGTTGACGATGACGGTGCAATAGGAGCTCGGCAGGCTCTCACCCGTCTCCTGCTCGTCGCTTGCTTCGTCGTCGTCGTCGTCGCCTTGCCTCTTGCTCAGCTTGTCGAGCTCGAGTCCGGTGATGTTGTGAATTTGCAAGCTTAGCAGGCCGCTAGGAAACCCGTCCGGCGGTGGGGCCGATATCATCATGGCGTCCTGCTCGCTTTTGAGCTCCTGCGCCTTGAGCTGCTCCAACTCTTCCTCGTCCCGCTCCGTCTCACCCTCCTTGCACATGATTTCGCGAAGCTTCCTCTCACTGCTCTTATCCACCACCTCCTTGAGCTGCTCCATGGTGCGGATCTCCGGGTCGTGGGTTTGCTGGTCAAACTGGCACTGCTGCATCTTGGTCTTGGCAAAGTATCCAACACTCCACTCCAGCTTGCCGGGCATATTGTCGCCGGCTTTGAGTGCTCTAAACCCGTCGACGCGGCTCCACATGCGTCCCCTGGATCGGTCGTCCTTCATGAGCTCCTTCAGGGGCACCTCGATTCGCCCCAGGTCGTCGTCGGCGGTGAACCGGTCCGAGTCCCAGAGCTGCACGCGCAGCCGTTCCTCGATGTTGAGCTCCTCGGGCGTGACGAGGAGGAAGTATGTCTCGTCCCAATAAGGCTCCATCTCGGACGTCAGGACGCGGGTGCTCCAAAGGACCTTGCCAAACTTGGCCCATCCTACCGATACGTAGGGGTCGGAGCTGCCCTCTTTGAAGAAGGGGATCCCGACGTCGCCCATTTTAAATTCATAACCCCGCTTGATGTGAATCATGAGGATGCCCGCCGAGTTGGTGTCCTTCTTAAAGTCGTCGCCGGCGAGCATGTCCTTGAGGTTGATGGTGAGGCTTTTGGGCGCCACGTACTCGGCAACGGCGGCATCAACGGCCGACTGCACAAAGTTGCTGATGAGCGGGACATCCATGATATTGAGACCACGCTGACTCAGGGGCATGCAGCTCAAGTCGACCTTGGGCTGGCCCAGAAAAGTCACGGTGCAGAGGGCGAAGAATGGGGGATCCGGCGTCAGCTGCAGACGCATTCGCATGATTCCTACGATTCCCTGCAAATCAACCCAGACGGGAATCCTGAGATTTCCGGGCAAGTAGAAGGCGAGGTAGAGATGCATGTCTTTTGTCCGGCTCTTGAGGCTCTTTGAGCTGGAGCGCGTTCGATAAGCGAAGGCGACCTCGAGGTTGATGAAGTCGCCCTCCTCGCCCTCCATGCCCTCCAAGATTGCATGCCCGCCGCTCTGTTGCTTGGAGTCGCGCTCGCTAGAGTCGTCTTGGTCTGTTCCGTCCCCGTCGACGTCATTCTTGCAGTGCTCCTCGGCCGTCAGGTTCCCATCGCGGGTGACTGATTGGGCCGCCGCGCCAGTGGGCAGCCAGCGGATGCCGAGGATACGGAGAGCCTCGCTTCCCTGTCCAATGTCTTCGACGCTGACCATCCGGACGAGTCTGGGGAGCGAGGCCTGCATGACGTCCTCGAGCGTGTCGCAGAGACTGGCAAAGAGGTCCGGGTTGATGAGCGGCCAGACTGAGCCGAGGACCGAGTTGAGCCAGGCCGTCGACTCGGTAACGTCCTCGTTGGCCCGGGCCTCGGTTTGGCGGCGCTGCGCATCCCAGATCTCGTCTTGAAAGATGCTCTTGACCTTGCGAGAAGTGTATTCCCGGACTCCGGCAATCAGGATCGCAATGGCCGCTCCGCTGAGGGCCATCAAGGTGATCCACGAGCGACCTGCGGCTCCTTGTTGGGGCTTGAGGGCCTCGTCCGGTCGCATTAACCTCTCCACGGCCAACGTTGCTACAACGATGATGGCGGTCCCCGAGAGCCCGATGGTGACGCCACGCCTGCTGATGGCCGCCATGTTCTGGCCCAGGACCTCAAAGTCGGGGGGCGGAAAGCGATTTATCAAGAGGGCATGGTCCCGCTGCAGGGTGGTCTTTTCGCTCATGAGCTGCTCCTCGGACTTTTGCTTTGCACCGAGGCCGGTGGACGTCTCCGGAGTCGAGCCAAAGGGCGGATAGTTGAAGTCGAGCTCCTCGAGGGCATCGTCGGTGAAGTCATGGATGATGACGGGGAGGTGAGTAACGGGATCCGTCACCTCACGCTCTGCGCGCTCCCGCTTCCTGTTCTTGAGCTCCTTTCTCCGCAGCCTGGGATCCGTCGTCTCCGGGCCAACCTGGGACGTGTCCTTGAGCATCTCATTGTCATCAGTCAAGCCGCTTGGCTTCTCGCTCGTGCTTTGCGGGCCCGTGCCGGACGTCGACGGCCGCCGCTCCGGCTTGCCTTGACCCCACGCCGGGTAGGGAGGCGGGTCATCGCCGCCGGCGTCTTGACCCTTGAGAGCCTCTTGCTGCCGGGCGGCCTTTGCCTCGCGATACCTGGATATCGTAGGAATGGGCCGCCGGGCGCTGTAGGGGGCCTGATAGCGCCTCACGTCATCGGTGTCGTCCTTGCCCGACATGGCTGTGAGGCGGTCCCGAGAGACGAGCCGGGAAAAATGATGTCCCGCCCTCGGCCCATCCGCGGGCGTTGAGAGAGCGAGCTCAGTTCGGTGGTGGAACGGATTTGGTAGACGTCGATCGCTGCCGCTGTCCCCCCCGAGGATGTCGAAGAGGGCAGACGAGAAATGCAGCGCGGAAGCACTGGAGGCAGATTGCGGCCACGTTACGTCATAGGGTCGCTCGCGACTCTTGGCAGAAACCACCACCGAGGCCGACGCGAAGGTCGTGGTCCAAGGAGGACCCGAGGGATTGGGATTGAGATGCAGGGATTTTGCTCAGCGGGAGAGACTATTGTTTGCCCCAAATCATGGCAGCCGGTGGAAGAGGGGGCTGAGCTCGACTCGGTTCGAGGAAGACAGGACGTCGGCCGAAGCCACCAATCAATCAAGCCTGCGGACAGCAGCCGAAAGGATCGTTCGATGTTGGTCCAATCGGCGGCCTCAATATTAAGTTACTCTCTCACTCAACTACATTGGCACATGCACAGTATTCGACGGCAAGCCTTCCGTGGGGATGCTATTTCTTCTTCTTTCCTTCTTCCTTTTTTTCGATCCATCAATATTGACACGGAAACACAGTGAGGCAACGATGAGGTGAGAGCGAGAGGCACGACCGACGTCTGCACAGGCCTTTGGCAGACGGTGCTGGCATCTGACATGGCGAGCATGAGAGAGACACTGCGGCAGCAATCAAGTTTCCTCCCCCAGCAAACGGACTTCGACGGCTTCGACTGGCGCGTTGAAGACACGATGCCCGCAGATGCCGAGTGCGCGCGTGCCCGGGGTCCGGCGTGGGCCGTGCAGCTCGGCGGTCGCGGGGATGCGGGCATCGATCGAGTCATTTACCTATTTAAATGCGCGACGTGAGGCCTGTCGTGCTAGCCTCGGTGCCGAGTCTCTACACCAAGCAGGTGTTTCTGCACGACGGGACGATTCCGGTTTTCCTTTTGCTTTGTTCGTCTTGCCCCCCCTGTCCTTTCTTCTCTCTGCTCAAAGAAATGGAAATTGCATGGATCGACGGCCGATCGAGGAGAGAGAGGTCGCCTTCGTTCACGGGGCGGAACATGGAGGGCGTTGGCGGCCCTGCCATGTGTAGATGTGGATGGACGCGTTGCTCTCTGCTGCCCGCTCACATGCAACAACTAGGCTCCATGCTTGCCACGATGGGATCGATCGATGTGGTGGAAATCCATGGCGGGTGTTCTGCCCTTGTCCTGTTGGGGCGGTGTGTTGGGAGGTGAGGGATGGTCCTGGAGGGATGAGGGCCCCCCCTCCATATATGTTTTCTTTCTACCTAGTTACATACAGGACATGCTTTACATCGTCTGTGCATACGTATACTTTAGACAAGAACCCATGCGTGATAATTGAGACGGAGACACATACTGTCAGTGAGGCCCGAGGTGTGCGTGGGCGGCATATCATCGTACGATTCCCCACGGCGGGTGCGGTGCGTGCCCGACAGTGACATGCAGCCCTAAGACGATCTGGCAAGGATCAATGGATGATGGACGGGGCCTCGTCGGAAGCACGCCACAAGGCCTCGGCTGAGCTCGGACAAGGCATTCCTCGACTTGTCGAACCAGGTGCAGATGGCCCGCGGTGCAGCAAGATGAATCAAGGACGAGAGAATGTCCGGTTTTGTCAAGTCAAACCCGGCTAGGCTTGGTGGCTGACTGGCAACAGGCAACAATCTTCCTCGGCTCTCGGTGTTGGAATGCCCTCCTTTGGCAGCGGAGCGGCGTCTCATTCAGTCTAGACCGGCACGTCTACATTACTTGCCATACGTGGCGGCTCAGGGTGCGGTTTCGCGGGGGCTGCCTTGAACGGCTGTTGACTCGCGCCCGGGGGAGGCGTCGGCCGTTTCGGCCGTTTCACGATGCGGCCGTTTCGGCAGACGGACGAGACGGGAAGACACACAACCACTCACGCGCTACGCAGACGGCGGGGGGTCTGTCGGCCTTGGGGACAGGCCTTGAAGACAGGCCGTGCTTCTCGAGCTGCGATGACGACTCCACATCGTATCTCGTCTTCTGCACGAGGGGGTGCCGGGAGAGACAGTGAGAAACAGAGGACTGAACGGGGCGAGCATGGTCCGGCGGATCGGTCGAGCAAAAAGCCATGACGACGATAGCCTGTCTCGCCTCCACCTCATGGAGATCAGCCAACCAAGAGGAAGCTAAACCGGCGGTTTGCCGCCCGTCGGAGGTTGCGAAGCTGAATCCAGGGCTCGGGATAGGCTTACATGGTGTCGTGTTGAGTGAACTCTTCCGCCAGGGAGGGTTTTCCTTTTGGGAAGTCTGTAAGAGGCTTCAAGCGGCTTGGGCGACTGAGCGCATAACGGCCATCAGACGTCTCTGGTCTCACGGCTTTCCTCCTGCCCCATCCATCCGCTAGAGAAATCATCAAACCAGCCCATTACGCAAGGGTTCAGAGCGGACGTGATTCGCCGGGTGCAGGTTTAGCACCCTGTCCTGTCTGTGACGATGACAGGCTCGATGCCGCTGGCCAACAAAAAGGTCGTTGTAAGCGCCTTGGGCCACGCCAACCCGCAGGCCACATGACGGCTGAGCTGATGCTTGCTGGTAAGTTGGTTACAGTGTACTGTACAGTACATACCTATTATTACTGTATTGCCCAAAAAGGGTGCCTTGGCGTGCGTACAGTAGTTATTAATACAGTACAACTGCATGTAGAATTTCCAAATGTCCCCCGTCCAATGTCATGTCGCCTATCGACTGCCTTCAGGGGGTGGTTGGACGTAATTAGGTACCTAGGTATCCGTATCTGCACTGGCATTGTTACTCGGTACGTAGTATTAATACTGTACCGGTAGAACTTGGCTTCTCAACGTCTTTCTGCTGCCTTTAGGCCCGGCTTGTTCAAGACTGCACCGTTAGTGGCGCTAGGCCGCTGTGGCTGGCGCTAAACTCCGGCCAAGGAGCAAATCAGAGGAGCAAGACTCGGTATGGGAGCCTCGGGAGGAAGGTGCTACAGAGTACCGTACCTTACAGCCAGTCTGTGTCACCAGACCATTTGATTTGGCATGCAGCAAGCAAGGAGGAAGGAGGAAGGAGGACATCGACAGAGCGCCTCTTTTCTCCCTCTTTCCCGGCCCTCTTTTCTCCTCCTCTCGTCTCAAAACCAGACTCGGCTCAAATGCTTCGTCCGTCCACCGCCTGCCGTCCGACAACCCATCGACAACTGCCCCCGCCATCGTCGCTCACCATTGCCTCCGAGGCGAACCATAGCAGCTACTCCGAGCCAAACTCAATCAAGCGCGAGCGAGGCAAAGAGACCAACAAGTATCGGCTCTCCCTCGTCGACGCCCACATGAAACACCACGCGCAACGGCTCCTCTCCAGCCCTCTCACGCTCGGCGTCGCAACCCTCGCCGTCCTCGCCGTAGCGTCCGCCTCTCGCTCCCCCAGCGCATAACTCGGCACCGCTCCCACGTCTCATCTTGGCTGCTTTAAGCTTTTGGCCCGTACTCTCTTCGGTAGACCGTTCCGTCGCCCACCGCTGACTCTGCCCCGAGCCTCAAGTCTCCCTCCAAGTTTCATCGTCCCACGATTCCATGTGACGCCTGCCACCACGAGAAAAGGAGGCTACGGCTCGTTGGGATCCAGGTCGGACGGATCCCTCTATCCCGCCTCCCCCCCCCCCTGGTCCAAAGTCCTACCTCGACCGAGTCTTCTTTCGCATTCGCCCTGGTTGGCCATTACTCGCCCTTCTCACCTCGTCTAAATACCCGACTCACTCTACTTTTCCTTCCACCCGAGGTCCCGCCTATACTTGTGTCGCCACTTCCTCCTTGTTTAATTCCCTCTTTTGTTTGTGTCTTTGCATACTCGGTTCCGGCATCGTATCAGCGCACTTGCTTCATTCAGCAGCCGACTAGCAAGAGGGGAAAGAAAAGCGTCTTCTGCCATCTTTTGGCCCATCTCCGACTGCAAACCACCGCGGCCCGCGCCCGTCTGGTCGGATTTTCCTTGGCTACAATAATATTCTCACGAACTCGGCATCCCTCTGCCGCTGCCCGTCGCCGGTCGACACGTACACTAATATCTAGAGTCCGAGCATCGCTTCCTCGACAGGGAACCGGACTTGGCCAATCGAGCGTCAGCATCGAAACATAAAAAAGGGTGGCCATCATGGGTGGTCAGTTGGGCTATGGCGAGCTCATTCGCAAGCAGTTTACTGCGCCAAAGCTCTTATACCACTTTCTCTTCTGGTCATTCCAATGGGGCATCTTTGCATACGGATGGTACGTCTTTGCAGTCCATTACTCTGCCCAATTTCTTTTCCCCAAGAGGACGTTGCCGGGGATATCACAAGTATTAACCGCCGCCTTCACCTGCAGGTACAAGCAAGCCGCAGATTCGCGACTTGCAGGCCTCAACACTCTCAAATTCTCCGTCTGGATCTCGCGTGGTGCCGGCCTCATCCTATCCGTCGACACCATGCTGATCCTCTTGCCCGTCTGCCGCACCCTCATGCGCTGGATACGCCCCAAGCTTCGCTTTCTGCCCCTCGACGAGAATCTCTGGATGCACCGCCAGCTTGCCTACGCCATCCTCATTTTCACCGTCTTCCACGTTGGCGCCCACTATGTTAACTTTTACAATGTCGAGCAGACCCAGATTCGCCCCGTCAGCGCCCTTCAGATTCACTACGCCCAGCCTGGCGGCATCACCGGCCACGTCATGCTGCTATGCATGCTGCTCATGTACACAACAGCCCACGCGCGTATCCGCCAGCAGTCGTTTGAGGCCTTTTGGTACACGCATCACCTCTTCATCCCCTTCTTCTTGGCCCTCTACACCCATACTGTCGGCTGCTTCGTCCGCGACACGCCTGAGGCCTTTTCGCCCTTTGCCGGAGATCCCTACTGGGCGCACTGCATCGGCTACCTCGGCTGGCGGTGGGAGCTGTGGACGGGCGGCCTTTATCTCCTCGAGCGCCTCTATCGCGAGGTTCGCGCCCGCCGCCAGACGTCCATCACGCGAGTCGTCCGCCACCCCTACGATGTCGTCGAGATCCAATTCAACAAGCCGTCCTTCAAGTACAAGGCCGGCCAGTGGCTCTTCCTCCAGGTGCCCTCCGTTTCGCGCTACCAGTGGCATCCCTTTACCATCACGTCGTGCCCCTTTGACCCCTACGTCTCCGTGCACGTCCGCCAGGTGGGCGACTTCACCCGCGCCCTCGGTGATGCGACTGGCGCCGGCGGAGCCCAGGCCAAGCTCTACGACGGATTCGACCCCATGGGCATGTACGAGGTGGCCCTACAGAACGGCGAGCAGATGCCCGCACTGCGTATCGACGGGCCCTACGGCGCTCCGGCTGAGGATGTCTTTGAGAACGAAATCGCCGTCCTCATCGGCACCGGTATCGGCGTCACTCCTTGGGCCTCGATCCTCAAGAACATCTGGCACCTGCGCAACTCGCCCAACCCCCCGACCCGCCTGCGCCGCGTCGAGTTCATCTGGGTCGCCAAGGACACGGGCTCCTTTGAGTGGTTCCAAACGCTGCTTTCCTCGCTCGAGGACCAGTCCAAGGAGGCCGCGCGCCTGCCCGGCTCCTCGGGCGTCGAGTTCCTCAAGATCCACACGTACCTGACCCAGAAGCTCGACATGGACACGACGCAGAACATCGTGCTCAATAGCGTCGGTGCCGAGATGGACCCCCTGACGGAGCTGCAATCGCGCACACAGTTCGGCCGCCCCGACTTCAAGCGCCTCTTTACGACGATGCGCAACGGCATTCTCGACAGGACGTACCTCAACGGGCTCGAGGGGAGCATGCGGACGACTGTCGGTGTTTACTTTTGCGGTCCCTCAACAGCTGGTAAGGGCACCTCTCTATTTCCCCTCGCCCGTCGTCGTATGCCGTGGGCGCAACGACCAAGGAGTCAAGGCAATGTCGCTAACGGCGTTCAACAGCTCGCGACATCAAGCTGGCGTGCAAGTCGGCTACGGCGCCCGAAGTCAGGTTTCGTTTCTGGAAGGAGCACTTTTAAACGCGCCTCTGGTCGGCGGCTTGTGTTGCGTAGTGTACTTGATATCACGAATCTGAAGGGCGTTTTGCGTTTGTCCAAGCTGGTTTCTTGAACGCGATGTGTATCGGTGTGCCGGCCCGTGCTCTAACTCATGTCTATGTTTTGCTGGCGTCTAGGTGCTTGCCTGTGTGTAATTGTTGCATATGCTCTCGTGGCACGCCAGCCACGTGAGATGTTTGTCGAGCTTTGTCCGGCGAGGGAGCTGCATTTCACGATGACCGGCCCCATCTCCAAGTGCCGATGATTGGCAGACACATACAACATGGCTATGCGGCCAAAGCCATGCGAGGCATAGACGACAGAAGACACGTGGAAAGATGCAGCAACAGATTGTAGCGGGACGCGACGCATCGACGACGACAAGGTCACTGTAATCGATTCAATGAAGCAACCACCTGAGGGCCCTTATCCCCCCCTTTCCGTCCCCCACCTCCTTTACTCGTCCGAGATTGGATGGCGTTTGACATGCCCAATCCAATCCCCCCTCCCGACGACGACGAAATTCCAGAAAATAGAAACGAGGCTATGTATCTGGAAAGAAAAAATACCACCCTAGATCCCAGGTATACGCAGAAGAGACATGGTATTTTCCCCGGCCCCGTCTAGTATATGTGTGCTCCTCCGAGGCATGAAAATAAAATCGTGTATCGAGCGGGTTTGAAAAGAGAAGTGGGGGGGGAAGAGACGCAGTGCAAAGCCCTGGTTTGCATCCCCGATTCCCCGAGTTATGACGGTATTGGAAATGGTTTCCAGTTCTCCCACATGTTTCGTCGAGACGCCTTCCCTTCCTTCGTAAATACGGACTCAAGTCTTCAAAACGACCAGACAATTCGTGACGCTGCTTTGCAAGAGGATGTGTCGACGCTATTTCCCGTCCAACGCCCGTTCATCATGATGCAACGCATGGCGTTAGAAAAGGCTCCTTACCAGGCCGAGCCGCTAAAGAAGTGCAAAACAAAAGCTCAAATGTAAAAGGCTCCTCAACTCTCGTCCCCATTGTGAAATTTCAAGGCGTGCTGGCGCTGAGATTGCTCGTCTCGCTCTTCAGTTTGTTCACGTTTTCCTCTGTGAGGGCCTCGCCAGCTGGAGGATCTTGAAACGAGTTGCCCCTATAGATGGTTGGGCCGCCGGCGGCGTCAATCAGTTTGGTCTCCTGGAGCATGTTGGACCATTCCCTTTCGCCCTCTGGCCGCCTCAGCTGCGGAACCTCTGCCGCGGCGGGCGAGTCAAAGGGTGACGCCTCGTGCTGCCCGTTTGTCGTCGTCAGCGGCCGCGGCGTGACCGGGCTGTTGTGGAATTCGTCCGGGTTTTGTTCCTCGACCGTCGTCGCCACATCCTCCATCTCGATCCCAATATGCGGGATGTCGGCGTTGTCGCAGCGTTCACTCACCCCCGAGCAGTCCGAGGCCATGGTGACGTCGCGAAGGCTGGGGGGGCGCCGCCGCATGGTGCACCACCTGATGAGCATTTTTTCCAGTATATTCATTGTTACCGGCTTGGCTAGATAATCGTCCATGCCGGCCTTTTTGCACTTCTCGCGGTCACCCTGGATAGCCGAGGCAGTCATGGCGACAATGGGCACGTCCTGGAGAAGCGCCTTGTACGGCGGGTGATGCCGCAGCAGATGCGTGCACTTGTAGCCGTCAATGATGGGCATCTGAACATCCATGAGGATGATGGCGGGCTTTGCGTTGCGCCCTTGGGATGCGCCCATGAGGTAGTCGAGGGCTTCCTTGCCGTTCCACGCCGCCGTGACCTGAAAGCCCAGCTTGCCGATGGTCTTGGTGGCAATCTTCTGGTTCACAGGGCTAGGCGCGTAGTCAGTAAGCGGTAGGCCTACAGGGCCAGTGTTGTTTGGGGGACTCACTTGTCCTCGACGACTAGGATATGCATCGTCGCCCGTTCCGACCGAGGCAGCTCGTGGTCTACGTTGGGAGGCGTGCGTGTAGACGGGCGTCGAAGAGGGAACGAGGACGAGAGCGGGATTCCATCCGAGCCGGTAGAGGTGCCGGCCACATGTTCGTATTCTGAGCTGTTGCACGACAAGCTCAGTTCCGACTGCAACCGATCGGGTATGGCGCCGCTCTGCACCAGGCTCGTGTCGCGCGGGCCGTGTGGTTTGTTGAATGGGATCCAGAAGGTGGCCGTCGTGCCCGTTCCTACCGTCGATTCCAGGCTGATGCGGCCACGCATCAGATCCAACAAGTTCTTGCAGATGGTGAGTCCCAGGCCGGTCCCGCCAAACCGCCGCGCCGTGGATGCGTCGCCTTGGCTGAAGGGCTGAAACAGCTTCCTATGCACATCGTCTTGGATGCCGATTCCAGTGTCCTCGACCATGAACTTTATTTCGATGGAGTCCGCTGTCTCCTTCTCTTTGACCGCCGAAAATCGCACATAGCCCTGAGTCGTGAACTTGATGCTGTTGGTCAGGAGGTTGGTGATGATCTGGCGAACCCGGCCAGGGTCTCCAATGACAACCATTTCGTTTTCGATGTCTCCGCCGATGTCCGCTTGGAAATCCAGGTTTTTGCGCTCGACGGCGAACTTGAGCATGCGAACCACTTCCTTGACGATGAGGGACAACGAGAACTGGACCTCCTCGATGTCCAGGTGCCCAGACTCAACCTTTGAAAAGTCGAGGATGTCGTTGATGACGGTGAGCAGGGAAGTGGCGGAGCTCTGGATGTTATCGACGTAGTCGCGCTGCTCCTCATCGAGCTCCATATCACCCAGCAACTCGGCCATGCCCAGCACACCCGTGATGGGCGTCCGAATCTCGTGTGACATGTTGGCGAGAAACTGACTCTTGAGCCTATTCGCCTCCTTGGCCGCCGCCTCGTTTGCCATGGCTCGACGCTTCTCCCGGGATTGCTCTCGTATGGCCTCTTCCCTCTCCTTGAGCTCCGTCACGTCCATGATGACGCCAATGACTCCCTCGACGCAACTCTGGCCAGTACTCTTGCCGTCCTGCGACTTTTTGCCGTATATGGGCAGAAATCGAGTGCGATAGTAACGGTCATCTTGTCTCGCGTCAGCTTCTCCTCGGGACAACTTTATGAGACGTTATGCATACCAATTGCATGCTCCTCGACATCCTCTGTCGACTTGCCGTCGAGAATGTCCTCGATTGGCCGAAGAAACTCGGGTCGTTCGCCTTCGGGGAGCTGTTCGGTCAGGCGATTGAAGACGGTGTACATGTTCTCGCCAATGAACCATCGGCTCCCATCGTGATTCTCCTCATAGGTATTGTTCCAAATCAGTGCGCCCTCGAGCATGGTGACCAGGCGGCCAGGGTCCACGGTGAAGATGGTGACATGGGAATGGGCGATGACACTGAGCAGCTGTTGCCGGGTGCGCTTGGCGGCGAACTTGGTCTCCATGCTTTCGTGAACGTCGGTGCATGTTCCTATGTCTCAAGTCAGATGCAAGCTCGGCAACGTCACCGGCCACGTATCAACTCACCAAACCACTTCTCGATCTCACCCGTGTCCTTGTTTCGCACGGCCAGGGCACGTCCCAGGAACCACCTCCACTCTCCTTCCTTGCTGCGACAGCGGTACTCGGCCATGTACGGGTCGCCGGTACGTAGGGAATGGTACCAACGAGTCATCGTCTCTTGCGTGTCGTCAGGGTGGAAGGGCTTCTGCCACCTCAGGCCCAGAGACTCGGCCGGTGTCAGGCCCGTGTAGGAATACCATCGCGTGTTGAAGAAGTCGCACAGCCCGTCTGGCGTTGCTGTCCACACGAGCTGTGGCATGGTATCGCAGATGAGCTTGAACCGCTCGTCGTCGCGCTCCTTGATTTGCGTCATCTCCTCGGTCATAATGGTGACGTCATGGCCCGTCACCACGCCTGCAAGAAACTCGCCCGTGTTGTCGTCTCGAATCGCCTCGCCGAGAACATCGAGGACGACTTTCTTCCCCTCTCCATCGTACATGCCGACGCGCATGCTGGCGAAGGGCGCCTCGGTCCTGAGGAGGATTGACATGGGATACTCGCTGACATGCAGCTCCCTGGAGAAGTCGTCGGCCCACAGCTGCCACTTAGCCAGCAGGTCGAAGCCATCAGCAGTCGCATCCAGGACTGCATCGGGGGCGAGCAGGAGCCTCGAAGCCTTGTTGGGAAACGCGACGCTACCGTCTTTCCACATGGCCAATATGGGCATCTGCGTGTTGTCGAGGAGCGCGTCCTTCATCAGCGTGATCTTTTGGAGCAGCGACGGGGTGCTCGAATGCGAAGTCAACGACGGCGGGCCCATCGGGGGAAAGGGGCTCGACGACATTGTGACGACACCGGGGCTATGAAACGAGGGCGAGCTTGAGTCGCGGCTCGAGGCCACCGAGGAAGGATTCGAGTGGCTAATGGATTTCCGATCGGCGGCCTCGAGGAGGCTTGATCTCGCGATCGGTTTTCTGGAGTGCAGTGGGATCGAGGGATGCGACTGAGTGTTGGTGAAGGTCAGTGTAAAGTAGGTTTGCCGTTCCTCGACTTCCCAAATCGTGATGATCATCTTGGCAAAGGCTTGGTACTCGGATTCCTTGGACTTGAGGCGGCTGTCAAAGGTAGTCTTGGACAAGTCCTTGCGGCTAATCACCACGTCGACGACGGCATCTCTGTTGGGCTGCCCGGGGGCGTCGTCGCGCCGGGCAAAGCTGCCCAGAGATGCGATGGTCGGGGTGGCGTCGCCTCCCGAGCGGGAGTTTGTTCGTCTCGGCTCCGCAGCAGGTGGCCGAACGCCGATGTCGTGGACGAGGGAGTCGAGGAAGGACTCCCACGATATCCACACAGGCCGGCCTTCCTGCAGCATATCGATACCGACTTGGGACAGCGTCTGGCCGCGCAGGCGCTCTAGGGTAGCCGTGGCGTCATATGGATCAACGTCATCAGTGACGGTGCCCATGATCCTGCCCATGGCTTCGTTGGCTAGAACAACGGTCTTGAGGTTATTCAAGACGATGGTGGGGATGGGGAGATACTGCATGGCGGAGAAGGCGAGCTGGCCGGGGGAAATGGAGGGCATGGCCAGGCGAAAGGGGCTTTGCGACTGCGAGCGAGACCTATCGAGATGGAGGCCGAGGGGGTCCCGGAGGAAGCGTCCTCGTGCGCCGGTCGAGCCCGGGCTGCCGTCGCGATGAGTTTTCAAGGCATCGCCGAGAGGCCCACCGATGGGCCGGGAGGAATCGGTCCAGGCAGACGCCGCCTGCTGCGCGGCCAGGACCGGGTTCTCGGGGAAGCCATCGGGGGCAGGGAGAAGGCGACTGTCAGCTCGTGTCTGGCTGCTCTCGCCGGTTTTCTCAGTCGGGCTCATGTCGGACCCGGCACTCCGTTACATGGAGGGTCAGGCGGCCGTCCACGACCGGGAAAAGGGACGGGAGGCGGAGGTTTGGTCGAGAGAGGTGGAGAGGGAGCGCTCAGGTCAGTCGGCAGGGCAGGGGCGTTGCGACGAAAGGAGGAAGAGCGAAAGCAGCAAGAGGCGTCGAGGGACGAAACATGGCGTAACAGCGGCGGGCGAGATTCGGCGTTGGGTTGCTGCGGGAGCTCGGGAGCTGGCGGGCTGGGAGCTCCAACTCAGCCAGCAGCTAGCCCGGATGGCAGGATCGACGGCGGTGGGATGCGAGCAGACCTGAGAAATCGAGCGGGCAGAGCTTGGTAAAAGGTGAATGTGGCGGCCGAGGACGAGGCCGGGAAGAAACGGGTGGATGGTGGTTGACGTCGGGGCGCGAGAGAGGGGAGGAGAAAGAGAGGTCTCAGGCCAGTCTCCAGCCTAGAGCGAGGAGGCAAGAAGACGGCCTAGGCCTGGGTTCGGGCTGTGGGGAGGGAAGGAAGGGGGGGGGGCGGGGAAGAAGGGGGAAGGCCCATGTGCAAGTTTAGGTTGTAATAGTAGTCGGCATTTTAGCTATGGTAGAGGCTCGGTGGATGCGGATCCGATGGAGGGGGGACCCTGAACAAGGGCCATGTATGGGGTACCTGCGGCTCCTGTGTGCAGCACGTGCTTGGCCAGCACCGTGGCTCGCCTGGGGCGACCTGCTCTGGCCTGTACAGGATACATGCACCCCGAAGAAGAGCCTAACTGGAACACGGCGAACGTGTCCCGGAGGCGCGGCCCGCAGCACGCTTACGCCGTGTGTCTTTATTCTGCGTCTTGTTAGCAAGACAAGGACAGAGAGGAATGAAGGAGAAAATAGCAGAGACCTTCATCAGAGCGGGGCGGCGGACGCGGAAAGCTATGAAAAGCAGGGGGGGGCAGCAGCAGCAGCAGCAGCAGCAGCAGCAGGGGGGGGGGCGACAGGATAGATGCACACGCACAGCAGTTCGATCTACATGCTACAATACATATATATTCCCGTGTGCCTCGATTGGACGGAAGACTTGCCCGTGTTTTGTTGTTCCTCTTCCCTCGTCCATTTCCGTCGCTCGTTGGCTGCCCAGGCCACCCTACCGTTAGTGCCTTGATAGTGCCGGCCTCTACATGCTCCCAGATTTCTCCGGGCCTGCGGATCGATGTCGGCTGTCTGCGGTACCTATACCTACTCCGTACAGCAAAAGGGCATTGAAGCAGCCATCGAAGCATAAACGGCCAGCCGACACCCACCCAGGCTGCCTGAAAGCATCCAATGTCTCGGTGCAGGGAAGCGTGGCTTGTTGACGAGACCACGGCAGACACGCTGCATGTACTTTGTACCTTCGGCATGGGCCGAGCTGGCCGAGATGCTCTCTCCGTAATCGGATCCGCCAATAAACGCATTGGACTACTGTACTAATACTACTACTGTACTGTAGTACCTACCTACTGAAATACGGCACCGGAGCGGTGGACTGCCTGTACATGTGTACCTACCTATGTACCATTCAACCGTCTTTTCCTCCCGCAGACTCGCCTTCGTGTTTGGCGAGAGGGCCCGATTGTGCTGTACAGGCGCCTCTGGAAGTCTCTCGGAAGCCAATCATCAGAGAAGTCCCGACACAAGTTGCGCGAATTGGTTGCGAGAGACACAGAAGACAGTGCAGACAAGATCCAGGTGCGTTTGCTGATGTGCATGCCCGTGTCTTTGGATATGCGAGTCGGTCTAGGTACTCGATACCTTGCGGCCTGTCCTCCCACACTCCGATAAAACGTACATCCAAGGGCAATTTGGATGTATTGTACCGGCGGCACCTGAAGTTCTGCAGCCAACGCGTTACCTGCTTGCGTGGCAGACCAAACAGGTACAGACGAGAGACTGGCTCTGGGCGCCGACGGAAGAGCTATTCTTGTCAGCACTGCAGGGCGGCCTTTTCTTTGCTTTTCGCCTCCAGGTAGACCGTATCAAGGCACATCCGAGGCAGTGTCTTTGGCTGACACGGTGAGCCGAGAAGAGGACGCCTCAATGCTCACCCGCCACGGAGAACCGGTAATTAAGTTACAGTACGTGCAGCGCGTGCGTGTACCTTAAATGTACCTTATGTATACAGACCATACATCCATACATATGCACGATATTCTCCGCAAAGTGCCCCGTTACTGTACAGTACTTACGATGCCGCACAAACATGCAATAAGCCACTCGACGGTTCCAACATGCATTTTTCTTGCTGCAACCATCTACCAACACCACCACCGTCCAACTGCCACACCAACGGAAAAGAATCTGCTGCTGTTTCGGCCCGTTGGTTGCCAGGATGCCAGGGCCGGGCGAAACCCCCCCCCCCGCTCGAACTCGAACCGTGGCCCGGCCGTGATCCATCGGCGTCTAGACCACGGCTCCCCGGCGCTGATCCCTCCACGAACACGAGCCTCCAAGCAGCAAAGAGCACTGCCTGCCGCCTGCGTACTGCAGCTATGCAGCTATGCACGCGTCTAGTGTGCCGTGTCCATTTCGTGGCCGTTGAAGACCAGACCTCTTCTCCCATGTGGCCACGCGGCACTGTCGCGTATCGAGCTCGGCCCACTTGTTCCTCCTGTCCATCACTTTACACGATGCAGCAGAAGTCGTCGAAAGCAAGTGCCCCTTTGCTACCATCTAGCAGGCAAGTGTCTGTCGACCAACGTTGTCACGTATGTGGACTTCGTCTCATGGGAAACACTTCATCGCAGTCCATGCGTATATAACTCGTTCAACCTAAAAGGTTTTGTATCCCTCCTTCTAACCAGTAGACCCAATACGAAGGAGCCTCAGACAATTTCCATAGATTCAAGCCCACCATTTCCTTGTCATACAGTCCTCCATCAGCGGAGAAGAGTCCCTATGCTCGCAAGAATGCTCCCCACAGTCGCCTCTGTAGTGGCGGCCGAGCTGATCTCCGCGTCCTCGAGAAGGGACGCTGCCTGACCGCCGGCCTGGCCTCCCCGGACGATTGGAGGACGAGAACCCCCGATAGAGGGAACGCGGGATGCACCGCCAGCCTCGGCGGCCTCGTCAACCGGCGGCATGACCGGCCGGGACGCAGGAGCGGGACCGCGCGATGTGCTGGGAACCTCGGCGTCTTCGGGCGGGGGCGTTCCGGCCCGGGAAGACGACGGAGATCCACTGGACGCGCCTGAGGCCTCGCCGCCCTCCAAGGGCTCGGGCGTTGCGGGCCTCGAGGGCTCGTTTGCCTCGTCGTGATAAGGCGATCCGGGTCTGGACGACTGCCCGGAGAGGCTCTCATCGCCGCTCTCGGAGAAATCAGAGACATAACCGTCGTCCACGTCGGGCGGGTGCACGTTCTGCTGCTGCCGGAGCCGGTTGGCGACTTCCCACGGATCGGCCGGCCGGTCCATGTGGGCATAGCCATTCTCATCCACGTCATCAAAGGGAAGGGCAGCCGGCAGTCTGTTCTCAGGCTCAGCGGGCGGGTTGACATCTAGGAGTGCGGCGTTTTGTGCAGGCAGTGCTCCTTGATTGAGGCTCGTGGCGTCTTTTTTGCCCTCCGGAGCTGACGGCTTGTTATGCTTGGAGACCTTGGCTGGTTCGGGCGTCTCTCCCCACCAGCTGTGCAGCCAATTGCCTACCACGTCTCCAAGAACTGATGCGGGATCGTCGTGGGTCTCGGGCCGTTGGAGGTAGCGAGGATCTGTTGTGAGAGCTGGCCTGGCTTGGGCAGTGCTTGACAAGAGAAGCACAGAGAGCATGGCAAGCAGCAAGCGGTTGCGGGACCCGCGAATGGAAGGCATGATTGCTCTTTTGTCTATTGTCGAGTGACTGGGGACTGTTGATGTACATGCAAACAGTTTTCAGGCCGAGCAAGGAAATCCAACTATTTATATTCAACTTGGATTGACCCGTGGCCGTCTCTTGACCCGAGAGGCCAGCATCTACCGTTTTGTTTTACGTAAAGAAACGAAGGCTGAAATGGAAATCGATAAGAGCAGTCGACTCGCGGCCAAGACGTGCAATGCCCAGCAACAAGGGGGCCCGAGATGAACCCTTGTACGGCAGTTCCCCCTTTCCCCTACTCATGCAACTCGTCCTGCAACTCGTCCTGAGCGACGGCTACAGTCAAGACTGCCATGCCGGCGGAAGAGCCATTTAGAGTCACAAAGCGAGCAATGGTCAACTAGGTAAGGGATGCCTGTGTGTCACGGGCTGTGCCCGGCTGGTGGACCCGGTTGTACCGGGTCCGGTGGGTCGTGCTCCGGTGGCAACACCGGCCCCGCTCCGCGGACCCAGAAGCTGCGAGAACATTCCGAGAAGGGCAATATAAGCTCGCACTCGAGGCTACGCCTCGAGTTCAGCTTCTTTCCTCCTTAGCTCTAGATAGACAACACCTAGGCACCTGCTTGTTGAATAAACTCCGGGCCAGCCTTTCACATATCTAGAGCTCCTTCTAAATACCGCAAGCTGCAGACTGCTCGTCAGGATGGACCAGCAGAGTGAGAGCCCAAGTCTCCAGCAGCAATGGATTGACCAACGCATTCAAGAAGCGGTCAATGCGACTCTCAGCCCTCTACAGGACCAACTTTCCTTGCTGATGGAGCAACTCGGGCGAGCGCAGCCGCAGAGCGCCGACTTGCAATCGCCGCCAGTGGCACGAGGATTGGGCGAGAGCACGCCTGGCTTGGGCACGCCCTCCCAAAACCTGCGGTACTGGAATGCGGAAACCGTTGCCCAACCCACCCAAGTATGACGGCTCACGGAAGAGCTACTCCTCCTGGGCCAGGCAGATGCGAGACAAGCTGGACCTTGATGCACACTACTACAGTGGAAATCGCGAACTTTGGTACCTCATCAACTCATGTTTGGACGAGCGACCACAGCAAGTGGTCGCTACCTTTACGCCGCGGAGGCCCTGGGGTAGCTACGACCCCAAGAGTTCATGCGATACCTCGACCGAACCTACCAGGACAGCAACATCAATCCTGCGCTGCTGCCACGCTGAGAACTATGCGGCAGCGCGAAGACCAACCTCTCGCGTCCTTCCTTCCCCGATTCGAACAGGCATTAGCTGAAGCCGGGGGAGCAGACTGGCCGGACAGTGCAAAGATCGTATTTCTAGAGAACGCAATAAATGCACGCCTCCAAGAGAGTTTGGTCACAGCCGTCCTACCGACGACTACCAGGGATGGCTTGCGAGAGTTCAGGAAATTGCGGGCAGATTGGAGAGACTGAAACCCGGTAGGCAGCCGACGTCGACTGAGCGGACGCCTCAACAGCTACCAAGGCAACGACCCAAGGAGGAACCGGAGGACCCCGACGGAGATGTTAAGATGACGGACATCAACCGTATTGGCCACGAGTCGAAGGGTCGTCGACATGTCGATAAGAAGCCGAAGGATGAGCGCCGCTGCTATCGCTGTGGTCGGACGGATCATCTTATCGTGGACTGCCCAGCCCAGGTGGTCTTTCCTGGCGAAGGAAGCAACAGCGACCTAAAGCTGCGCGCATGAAGAAGCCCGATGCCGCAGATGATTCGGAATCAACCGCAGCATCCAGTGAGGACGAGTCGGCGGAAAAGACTAGCCCCGGGCGAAAGCGGGCGCCGGGGCCTGCAAAGGCAGACATCCGGGACTGGGAAGCGTTCAAGCCACGAATGAATAGTCGGACTGTATTAGTCAACGCGCGGGTAAACCGAGGCTATCGAATACGCGCCCTTGTCGACTGTGGATGTGACTGCTATGCCGTGATCGACGAAGCCCTTGTTCGGAAGCTGCGGATACCCTTCGTCGACTCGAAACCACGAGAAATTGGGGATTCTCAGAGTCAGCGAAGAGTGTCATATCCCCAGGGTCGTGGCTGTTGTGGTCGAGACAGCTGGATTTGACGAACGTGTCTTTGCATACGTGATCCCAAGCCTGGGCCAGGACATGTTCCTCGGCCGGCCTTGGATGGAGAGAAATCACGTCGTGTACGATGCTGCCAAGCAGCGAATGTACCATGGGAGGGCAGGTGTGACGATACGCCTCATTGGGCAGGAAGAGCCCGCCAAGATACGCGCGATTCGAAGCGCAAGACTCGTGTCGGCAGCCGTATTCACGGCGGAGTGTCGACGCGCAAAGAGACGCAAGAAGTGCAACGCGATCTCGATTCATGCAATCAGTTTGTCGGATATAGAGGGCGCTTCAGCCGAAGCCGCCAGTCGATCCGAGCGAGAAGGTCCCGGCAGAAGTGCTGAAAGAATTCCGCGACCTATTCTCACCAGAAGAGGCAATGAAGCTGCCGCCACATCGACCGGGTGTGGATCATGAAGTCAACCTGCAGCCTGACAAGAACGGCAACGAGCCACCCTTCCGTGGGGCCCACTCTACAACATGTCACGAGAAGAGCTGTTGGTCTTGCGAAAGACCCTGAAAGACCTGCTGGACAGAGGATTCATCCGAGCGAGTAGCTCAGCGGCTGCCGCGCCGGTGCTGTTCGTGCGGAAGCCGAATGGAGGGCTGCGATTTTGTTGCGACTACCGAGCGCTGAATGCAATCACCAAGCGCGACCGATACCCACTGCCCCTCATCGCGGAGACCCTGCAGAATCTGGCCAAGGCTAAGTGGTTCACCAAGTTGGACGTGGTGGCCGCTTTCCATAAGATCCGCATGGCTCCGGGACATGAGGAAAGACTGCATTTCGCACGAGGTTTGGGCTCTACGAGTGGCTCGTGTGCCCTTTCGGCCTGAGCGGCGCCCCGGCATCATTCCAACGATACATGAACAGTGTATTGCGCGAATGGCTGGACGACTTTGTCACAGCGTACCTGGATGATGTACTGATCTACTCGAGCGGTTCGAAGGCGGATCATGAGGCTAAGGTGCGACGAGTTCTCCAAGCACTCGCCGACGCTGGGCTGCACCTAGACCCAGCGAAGTGCGAGTTTTCGGTACAAGAGGTCAAATACCTTGGGTTCATCGTCAACGCAGGGAAAGGAATCGCCTGCGACCCCGAAAAGCAGCGCGCCATCCGCGAATGGGAGGCCCCGACCACGGTGAAGGGTGTCAGAAGCTTTCTGGGCTTCGCCAACTATTACCGGATCTTCATCCCCGACTATGCCAAGATCACGCAGTCTCTGGATGCCCTGCTTAAGAAAGGAACTGCCTTTCATTGGGGACGAGCGGAGAACGAGGCGTTTCAGGAGCTGAAGCGACGATTTTGCGAGTCACCGGTGCTCAAGCAGTGGGACCCGAGCCTCCCGACCTTTTTGGAGACGGATTGCTCAGGCTACGCATTGGGAGGCGTCCTGTCGCAGGAAGGCCCAGATGGACGTCGACACGCATGCGCCTTCTTCTCGAAGCGACTTTCGCCAGCGGAGTACAACTATCCCATTCACGACAAGGAGATGCTTGCCATCATGAGATGTCTCGACAACTGGAACGCCGAACTTAGGAGCTGCGGCCCATTTACAATCCTTACCGATCACCGCAACCTGGAGTATTTCATGACACGCCAGAAGCTCACGGAACGGCAGAGCCGTTGGGCAGCCGAATTGTCCCAGTTCGACTTCAAGCTCGAGTATCGACCGGGAAGCGAGGCTGTCGTGCCTGATGCGTTGTCCCGCCGTGAACAAGACAAGCCACAGGGCATTGACGACGAGCGGGAACAAGGAAGAATGATACAGTTGATACCGGATAGTGCCATTCCATCATCGACAAGAGCATGTATCAACGCGATGAGTTCTGACTGTTCAGAGGCATCCACCCTGCCGAAGATGAAGGTCTTCGAGGTAGCGGACCTGCAGCAACTCTGGGACGAAACGGTGGCGAAGGACTCGATATTCCGGGCAGCCTATAAGGCAGTCCGCGATCGCGAGCGTGCCTTCCCGCCCTCGCTGGGCCTGAAGATCCAGATTTCAGAATGTGCGATCGACGCAGGCAAAAGGCTGACATTCAGAGACCGTATTTGGGTGCCGGGTGGATCCGGAGAGGAGGGTAACCAGGAGGAAGCTGAGAAAGACCAGTTGAGAACCCGCATTGTGCAGCAGTCGCATGACTCTGTTGCGACCGGTCATCCCGGCAGGAAGGTACGCTGGCTATTGTGGCTCGGCGATTCTACTGGCCTGGGCAGTCCCAGCTGGTTCGCCGGTACGTAGCCAATTGCGACACCTGCGGCAGAGCACACATCTGGCGCCAGTCGAAAAGGTTTCTCAAGCCTCTGCCGATTCCAGATCGACCCGAAGCCATTTGTCCATGGACTTCATCACAGATCTGCCGCCTACTGGACTGAGCAAGGCAAGGTACCTGTGGGTGATTGTGGACAGACTGACAAAGGCTGTGACCTCGAGGTGATGGACAACATGGAAGCTGAGCCGTGTGCAAACCGTTTTCTCCAGTGTCATTACCGATTTCACGGAATGCCACGGTCCATCGTCAGCGACCGCGGAGCAACTGGCTAAGTAGGTTCTGGAAGAGGTTCTGCCGTCTTGCAGGTGTCACGCAGAAATTGAGCACGGCCTATCATCCTCAGACGGACGGAGGGCCAGAGAGAATGAACCAGGAGATCGAGGCCTACCTGAGAGCCTACGTGTCGTACGTGCAGGACGACTGGGGAACTGCTCCCTGCCGCGCAGCTGGCACTCAACAATCGTGAATCCGCAGCGACCAAGATCAGCCCCTTTTTCGCTGAGCATGGTTACCACGTCGATCCCATCAGCGTCGAGGAATCGGAAGAGCCACCGAGGCATAGAGAGGAAAGCAGAGCTGATAGCCTACTCAGTCGCCTGCAGGAGGTCAATGAGTACATGCAAGCAGTGATGGCCTCCTCACAGCAACAACAAGAAGAGGCTGCCAACGCAAAGCGACAGCCTGCGGAGCGATTTGAAGTTGGTGACAAGGTGTGGCTCTCGATGGCAAACTACAGATCGCCACGACCGTGCAAGAAGCTCGACTGGCTGCATCACAAGTACACAGTCACGAAGGTAATTAGTTCGCACGTTGTTGAGCTCGATGTTCGTGGCTCAATTTACCCGCGATTTCATGTTGACCTTTGCGGCGGGCGCATCAAGATCCGGCTCCTGGCCAAAGGTAGATGACGCACAGCCACCACCGGTACAAGATGAGTCCGGCACGGATCTGTGGGATGTCGACGAGATCCTCTGCGCGAGATGGAAGAAGCGCGGACGAGGGAATTCAGGCAAGCACTAGTGCGATGGACGGGCTACGCAGAGCCGACTTGGGAGCCAGTTGAGTGGTTGCAAGGAACAATTGCGATGAAGGCATTCGAGGACAAGTACGGGCCAATCAAGACCAATGATGGCCCTAGGGAGGTACGAGACGCTGGCAGGAACGCAAGAACCCGCAGACGCCGACCTGGTCGGAGGGGACAAGGGGGTAATGTCACGGGCTGTGCCCGGCTGGTGGACCCGGTTGTACCGGGTCCGGTGGGTCGTGCTCGGTGGCAACACCGGCCGCTCCGCGGACCCAGAAGCTGCGAGAACATTCCGAGAAGGGCAATATAAGCTCGCACTCGAGGCTACGCCTCGAGTTCAGCTTCTTTTCCTCCTTAGCTCTAGATAGACAACACCTAGGCACCTGCTTGTTGAATAAACTCCGGGCCAGCCTTTCACACTGTGTAAGCAGGGCCCAAGGAGCCACACACACACATCAACACAAGGATAATCTATCACTACGCAATGAGGCTAAGGGAAGTTGCAATCGAGTATCACGACATCTAGACTATTAGGATAGGGCTATATAGGCAGCTATATTAGGGTCTAGGAGAGGTATCTATACGTATACATATCCCCTTAGGTCTCATATAGCTAGAAGGAAGGCATGCATATTTATCACATCAATTCATTGCCCCTGATCACTTCCATATGCGCTCTCAAACACCCGTTTGAGAGTTAGCTTGCGTGTCTCCCCCGCCGATTTCGATACTACATCCTCGTATAGCTCGGCAAACAAACTCGAGTCAGTGTCGCCTATTCATGCGCTCGCACATAAGCTCGCACCCGGAGAGCTTCGTTAATCAAAGCCATGTGCGTACGAATGCAAGCCCGTGGTGCCCTGGGACTTGACTCGCCCCGTCGAGTTGCACAGAGACAACTCGAGTTTCCATCCTTAACCGCGGGGGCACAAGGCCAGGGACTGTCTGCTACCCCGGATAGCCAAGAAACGATATACCTCTTGAGTTATTTGCAGAAGCGGAGCACGCGAGTTCGCAACGTGTGGGCTGGCCGAAACTTGCGCACAATCAAAGCATCCCACGAGGCCCCATCTGTTTGGACCCTGATCGCCCATCAGCAGTCCACGGCCCACAAGACCCCCCACATTGGAAACTAACTGGATCCCACCAGAGGCTCGTCGGCGTTCTCGAACGTCGAATCATTGGGTTCGCGAACGGTCTCGCCTCCGGGATGGAAAGGGGACGGCATCTCGATTTGTGGGCGTCTCTCATTTTTCAAAGAGACGGTCAATGCCTGAATGCCAATTTACGGGCTGTCTTTATTCCATGCTTTTCAAGCGCAGCAATGTCATCATGCACGCCTGCTTACCTCAAACAGTCTCGAGGATTGCGTATCGACTCGGTGGGCAAGCAAGCACAGAGACTACCCCTGCGCGTCAGATATCCTTACCCTTGCCTCGACCGTCTCCCCTCCCCTCTACTTCTTGTCCGTCTTGTCGTCCTTCTTCTTGTTCTTCATGTATTTCTTGTCGTCCCTTTTGCCCTTCTTGTCCTCCCTTTTGCCCTTCTTGTCGTCCTTCTTCTTGTCCTTCTTGTCGTCTTTTTTGTCGTCTTTTTTGTCTTTGTCGTCCTTCTTCTTGTCCTTCTTCTTGTCCTTCTCGTCGTCCTTCTTGTCCGCCTCGTCCTTCTTGCTCTTCTCCCCATCCCCACTGCAGTTGCAATACACTTCAAGCTCAAACCTCATCCGACTCAAGTTCCGTCGATAACTATCACCGTGATCCAAGTTGTACGCGTGGCACATCTCGTGCAGCATCGTCTCACGCAGAGTATCCCGGTCCAGAAACTGTTTCTTGTTCACAGACGAGCGCAGACGTATAAATATATATGCACCTATGCGTTCGCTTGCTGGCTTGTACATTCCTACGCGGCTCCAAACGTCAGTCGAAGGTGCTAGACAACCAAACGGAGTCGCATACATGCCCTACCCATAACGTTTTTGTTGTCCGGGTAAATCTCTTTGAGCGTGTTGATCCTTAGCTGACGAGCCCTTATCAGCATCTTGAAGTGCACGGCCAGCTCCTCCATCAGGCGCTTGGCTTCGCCGCCTCGCGCCAGGCCCTTGATAGGGACAAGATGCATGGTTGTCGAGGGTTTTCTTTCGTCGCACAATGTGGCTCGTTCGGCGATGGGATGGATGACTGGAGAGGGATGGATGACTGGAGATGGATGATGACTGGAGATGGATGATGACTGGAGATGGATGATGACCTGGAGACGGTGGAGGGATAAAAGGGCGATGAAGAAGCTGGCTGGACAGGCCGGGATGAAAGCCGTGCCTGTAAAGTAAGTGAAACGCCCTGCCAGTGATTTGGCGCTTTCCATGCCGTTCATACCCCGCTCTCCGTTCACCACAGGCCTGTACGACGAGGCCGGCACTCAATCTCGAACAAGAATTCCATCATCTCGACTCACTGGCCCTGCTCACGCCGCCTGAGATGGCCGATAACGGATGCCTGCCTAGGCGACCCGGCACCAACATGCATGTACGCCTGGTTGCACGCTGAAATCCCCTTTGCCCAACAATGAAAACGACGCCTGCGGAGGAAACGGAACAAAACACGCCAAGGTTAGCATTCGCTGCTGTCCCAGCCTGCAGTCACACCACGTCTCGACAAGGCCAGCTTCTATGCGCAAAGTGACTTCAAAGTAACTGCTCTAGCAGCCCGCCCATCGACCCAACTCGCCTCAGTCCACCTCGAGAAGTCGAAACTTGTCCTCCCCCAGGGCATCCTCGACCCTCTCCATCAACGTCAGCACCTTTTCCTCCTCCAGCCGCCGGCCGATGACCTGCACGCCCACGGGCAGGCCGTGCATCTCGTCCGCGTTGTACAACTTGTAGGCTCCACGAGCGATGCCATTCAGTTTCCCGATGTTGAAGTCGCGAGGCAGCCTGTCCTTGGCCCGGTCCACGTGAGTCACGGGGATGACGCCCGCGCTGTAGTCAATCTGCCCCGTGTTAGCCGTCGCCGTCGTGGTCTGTGGACGGCAGGGAAAACGTACCAGGTTGAAGAGAAATGTATAGGCGCAGCTGCTCACTGCGTCGTGCATGCCATTGTGCGGCACGGCGGGCGTGGCGTTGGGGGGCGCAATGATAAAGTCCAGGCCGGCCCGGTCCCACATCTCGAACCAGCCGCGCTTGTATGCCTCTCTCCGGGCGATCAAGGCCCAGTATTCTTGGGTGCTTGTCGGGCTCCAGTCCCGGAGCAGGCCGGCCCAGAGTGGGTCGCGCCGGACATATCGGACCCAGAGATAGTGCACATACTTGACGAAGCGGGGAAGCTTGGCGTAGAAGCGCATCTGAGCGGCGCCGCGGTCGTTCCACTCGCCCGTGCGGAAGAAGTTGTCGACCGTGGCCAGGCCGTCGGCGCAGAGGAGGCGGGACGCGAGGTAGAGTCCCTCGTACGGCGAAGGGGGGTCGATCTCGACAATCTGGTGCCCGGCCCTGCGCAGGGCCGCCTCCGTCATGTCCAGAGCTCTCTTGCAGGCGGGGCTAGGGTCGATGACGCCGTCGGTGCGGAAGACGCCGACCCGGAGCCTCTTCTTGTCCCTGTACTCCTTGACCACGTCGGATCGCCATGGCATCGGGTGGCACGAGGGGTCGTAGTTCCAGGTGCCCCTCTCGAGGACTGCGCGGGTAAAGTAGGTGAGGTCGTTCATGGTTCGGGCCATGGGGCTGTAGACGGCGGGGACGCCATCCTGGCCGGGCATGCTGGTGGTCATTCCCAGCCGAGGCCAACGGCCGGTGGAGCACTTGAGCGAGTAGATGCCGGAGAAGTGGGCGGGGCAGCGAACGCTGCCGGCAACGTCGCTGCCGATGCCGATGCGGCCGCCGAGGGCCAGCAGGGCGCCCTCGCCGCCGGTGGAGCCGCCGGGGGTGTACTTGGGGTTGTAGGGGTTGGTGGAGCGGCCCCAGACGTCGTTGGCAGACTCGAAGCTGAGGAGGGTGATGGGGACGTTTGTCTTGACGTAGGGGACGGCGCCAATGTCCTTGAGCAGCCTGGTCATGGCACCATCCTCGGCCTTTGGGCTAAGGACGTTGCGGGTCATGCCGACGGAGCTGTCGTAGCCCTTGACATCGATTGTGTCCTTGAGGCTGACGGGGATGCCGGCGAGGGAGCCCTTGAAGTTGATGGAGCCGTCCTTGATCCACTTCTCGGCATCCTTGACAAGGACCTCGGTGACGCAGTTTGTCTTGTCGTGGGCGTTCAAGGCCACCTTTGTGTAGGTGCGCAGAAGGTCGGCTGCCCTGCCAGCATCGGCCTGGACATCACGGACGAGCTCCTCGATGGGCCTGCTGATGATGTCGCGATCCAGGGCGCTAAAGGGGGTTTTGTAGGCGGAGAGGGCGGCGATGCGACTGGCGCGCTCATCCTGCTTGAAGCGGCTGGTGGCGCGTGAGTGTCGGGGACGAACCATGGCACAGTCTGAGGAGGGCAGGATGGCTTGATACGTACCATTCTCGGCGATGCTGGAGATAGTCCAGCAGCAACATGGCGGCAGACGGCTGGACAAATGGAGAGACGACGACGAGGGGGTGGTGTGGTGGTGTGAGGGCGGGAGGGAGTTGTGGGTGTGGAAAAGGTTGGGCCAAAGCCAATAAATGCAGGTCAGAAGCAGCAGATGGATCGGGGTCGAGGTCACGAGATGGACCCAGGAGGAGCTAAACATGCCTCACCTCGGTCTCGCGAGACACTTCCCCGGCTCCTGTTAAGAGCCGGTGAGCCGGTACCTGGAGGATGAGGGCGGGCTGGTGCAGGTGGGGGAGGGGCGTGGAACCGTTGATAGCCGCCGCTAAAGACGCCTATAAAAGCCTCCCCCGCATCGTCTTGCGAGGATGCTTCAGGGGCCTGCGCGGGCCTGAGGCTTGGGGCTTGGAGGGGTCTGACGGGCATGGAGGTTGAAGTCAGCAGGGCTATAAGACCAAAAGCACTCAGAGAGAGTCCTGGCCATGGTCAATTGCCTCCATTACGGAGCACAGTACACCTTGTCCGGAGCCTGGTTAACTACGGGATGCGTGCTTGCAAGACACAATCCCGGCACCGACCGCCCAAGCGTGCAGTCGAGCCGGCGAAGCTCTGAGATTCCCTGAAGACTCGGCATCGTCTCTCGCTTCATCTACAGTTTGAAGCCGAGGTGGGCTGGGGGTCAGGGGGCCTTGTTGAGCTGAACCACTGAAGCAAGGCCATGACGGCTGCGCAGGCACACTAAATGGACACGATCCGGAAGGGAAGCGCATTGCAAATCCATACATGCAGAATTGCAGTATTACTGCAATTCAACTACCGCAATGCAAACAATCCGTAATCTTGTTCTTATGGCAGGCCCAGTGGCCAGTGATGCAAACAACAACAATAAACACGCCTAGGCGGCAGGGCACCGCCGTCCCGGCCCAGAGGCCCCTCCGGGACCCCCCGGGGCAGCCCAAGCGGCCAATCACGGAGCCGCCCCAGGCTCCCGTCCCTCCCCCCCGCAATCCCTGCCGCTGCACAGTACGTACCTACAGGGGCGAGCTGTTGGCCGTCGCGAATCTCTGGCTCCCAAAACACAAATAGCCTGGAGCCTTTTCTCCTTCATATCGTCATGAGCCGAGTCTAGACCGCCAAACTCCCTCTCACCCTCTCCCCTCCATGCCAAGAGCCGCAGAGCCGCCGCAAACATGTCTGCCGACGACCAACAGTTTCTAGACGTGGTATGTCTCCGAGCATGGTGGCTTCCCGTTTCCATCGCTGACGGCAACCCCGGCGCAGCTCTCCAGCATCCCCGTGCATCTCCGCCGCTACACTGACGACGTCGCCGGCTTCGTCGACCGCGGCGTCGACCGCGCCGCCGACGCCGTCCGCGAGACCCTCTCCTCGACCGCCTGGATCCCCGACTCGATCCGTCCCAGCCCTCCCGCCAGACCCCCTGCCGCCGCCGCCGCAGCAGCAGCCGCCGCCGCAGCCTCGCGCCTCGAGTGCCTGCAGGCCTGGGTCGTCCGGCACAAGGTCCTGACGGGCGTCGTCGTCGTCGTCGTCGGTGCTACCGCCTACAACGGCTACCGCAGGAGCCGCAGGCTGAAAAAGGCCCGCCGCGCAAAGAGGGCCCGCAACGGCGGCCGCACCGACGTCGTCGTCGTCGCTGGGTCGCCGACCTTGCCCTTGACAAAGTCCCTCTCCCTCGACTTGGAGAGGCGCGGCTTCGTCGTCTATGTCGTCTGCAACGCTGCCGAGGATGAGGACATGGTCCATGCCTTTGCCCGACCAGACATTCGGCCTCTCACCATCGACACGACAAACGTACAAACGCCCCCCTTGTCTCTCCCGCTGTCCCCCCTCGTCTTGCTGACCACGTCTCTCCAGCCCCCTCGCGCCGGCGCGGCCATCGAGCGCTTCGCGGGCTACCTGCAGTCGCCGCAGTCCCCCGGCCCCCAGATCAAGCCCAACCAACTGACGCTCAAGTCCGTCATCCTCATTCCCAGTCTCCACTACCAGACGTCGCCCATTGCCACCATCCCGCCCTCGAGCTTCGCCGACCTCTTCAACACGCACCTCCTGCAGCCCATCCTCACCATCCAGGCCTTCCTGCCGCTGCTCACCTCGCGCCTCAACCCCATAGGCGAGCGCTGGGTCCCGCCAAAGGTCCTTGTCTTCACCCCCTCCATCATCTCCTCCATCAACCCGCCCTTCCACGCCCCCGAGGCCACCGTCTGTTCCGCCCTCGCTGCCTTTACCGAGGTCCTGACGGCCGAGCTGCGGCCCCTCGACATCCCCGTCACCCACATGCAGCTCGGCACCTTTGACTTTTCCGGCTTCGTCCCCAGCCGTTCATGCCCTTCGCTGGGCCCATCGTCCGGGAGGCCGCACGATACCCTCGGCTGGCCTGACGGCGCCCGCCACGTCTACGGCCGTAACTTTGTCGCCCAGACCAGCTCCGCGGTCTCGGGCGGCCGCATCCGGGGTCTCCGCGGCTCTTCCCTGCGCTGTCTGCACCACACCGTCTTCGACGTCATCGACGGCTCCATCACGGGCGACTCGGTCCGTGTCGGCCTCGGCGCCAGTGTCTACGGCCTTGTCGGCCGCTGGGCCCCGCGCGGCCTCGTCTCGTGGATGATGGGCGTCCGCAGGGTCGACGAGTTGTCGGCCTGGAAGTCCAGCTCCGACGAGGGCACAGCGCGCGACGACGTCGATGAGGGCGACTCGGCCATCATGTCGTCTCACGAATTTGTCGCCGTCCCCTCGGAACGCAACGTGTGGAACTCGGACACGGCCGAGAGCAGCCTCTGGGTGCCGTCCATAGCCGAGTCTTCCTAGACAACGGGCTACCATCGGAGTAGCGTGTATATTGGACGGGGCTGGGGAAGGAATGCGACAGCTTGGTTTTTCATGAGTCCAGCTATTCCTTCAAACCTTGCATGTGCGAGAGGAAGATCCGGCGAGATCCCATACTCTTCATTCACTTTTGCAATAGACGTGGTCACGACTCTCGAGTGTTGCCGCGTGACATGTGGTGCTCTCGAATTTTTGGGAGAGGCGTAAACAGTCGTAGCAGAGTATTTTTCAACCCGCGACAGACATCTGACGAATCGAAACCACTCCGAGCCTCGCCGGGTATCATCAAACATGGCCTGTACAGAAAAGCCTTCCTCTTGTCCGCTTCCATTGATCCTTCATAAACCCAACCGCCCCTAGTGCCCTCTCCCCCGAAACCGCCTGTCTCTGCCTCCTCTCCACTTCCCGCCGCCGCCACCTCCCCGCCCGTGTCGTCCGAACCTGCCCTCGTCCCTATCGCGCATGCCATCTCTCCCGCGCTCTCCGTCGTCGTCGCCGCGCGGGAACAGGCTGTCCACCCGTCCATCCTCGTCCTTTTTCTCATCCGATTTGGCCGTGGGCTTGTCAAGATCCTTGGACCACTTGGGATGAGCGCCCTGCTTGCACTCGGGCCCATCGGGGCAGAAGCCGGCGAGGTAGAAGACGCAGAGCTTGCGGCGGACGTGCTTCTTGGAGCAGAGCGGGCCGAGGGGGCAAAACCCCATGTCGTAGTGGGGGCAGGGCGGTAGGCGGGACATGGGGTCGACGTGGAGGTAGAGGCACTCCTCGCCGTTGGAGCAGTAGCCGTTGCGCATGAAGAAGTTGCACTCGGGCATCTTGCGCAGGTTGTACTCGTGGAGGAACTCGCAGTGCTTGCCCTTTTTGCACAGCCCCCGCAGCCAGTGCTTGCAGACGAGCGAGTTGAGCCCGCCCGAGGGCTGCGAGGAGCGCGCGTCGGCGACGTGGCGCTCCGAGCAGCGCGTGCCGTTGGGGCACGAGCCTGTCTGGAACGCCTTGCACACGGGGCGGTCGGGCGCCAGGCCGACCTGGTGCGTCTGCCGCAGAAAGGCCGAGAAGCGGAAGTTGTAGGCCTGCGGCGCCGCGTGGCTGAGGATCACGGCCGAGGCGGGCGAGTCCTTGGCCGTTGTCGTAGTCGTCGCCATGGCGGGCCGAGGACTGTCTGGCTGGCCCGATTGCCCGTTGTGGAGCGTGAGTGAACGCCCAGCGCCGACTGCACAGTGGAGACGGGTGTTTGCGGCGCCCGATGCGGTTCGTGAGGCTGGTGATTGCTGCGTCAAGGCGAGCTGGGAGCGTAACTGATGGTGGTAGATACAGAGCTCAAGCTCCGTTGAGAATTGGCGAAAGTGACGAAGTTTTTGATTAGTCAGCCGTCTCAGATCCTCGGACGACGTAACAGAGAAAGCCTGCAACGTAGTCATTAGTATGTACACAAGGTGCTAGATGATGCCCCTGTTTGCCCTGCTCGTTGAGGGAACATCCAGAGGTGTTTTCCAAAAGTGCCCAGGTACCTACGCAATCTGAGGCGGAATGGCTGATATTGACCGTCAAGTCTTCCGGGCAACGGGCAAGATTGGAACTTGGAACCTGGCTCTGGCGACTGATGCATGTAGTTGACTCAGACTGATATAAACACTTACTCCTTGGGTCCTTTCCCACCGTCACCGAAGAGCCCTTTGCGAACCTGACCACTTCCAACAACGGGCAGTCCTCCTCCCTCTCCCCTCCTGTTCCCGTTTTCTCTCACTCTCAAGGTCAAAGTCTTCAGTATCATTCATGGTCTGTCGGCAATACGGTCTACGTTTCGTTGTAGCCGAGAAGTGGCGGCCTTGTGTTGTCCCTTCTGTCTCTCATTCTGTCCGTGGCGAGAAAAAGGAAGACCCTCTTTTCTGTCCTTTGGCCCCCCTGGGCCCTAGCCGCCCTACCCTGACAAGAAAAGCGTGCAGACGTGGTGTTCGAATCCTCCCCGGCATGTCCATGCAGGTCACCAATCACAGTACACTTGAGTGCCCGTGTTCCTGGATTGAAATATGGGTGTCGGGGGCCGATATAGTTTAACAGTTCTTCACTCGCAAGGTTCGGTGGCGCCCTTGAATTACGTCTTAGTCAAAGCAAAAGGTACAAGTTCTTGTGCAAAGTACACACACAAGGAAAGCAATGGCAAGTCGGAACAATCGCGCGTGGAGTGTTGAGACGAATGCAGTAAAACAGCGATAGCATATCCAGCAAGGCACAGTACTGGTCTCTAGCCAATGTTCAGGGGGTTTGTATTTATGATCCTGAAAGCATGTCAGCCGCTGAAAACCATGAACGGTGTCGGAGCGTTGACTCCAAGCTCGCACTGAAAAGGGGCTTGCCGTCCTGAATTCAGATACACGTGCCCCGTCCGTAGGCCAGACGATGCCGGGCGGATGGTCGAGCAGAAAGGGTTAGATGTTGACGACGCATCAGAAGCCACGATGAGGAGTAGGCGAGAGTCGCTGAACGCTGTTAGGCAGGGGGCGCGAGCATCTGGCTGGTGGACGATTCGAGATGCCGCAGCTGGAGCCGTGGGCACTTGACCAGTCCGAGGCAGCAGATTTCCAGTAGCTTTGAGGCAAACAAAGCCCGCGGCATGTCAAAGTTTGAGGAGGCCCTTGCTATCCACGAGTTGGCACAAGAAGAGGTGGATCCTGTGCCGTGCTGGCGAGGCACCACTCGTGGAGATTCGAGAGCACGTCAGCGTAGCCGTGAGGTCGGAGCTGCTCACCAGCCTGTACTGTACATCGAGGTACAGTGGTTGTTTCAGGTCCATGGTTGACGGCCAGGAACCTCGGCATGCCCCGTATCCTCACGTTGGAGGAGCAGGGGGACGTCGCAAGCAAGAGAGGTGGTCGTGCCAGTGGCTGAGAGGTGGCCGAGTGGCGGCGGCTAAGTTTGGTGTCATCCATCCCTATCAGAGCCCCAGGGTACGTATCTCGACCGCTCACGTGGTGATAAGACAAGCGTGCCATAGCATCATGCCCTCGACGCGCGCCTTCGTTTCAGCTTTGGTCAGCTCTCATCTCTACATAGAAGCGACCGGTAGAAGCTATTACCCTTGCCCGAGCAACGGAGGAGAAGCTGGAGAGGAGGGCCAAGAAGCAGGGGAAGCGCCGCATCTCCCCGTCGCCGGCACACCACCTGCTCTGGAAAATGGTTACCGCCTGGGCTCGATAGCCTCTCCCGCATTGTCCGGACTCCGGCCTAACCCGTCACTCGTCAAGAGCCACGGCTCTGTTTGCAAAGCGTTCCGTCGTCGTCGCCATGTCTGCGAGAGAGCCCGAGACGTCGCCTGCTGCTGCTGCCGCTGATAGCAATGTAGCAGCTCCGACGGCGTCGATTGCTGCTGCTGCTGCTGCCTCTGCCTCTGCCACCACCCTCACCTCCGCCAAACAATCCTCCGTCCAGACCCAAGACCAAGACGGCCTGCCACCCGCCGACGAGTCCAACCCGCCGCCGCCGCCCTTCGAGCCGCTCTTCACCCTACTGACCAACACCACCACCAACGGCACCATCCACCCGCGCGTGCAGTACCTCTTCTCCGACGACGACACCTCTGTCCTAGCCGACCCGCCGCCCCCCGCCATCGCCGGCCCAGACGGCCACGCCCACCGCCCCGTGCTGGTCGACCTCGCCCCCTCGCCCGACGGCTCCAGCTGGACCGTCGCCTGGGCCTCGAGCCTCAGCCCGGACTTTGCCCTCACCACCTCGCGCCTCGAGCCCGCGCCCCAGCAGCAGCACGAGGCCGACGCTTCCTCGTCCGCTGCCCCGGGAGGCGTGCTGCGTCTCGAGGGCGTCGAGCGCGAGCCCGTCGATGCCCGGCCCGAGAGCCTTCCCGGCTCTGCCTCGGGCAGCGGGACCGTTGGCAGGGAGGATGTAGATGCCCTGGCCGACGAGTTCCGCCGCAGGATGGGCGTGCTGCGCAAAGTCGTTGGCGAGGCTGAGCGGCGCAAGGAGGTGGTCCAGCGCCACCACCACCACCAGCCCCATCAGCCCGATGGTGCCGAGAGCCGGTCTGCCGAGCCAGATGGAAGCACACAAGACGGCGAGGCGGGCCCGGTCGTCGAGGCAAAGTGATGAAACACCCCTTCGCCCTGTCCCCCATCCACGTCTCTTCCCCGCTCGTTCCGACACGGAGATGGTTCCTCAACGGAAGCAAGCGGCACCCCATCATCCCACCTTGCCGATTCTCTCCCCGCTCCTCCGTTCGTCTCCCTAGGCCCTCGCCCGGACACGCTCGCCTCTCCTCCAACCCTCAATGACTTTACGGCCCTAGCAGCAGATTCTCTGCCTGTTATCTGGTTTCTCTCTCCCTCTTTCTCGATTTAGCTTGGTTGGTTTTGGCTACCGGTCGTCGCCGCGGACTGTTTCTTGGCCCTTTTACCCGCGAGGTGGGTAAAGGGTCCCTCCCTCGCATGCATTGGATTGGCGTACTGGATAGGATATCAGGGAACATGCGCACTCCAGGCGAGGCGACTTTCCATGTGCGTTTATGAGACTGCATAGGTAGGCAATCAAGATCACGCCTCATGAAGGCTACAGTTAACACATGACATGTGACGTGTGTCGTCTGCTGTCCAAGTGCATGCACGACAGAAACCTGTAGTAAAAACGGGGGCGGCGACTGAACAGCAAGGAAAGGTTTATTTCAACGAAGATATAAAAAGACGAGGATACGCAACGCCCGTTATGCTAAAACTCCAGGATTGTTTCAGAACCGCCGGGTTCCTCCAACGCGATAGCCCAAAACGTCGCACAAAGCAGAGAGCACAGGCACAAAACAAGGAAAAGAGAAAACGGCGCAATCCAATCCGCAAGCCACAGGGGTCATGCGGCAGACCGACCGTGTTCGCACGTCGGCTGAGACGGCCACCCCATAGCTTCGCGTTGTCGCGTTTGCCTTCCTTCTTTGCCACGGTCAATCCAACGCTTCCCGGCCCGCCCCGCACACAAAGAGAGGAAATGAAGAAAGAGGGAATGGTGAGGCGCGCAGGACAGCTATATGTCGACATGTCTCTTTTGTACAATGCTTCTCATGGCGGATCAAAGAAAGGGTAGAAGAAAGCCGCCTCGCCGTGGTGAGAAGCTGCGCGTGGCGCGCGCGTAGAAGGGCGATGCAACGGCGTGACCATTGATTGGAATGCGGGAGCTCATGGCGCTGCGGGAGGAAGATGGAGTTGCTGACGCGCCAGCAGAGCCACGTTTTCCGCGGCGTCTTGGACGACGGGCATGCGCTTGCCTAAGTCGTGGAATCCTTCTAAAGCTCGCCTTGAGCCGGCAGGCTTGGCGTCGTTGCCGCCTCCATTCGTCCCCCGAATGACAAAGACGTAGATGAGCACAACGACGACGATGATGATGAGGATGATAACTGCATCTAGGTTAGACGGGGTCCGCGTCTTCGGACGGGGCGTCGACGTACCGGAAATGCCCAAGCAGATCCACTTCTTCTTCCTCGTCTTGCGAGCCGTGTTGACGGCCACACCCATTTCCTCATTGCCCTTGTCCAGGTTGTCGACAACCTCCTCGCCCTTTTGCTCAATCTGCATGACAGCGGCCTCTTGCTGGACGACCAAGGTGTCCATGTCCTGGAAGAGCTGCGACAGCTCCACCATCTGCTGCTCAATCTTGACCAAGGCGGCATGGCGGTCCTGCACGGCGGACAGGGCTGCACGGGCCCGTCCCTGGCGGTCGCTCTGCATCAAAGCCTGGCTAAAGACCTGGCCGCCGCTGGTGTCCTCAACGGCGGCACGGACTTCTGCCTCGGAGGCGTCGGGGCGGACGATGCGGTACTGACGGGCCATTTGGTCCTGGGTACGCTTGCGGAACTGCGACTCAACCTGCTGGTACTGCTGGATAGCAGCCTTGAGGCGGCGGTCGACGCGGCTGACCTGAGGGTTGTTCTTGGGGGTGCGCGAGTCGGGACTGGACTTTATGGTTCGGATGCGTTCGGTGAGGCTGCGGTAGAGAGCCATGGTTTCTGAAGAGAGGGCGTCGAGCTGGCGGTTGGCAGCGCTCGACGAGGAGCCGTCGGCGTCGTCCAGAGTGCGCTTCTGGATCATGCGGAGCTGCTCGAGGTTATGCTCGACGTCGTCGATGCCGCGGTCGATTTCTCTGCATTCGTTGAGAATATTGTTGGGGTTGCCGGCGGCAAAGGAGCCGGCATTTTGAGCGAGGGGGGCCATCTCGACGTTTCCGCCTAGCGACGGCTGTCAGTGCAACTGAAGGTTTTGCAGGTTCCTCGGGTGTCAGTCGAGAATTACCTGCATAACCGCCCTCCATGGGGGGGGCCTGATTATAGTCGCGGCCTCCGCCGTAGGGGGCGCTCTGGCCGTAGGCGGCAGGAGGCTGGGGCTGCCTCATGGGGGCGCCGTATGAGGGAGCATCGTCGCGTTGGTCAAAGGGGTTCGGCCTTCCACCGTATCTAGGACGACGGGACGTGTCAGCGCAGGGGAAGAGGGATGGGCGCGACCGTGGGCGCTGTGGTGGTGGCGAACTACTAACCCGTACTGTGCCATTGTTAGCCAAAGCGGTTGTGGAAGGCAAATAGGAAGAGGGTCATGAGAGAGGACGAGGAAGATGAGGATGAGGATAGAAGTGGCGACAAGGCAATGATGAGGTGAGAGGCCAGCCAGATGAGCCTGTCAAGACAACGGGACCGCTGGTTGAAACGCCAGTGGTAGGGGAAGAATGGGTGAAACACTGACGCTCATGGTGGAATGGAGATGGAGGGAGCCCCTCTGGAGTCGGAGGAGCCGGTCGGGGGCGAACAGACCGCGCGTACGGAGACGGGACGACAACGGCAGAGGGGGTCGGTCGGCTGACAGAGTTGCGGAAGCTCGTTCGTTGTCGTCGTCGTTGTCGAGGTCGAGGTCGTTGTCGAGGTCAAAAGTCGCGAGGTCAGGGAAGAGAATTGATTGATTTGCTTTGAGATGACTGAGTCGAAAGGGGGCGCGACCGATACGAGGGCCCCCAGGGAGCGTTAGGAGAGTTAGGTGCTGTATATACCGGCGCAAAGTACACCATCAGTCCGAGTACATGGCCGCATAAAGTGCGTGGCGGGCGGTGGCGGTAGCTCTACTGGCCTGGTACCTGGACGGACAGGGGACAACGGTCGACGGGTGCAAGGGCCATCGGTCTTGTTCTCTCTTTTAATAGGGTGCACTTTGTACCTTGTACTTTGTCCCCCGGCCTGCCTCCTTGGGGCTTCTTCTTCAGGGACGGGACGGCATGTCCGAGGCCGGCGCGACTCTGGACGTGTGACGGCGGCCAATGGTGTCGGCTGCTCCTTGACACTCATCCGGTCTGTGCATCGTTGAACGAGACTTTTCTCGGCAGAGGCAAAGGGAGGGCGCTTACTCGCGCGCAGACGGTGGCGGAGCGTGCAAGCGTGCAAGCGTGCACTGACGGTCCGGTCGGTACTCGGTACTTTTCAGGGCGGTGCAGATTGATGACCTAATTTTGCATCGCCCCCCCTTTTCTGCCGAGCCAACCCCTCCCTCCCTTATCCCTTATCGGGCCGCGGCTGTGTCTTGCTTCCGTCATGCACCTTGAACAGCGTCCTCATGCACACCACTTTCGTCCGTCTGCAGCGTCGTCAAGCATCTACGGGTCCGGTCTGCGGTTTGCGGAACAGTCACCCGGCGACGCCTCTCATGGGCTTCGATGCATCTCTTGAAGTCCTCGCAATTCATCAAGTCCAGAGTGTCAAGGAAGGAACCGCTGAGCGTTTGCAACTCTGGAGTGGCTCAAGGAGAGAAAACAAAAGGGGAACAAGTCTGGGCTTTATATTGCGAATGTATACGGAACAGCATTTGCAATAGACGATGTGCTTACGCTTGTGTTCGGCAGGCAATCGCCAATGTCCATCAGTATATTAATACTATCCTTGTCCACAGGCGTGCCCGACGCTTTTCGATTCGATATAGCGCCCATGTGGGATACCCATACGTAACATATGGCTCTCGGCAAGCTAAACGAGCTTCAGGAACAAATTCTATGCGGCTTGGGACAGGTTCCGAGGAGTATTGTGTAGCGTCTAGGTAAGAGGCGGAAGCCAGCGATGTGGTGTGTATATACTTATATAGGTATGCTTCCAAGGACGGGTCATGACATTGAGCGGCAGCAAAGAAAGCGCTCCGTCCTGTAAGTGAATCGAGCACGGTCTACGGCAAGCATTACATTGCAAGCTTGGTGTCGGGCAAGTCAGACTGGACCGGGTGAAGCATATACATGATATTGGACGCGGGTAGAAAGTCAAGGGCTAACGCACCCGATTGACGACAGTATCGGACTGACGGAAGAAGGCGGGTAGCTGGCTACTTTGCCAAAAGCTGCAGTCCAATCAAGCTGGAAACATAGCTATCTGCAGCCCATAAGATCTTCGCGGGCTCGTAGTGGTAAGCGGCGGGGCTTGGACAGACAGCTAGACCAGGCCAAAGAGGTGGCAGATTCGATAGCGAGGTTTCTACTCGATTCATAATAAATACGTACAGGTACGGGTAGAGATAAATCTTGGCAGTCCTTCGTTTGTGTCAAAAGAGCCAGCGATCCGATCTAGTGGACGGCCGTTCTTTTCAGGCAGCCGAAAGCGATTGTATCAACGCCCATCTCTCTTGCATACTTCCTGTCAGACAAAACATTCCCATAGGTCTTCTCGAATAGGAGTTCGAGAGCATAGCAGAAGGTGAAAGGGGGCTAATATACCGTGGCAACTCGTTAAATAGGCTAGGTCTTGGCGATGGGGAGCCTTCGAATAAGTGGGTTTAAATACGATCTGTCCTCCGAAAACTCTGGTTGGATGCCCCCGCCGTTGTCGATCGCCAAGACATGGCCTATCTAACGGGTTCCTATGGTATATAAGTAAAAACAGTCATACACATTATATTCTATCTAGTGGGACGTAGAAGAAGCTTTTATAGGTATAGGTACCTCTCGTCGCCTTAGATAACTAGCGCAACAAGGGGGAAAGGAGAGTCTGTACCTAAGTTATACTTCTTATACGTTCTTATACAAAGGCTACAACTTCAAGGGGAAAAGGTGCTTGCCTTGATGCCCTGACTCTGCTCACCTCCTGGCTCATCTTATTAGTGGCTCTTGCTAGCAGTTTCGAAACGAACTATTATCGTGTCAGCAGATTGTGGCAGTTCCGCTTATATATCGCCAAGCACAAATCAACGCCAATGCTATACAACTTATCCCGCACAAAGCGATGATATACAAAATCCCGTATTCATGCCCTTACAGGCGTAATCTCCTGACTCATAGGGCCTCCTTTGATTCATATCTAGAAGGCATTTTCAAGGCAGCGGTTCTGTTATAGAGAGCTCCATTATACTAGATAACCCGAGCCCTCCATTATTATCATTACGTCACATGAACGAGATGCTGCACGATTTTACAAGTGGGTGAGCCGAAGCAGATCCGAAAAATACCAGGGCGGGCGCGGTCGATGGCGTGCTCCTACGTATACGTGTCTATACTGTAGATAACAAGGAGGCCAGTGTCTTGGTCTAAAACCTCAGAGTCGCTCCAGCTCCTCTCCTCAGTCTCCAACTCAGAGTCCGTAAATTGTGACACTTTACACAGAACTATGCTAGCGATTGTCTTGCTCACTGGCCTGTTGGCTGCATCTGCCCTTGCGGCCCCTTGTCCTGACGACATGGACGTTGCGCGTTACAGGAGTCGGCGATGCCCGGACCCGAGCCAGAACCAAAGGATGTACGACGCGCATGAACAGATGCTTGCCATGGAAAGAAATCATACCATCAATCATTCACAGATCATTGTTGAGGTGTATGCTCACGTTATCATGGAATCGGAGAACGTGGGCCCGGAGGCGGGCAGCCTCACTGTTACCGTAAGTTTAATGCTTCGCTTCGCGATCAAGCTTGGGAGCAAAAGGCAGCTCATACTCTAGCAGGAGGATGACATTCACGAAAACTTAAAGACTATGAACACGAACTATAGACCTGCCGATATATCCTTCAAGCTAAAGGACGCACAATGGGTTAGAGAACCTGAGTGGTTAGGAGGTCGCAATGCCGATATGCAGAAGGCACTCCACGAGGGAGGCAGCAGCACGCTCAACATATACTATACCAATTATATGAAGCCACGGGTCCGTATCGAGGGAGGAGCCGCTACATTCCCTGTTGAGTTGGAAAGCCCGGATGGACCCCTGCTCGACGGCCTCGTGATCGATAAGTTATTCGCTTCACTTGACAAACGATTTATGATACGTGAGATTGGACACTGGTTCGGGCTACTGCATTCATTCGAGGACATTTGTAACGACGGCGGCGATTATATAGACGACACGCCTCCTACCCCGAAGAGTTGCTACGAAGACGTCTTCACTTGTCCCGGCAATAACTTTATGGGCTACGGCCCAGATGAGGGCATGTTTACCCCTGGCCAGATCACTCGCCTGCATAGCTTATGGACCAAGTACCGCGCGAGCGGCACGGCCGCGCCCGAGATTGCGCTGGCTCCTCTCAACTCCACCGACAATGTGCGTACCAAGCGCCCGTTTTATCCTGACCCGGAGAGCTGGAGGCAGGCCTACCGGAAGTGCCACCCAAAGGCCGACGGCAGAGCCGAAGAAACGCGTGAAAGCTACTGCGGGACAGAGAACTTTTGCCGCTGGGGGCTCTACAAGCTGGCGGGAGAGCAGTACGCGAGCGTAGACGCTTGTCTAGAGTCCCGGACGGCTGACCTGCTCCCGTGGATCATGCCCAAGCCCGACCTCGACCGATTCGACGAATTTTGTCCCAAGAACCAGAAATATATCGTCGAGACGGTCTGCGGCACAGACAGCTACTGCAAGGCTTTCGACTGGCCCGTAAAGGAGACGCCAGCATCCCTGTTCGACGCCCGTGGGCAAGATACAACTTCAAAATACAGCAACAGCACCGTCTGCTTCGAGGACCACTTTGCGTCTCCCGAGATGTCGCCGGCGGAGGAGTTGCCGGACCAGAATGGCGATCCCTACTGACGACGCCGTCGGCATCTTGCTCAAAGCCAACCTCTGTGAGCCACAAAGTCGCGCATGGCACGTACGACCAGGAGGAACGCACGTCTGTAATCAATAACACCCATAGACTGCCACTGGCGCTGAGCCCAGGCCCGACCAGCAGAAATGCAAAGAAATACGTTCCTCGTTGGAGAAACCCGGCGATGTAGGTACTGTCATCCACCTCTCTGCCATCGGACACGATCTCGGTTCAGCGAATCGAAAATGGGATGTTGCAGTAGCTCTTTGGCCGTCTTTCGCTTCTCGGGCAACCACTGTAGCATGTCGGAAGCAAGGTCGAGGAATGCTTCTTTCTCGTGGCCGGCCAGCTCTGTCACCGTCTCTGCCAGCCTTTTCCCTCCCAGAAGGTCATTGCGGAAAATGTGATATGTTATAAGTCGGCTTATGAACTCAACATGTCTCTTTCTGACCTACCATGGTCGTCGAAAAACGGACCACCCCAGAACTCATTCATGTTCTTGCACTCCTTGCCGCGCGGGTTCATGACGGGCGTCTTGAGCTGGTGCTTGCGAAAGAACCGCTCCCGCTCGATTAGTTCCTTGGGCGGGTCTCCGAGTAGGGTAACCATCTGGGCGAGATGGACGTGTGCATCGTATTCGCCATCGTAACCAGCGGGGCGGTCGAACAGGCTAATGCCTTCTAATAGGTTCCACATCTGCCAATGTCAGTGTCGCCAGTGGAAGACATGACCATATGCTTACCAGGAGCCCGAGATTCCAGATGTCGGTGCTATACGACCACGGACAACCGAGCATCACCTCTGGGGCGCGGAACCGGTGAGACTGGATGGCGGAGAGGTGGCCTTCATCCCCGGCTAGTCCGGGGAAGGCGAGGTTGAAATCGGCTAGCTTGGGCAGCAGTCGTGGGCCTTTCAGAGGACCAAAGTCGGATTGGGAGAGGTAGGTTATACGGCCGTCGTCGGCTCGAACATGCGCAGGTTGTGGGTTCTTCTTGTGGAGCTTGACAAATTCGGCCAAGACGGCGTCGCTTTCGATTGTCACCATGATGTTGTCGTCCTTGATGTCTGGCAGGGCGTGGTAAGCAAGCAAGTGTCTAGCGAGGGGTGTCGCGAGGCTTTACCCGTGTGGATGAGATGACATGTAGTGTGCAGATAGTCCAGCCCCTCGAGGAGGCAGTAGAGGAAAAACTTGAACAGGGGCGGTGCCAGTCTCTGTCGCCGCAGTCTGCTCTGTAGCTGGCAGAGAGTTTCTCTCATGGGCGTGTAGACGAGACAGGAGTGTGTTCCCTCTGGTTGTGGCAGTCGAAACTCGTCGACGGGTATCCGGATGAAGTCTAAGCCTTCGTGTGATGGCTGAGCTTCGGCAATGAGCCTGGATATTCTCGTCTCCCAGGTTGCCTCTATATCGAGGGCCGCGATCTTGACACTAACGTAGCGAGGAACCGACGACTTCCTCCATTTCTTACTGATGGTGTGTTAGGCCGAGGGTTCGCATGACTGGGCGAGACTTACAATCGGAGATTCTCTGCCAGCCAGACAGTAGAGCTCGTGCCATAGCCGAGCTTGGCGATGGTCTTGAATCTGCCGTCCAGCACCTCGCCGGGCCGCGTCGGATGGAAACGTGTCAGGCGATGGCCCGGGAGCAGCTCCTCGTCGATGGGCTCGTCGATGATGTGGGCCACCGGTTTGGGCTGCGAGGCAACGGCGCGCTTGTTCCAGAGAGATGACCATCTCCGGGACGGGTTTTGATAGAGAGCCCGCGGTGTTGCGGCGGTTGATGCGCTTACCATGGTTGTCGTCAAGCGCGGTGTGGTGGAGGAGAGTCGTCGGCCCGTCATTCAGTCCCGAGGTCATCTAACTTACCCTGCATCGAATATCGGCCAAACTTGGTTGGCTGTTGGTTGGCCTCTCCAACTCTGCTGCCAACCGTGGGCAATAGAGTGTATGCACGCTAAATTGTCTGTCTTGAACAAATTCGTAACCTTGTCTTCTTGGCTTCTTTCCATCTCTTCTCCATGGGTTCCTTGTGCTTCTTACGGAGTACGCCTGCGCTTGCTCGACTCAACAGGGCCAGAAACCAAGGTGAAGAAACGGGGATAATAACTTGTCCAACCCGCAACAGTCGACTCGTCTCAACAGAGCGCGCATCAATGACTGAGCCGAAACCCCCCGACTGCCAGGCCTGCCAGGCTAGCCCGTGAGGCGGTCGCGGCTGTGCAGATTGACCCACTCCCCGGTCATTGACAGAGTCCAGGCTTCGCATCGACCTTTTAACTATGGACTCAGCCAATCAAGAAGCGCCGGGGAGACGTCAATCCCCAGGCAGAGAGGCTGCTGCGCCCACCCTTCGCCATCTTTCCTTGGTTGTGCCGCAATGAGACACGGGAAAACGGCATCAGCCTAGCACATTGCTTTTGACGCCGCCTTTCCCTGTCTCCGTCTCCGTCTAAGCATCATCATCATTTCTCTTCATCTTCGCTCTCTCGCTCTCGCTTCTCCCTTGTCGCCCCTTTTCGTCATGTAGGCATTCACTCTTTTCCCCGACTCGTCGCGTCGGCCTCAGCTCCCTTTTCAGAGCCATTCGTCTTCTTCCTTCTCTTTCATTCATTCTTTCTTTCTCTTCTTGGCCTCGTCATGACGACCTTTTTTCTGAGCTCGCCCCCGAGACGGCCGCTCATTTTCGTGTCCGTTGGTTTCGTCTTTAGCTTTCTCGTCTTTGCTCTACTTCTCCCTGTGAGTGCGAGTGCGCGTGTATCAAGACTCGAGGTGATGGACTAACCCGGCAACTTGCCTACCAAAGGCCCCTCGACCACCAAATGCTGGGCTTCAAAGTCGGCCATGGCCCATGACAGCAGGGTCAGACGGGCCCGCGGCCGCCACCTCCATACCTGTATCCGGCAGTCCATCACCGGGCTCCGAATTCAACAACACAAAGCTCCATCTCCTGCTTCCCGCCACCCGGAGCAACGTCAACCTGTGCAAGACGCTGCTCACTCTGACCATCCTGGGCTATCCCACTCCCCACATCATTGGCTGGGAGGCGCAAGACGGCGACGAGGCTCTCCGCGGCGGCGGCTCGCACTTGGCCAAGATCACCGCCGGCCTCGAGTACGTCAACGATGCCGAGCGCCGCAAGCAGCCGGGCTTCGACGACGAGCTCATCTTCATGATTGACAGCTACGACATTTGGTTCCAACTGCCGGTCGAGGTCCTCATCGCGCGGTACCGGGCCATTGTCGCCCAGGAGGACGCCCGTGTCGCCCGGCGCATGGGCCGTGCCTTTGACCGCGAGGGCATCCGCTCCCAGGTCATCTTTGGAGCGGGCAAGCGCTGCGCGCCCAACCAGCTCCACACCGTGGCCTGCTACCCCGTCCCGGAGTCGCCGCTGCCCATGGACCTCCGTCGCGGCAACGCCGACACGCTCCTCGGCCGCAACATCTTCAGCAACTTCCGCACCCGGTACCTCAACTCGGGCTACATCATCGGCCCCGTCGGAGCCGTGCGCCCGATGCTGGAAAAGGCCAAGGAGAGGCTGGACCAGTGTGCCCAGCGAACGGCAGCTTGGTTCGACAACGGCTCGGGCCGCTCAGATGAGTGCTACCATGGGAGCGACCAGAGCATCTTTGCCGACATGTACGGGGAGCAAGAGATTCATCGCGAGGTGATGCGCCGCCGCCACCGCACTCTTCTCGACGACTGGCTGGACGTGGTGGTTCCCAATCGGCCCGGAGCCCGGCCGGCTCCGTCCCACGTCCTGAACCTGCCCGTCCAAGACTATCTGAAGCCGGCTTTTACACACCAGGCCTACCGAGCGTCCCATGCACCTGGCGGGAAGCCCTTTGAGTTTGGCATTGGCCTCGACTATTGGTCCCTCTTGGGGCACCAGACGGCCAACGCAGAGTTCGATTCCCGCTACATCCGACACGACAAGGCTCTGGAGCCGCAGGTGGGCCAGCAGGGCATCTTTGACTGCGCCGCCAAGGCCCCGATGCCCACGGACGTGCCCCAAGAGGCGGCGGTGCTCCGGCTCCTCGATGACGGGCCCGACCGGTGGGAGACGATGCCGCTGTACACGGAAATCTGCGTGGGCAGCGTGCCCGTCATGATCCACCACAACTCGGTGGACAAGAGCTGGCGCGAGAAGCAGTGGAACCAGACATGGTGGCACGGATGGTCGCGCAGGCTGCTCGAGGAGCGGCAAAAGGCCGGGACGCCGCAGCTCATGGAAGGGGTCCCCACGGACAAGGGAACGAGGCTGCGGTGGGAAAAGCTGTGTCCTCACGAGGTGGAGGGGGAGCTGTTTAGAGACGCGGACCAGGTCTCTTGAATGACGGGTTTCTTATCGAGCGTCGAGGACAGCATCAGTTTCGCATTGTCTTCAAGTATATGTCTGGAGTTGGGTGACGATTCAAGTCGATAGAATACACGCAATACTGCTTATGACGTTTTAACCTGGTAGTGTCTTAAGTCAGTCAGTCAGTCAGTCAGTCTAGAGTATAAAACAGGATTTGAGCAGTCACACTCTGCAGGGCAGACGGTGTCGACGTTTGTCTCGAAGTCAAGACAGGCAGCAGATGTCTCTTCTCCGCGTGGCGCATGAGGGTGGCCCGTTGTTTGCTTTTGGCGGGCGAGGAGAATTTCGAGGCGGTCGCAAGTTTTGTGGCTTCGGCAGATTTAGACTGCCGGCCGTCAGCCACGTGCGCCTCATTGTAGGCTGCAAGGTTGTGTGGCAATGTGGCTGCAAACCTTGGTCCCCTATTAGCGTGGCTTAGGTAATACGGCCTGGAGCATTAAAGCTCCGTAGCAGGTAGTTACGGACTACCTACAAAGCCGCCCATTGTCCAATGTCCACCAACAACCCTCTCTCTCCATCCTTCTTCACACTCCTGCACCACGTTGGGCCTGCTTTGTCGTCCAGGCCGGGCAAGTGACCAGAGAAAGGAACAAGCCTGGATTTATTCATCCATCTCCATCGTGCCATCCACTCCTGGAAGCGAGTGCCATCCAATCAAGCCCCTGTCCGTCCTGTCAGTCGGCAAGTGCGCGACTCTCTGACATTACTTTGAGCAGGAATCCCTTGGTCAAGTGCAGCCAGGCAGTGATGACAAGCCCGACATCGTGGGCGGGCTGCCGGACTCAACGAATGCGATGCCACATACGCGCACCATTCAAATCTCACTGGCATGATCTGAGCCTCTGCATCAATGGGAACAAACATCACACTTCACCATCGATCACTAACGAGCACGCGAGGGAAAATGTATGGCTTTTGCACGGTTTCAGGGACCAAGCACCACAGTATTGCTGGCCCCCTCTACCTCACCAAAGATGGTTTAATCTGGCCCTGGCTGGGATCAATAACGTCATTGAAGGACATCATTGAAGTTTGCAGGGCCGAAGTTGATGACTGTGATGAACATGCCCACGAAGATCACCATTCTGAGTCTCAACACGGGTGAAGTTGTCCCTAGGCAAGACTAGGACTGGACTGGGATGGAGAGGACGGAGAGGATGGAGAGGATGGAGAGGATGGATAAGAGGATGAAAGAGAATGAAAAGTTCTTTGACACGTTTGACGGTTTTAATCGTCGTTTCCCAGCGGCGTGCCTTCCCCCATGTCCTGCGAGTCTTGTCTGGAAGTACTCTTCTTGCTACACTTACAACCGGAAGAGACAAGGAAAGCGCCTGTGGCTTCTTCAGGTGTCTGACATCTCTTGCCGACAGGTACTCTCGCGAGACAAGTTCGGAGTATCTTTCCTCTACGTAAAGACCTGTCCCTCCCTTCTTTACTGACTCTTGATCCCACTTCAGACTCTCTTTCCTCTACGTGATGGCGTGGTTCCCCCGCTGCCTTCCAACTCGGAGCCTGGCGGTCTCGGTTGAGAGACGGGGGAAGCTGGTGGATATCGTATCTGCTTTCCATTCACTCCAAAAGACTTAGGTAGTCGTGCAAGATTAGATCTGGGACGACAAGTCACAAAGCGCAAGATAGTAGAGACGGTCGACTCTTTGCCTTGGTCACAATGGCAGAATTTAATCATCCCTTTGGCATTTAGACGCTCTTAAATCTCATCATCCCCTGCCGCATACGCGCGCGCACTTGACAACCCTGAAGCAAGCCAATGGGCCAGATGAATGTGGTGTCACCCTTTGTCAACCTCGTCTCCGTCGCCAACTTTACAGGACGGCATATGCTGAGACGTAGCTAACGCTGTAGTCGTCCGGCTGCTTGACCAAGTTGCTGCGGTCGTACTGGACAATCTTGAACCTGTACTTGGTCTCGTCGCCGCCGTTGCCAGCCTCCTTGGCCAGGAGCTCCAGGCCGGCCATGGCGACGCCGATGGGGTGCCTGCCGCACACCGTGTTGCGCGTCTTCTGGATGTTGGCCACAAAGGCGTCGTGCCTGCCGCTCGCCACGGCGTCCATGGCGGCCTCGTCGAGCCAGCGGATCGAGTCGTGGATGGGGGCGCCGCGCGGGGCGTCGTCGTGCTTGTCCAGATTGACGAGCGCAGAGAGGGTCTCGTCGGCGGAGTAGGCCGTGTACTGGTAGGGCGAGCCCCAGTGGCAAAAGTCGGAGCTGATGATGAAGGCGTTGTGCGGGTCCTTGAGATAGGGCACGAGGACGCGGCCCACGCTCTTCTCCTCGTCGAGGTCGTTGTCGCCGACGAGCATGGGCACAATGGCGGGGAAGTCGTGCGGCGAGGCAAAGGTCCTTTCACAGCACTTGTAGAGGTAGGGCAGGTGCATCTCGAGCGAGTGTTCCCTTTCGTCGTTGCGCTGCGGCATGTCGGCCATGGCGCCGGCTTGCTTGACCTGCTGGACGGTTTCGCGGTCCACGGTCAGGTCGCCAAAGGGGGTGGCGTACTTGGCAAAGGCGGTGACGGCGCAGCCCTCGAGGTAGTAGGTGTGCGAGGGCCCGAGGACGAAGACGCGCCTGACGTTGCGGAGGTCGAGGCAGCTGTAGGCCCAGGCGGCGCATTTCCCAGAGTAGTCGTAGCCGGCATGGCTGTTGCGGCATCGTCAGCCCCCTTGGTTTCGGCAGCAGCGCAATCAACCCGACTCACGGCGCAATCACCAGGCGGGCCCCGGGGACGGGCAGCGGCAGCGACGACGAGTCTTGCGGCTTCGGCACCGCGGCCAGGTACTCGTCGAGCCGGGCATGGAGACGCTGCGGATCCTTCAGGTACCAGGAGCCTGCCTTGCCTGCGGGGCGGGTGGCCATTGTTTTCGATGCTGCCTCGGGCTCGCCTCGGTTTTGCGTGAGGCCGTTGGTGATGGGGAGAGACGGTCTGCGCCGCGCTCGGCATGCGGGGTTGCGGGTTGAGGGGCGGTACGGCAATCGAGGTACCTTGCTGCTGGCGGCGCGTAGCCGGGCACCCTGTGCATTGAATTGAGCCTTGATCCAAGGAGCACGTCCTACGCCTGTGTTGATGGGTATTGTAGAGCTCACAGCTGTGTTTACTAAAACCCTCCAATGCTCCGGAGCTCTTACACAAGGCCCCCGTTCCTCATCGGGATGAGCGGTCCCCCGGCGCCCGGCCTTGGCGCGGTATTGCCCCACTTTGGATCCCGGGGGGGGGCTCCGGAACGTCTCCGCGCGCCTCTCCCGGCCCGGTCGGCGCGTCGCGGCACGTCATGCTGGGTCAGGGCTGGGTTTCCTTTCTCTCACGTCCCTTGCCCACCCGCGGCGGGGAAGTATTCACCTCTTCTGCATCTGTTGTCGACACTCGCATGCCAGCGTCAGATGGGTGAAACTCGGCTCGTCCACCACGTTTTTGTTTTCGCCGGCACGCACAACAGCATTGTGAACCAAGATGTGTCTGCACACAGTCCGTGCAAGGTGCGAGGCAATGTAGATGCCCGCATTTTCTAGGTGGCTGTCAGACTTGCCAGAGCCGCGGCCCGATCCGAACACGAATGGGTTGCGCCGTCAAAGCAATGAACTACCCAACAATGAAAACAGGGAAGCAGTCGAGAAGCGCCGAGCCGTCAGATGCAGGTAATCATGGGATCTTTTGCGAGCGGGGGATTGCTCTGCGACCTCGCATACCGCCTCGGCATGCCGTCGTTGCCCGCCTACTCACCTACTGTACCTACCTACCCTGCGTCATTTCACCTGGAGAGAGCACAGACGAAGGGGCAGATTCGGCTCGAGCCGGGGAATTGCCACAGGGGAAGCAAGAATGTAGCGGAACGAGTGGCTTCGCGTTTCGGGAAGCAGGGCGGCTACTCGATGACTCTCTCATGCCGCACGTGTCTCTCCGCTCCTTGTTGCCTCATCCGCCCGCCTGACGGTGTTTACATTTGCGTGTGCCTGTACTCCGTAGGGACGGATGTTAGTTATATTTGTGCCATTATCGACGGCCCCGGCTCCGGTGACGGGAAGCGGGCTCATCCTTGCACCTGCATGCGTGCATGCACACACATGCATGCACGCAATACTTGCTAAAGAAAACAAACAGCGCACACATCATGGCAACAAGTCTAATAAATGGCCGCTGTTACCTCCGTCGAGCACCTACACGTGGCCCTGCTGTGGCGCCCTCCGACAGCTGGAACCCCCTTGGATACTGGAACGGAGCAGGGACCGTCCCCGTTGTCCGTCCAGGGCCAGTGGAAAAGAAGGGGTCCGCTCCGCTGTCGGCGCCGGTGCCCTCCCCCCCCCCTCCCCCCACGGCCGCTACCCGATGCGGTGCAACCAGGGCCTGCAGCATGTGACGCCGGACGTGTGTCGCCGCGAGCTTTCCCTTCGTTATTCCTGTGCAGCGATCACGCAAGAGGAGTGAGTGCTCGTGCCCTGGCAGAGCGGCCAAGACGGCGAGTCCCTCCGCAATCAGGCCATTGACTGCCTGCCATGTGCACCGGCCATCGCATCCCACGCGCCACCCGGTGCGCGCTGCTCCCATTCCTACATTGTTTGCTCCCCGTCATCTGCATGTATGTGTGTGCATGTATGTATGTTGGTCGTCGGCCTCTGTCGAGTCCATGGCCCGCTCGTCTTATTACCTAGGTACCTATTGCTATAGTACGTACTAGGTAAGTTACTTACTGTACCTACTAAGCAGCATCCCTCCCGCCCCTTCACGCCCTTTTGTTTTTCCTTCTCTCTCGTTTTTCCCACTCCTGCTTTCCCTCTCTCCTCCCTCTCCTCCCTCTCCTCCTCCGGCCTCTTGTCGTTTTCTTTTCTTCTTAGTCCTTCGCCTTTCAATGCCCTCATAGTTCAGCGTCCTCCGCTCCAGAGGCCCGCCCGCCGGCTTATCAATCAACCATCGCGTGCTCGCTGTACCTGTACTTCCTGCCACGACACCCCGCCGCCGAGACTCCACGCCGAGGCTCCACGCCGCAAGTACTGTCTGTATAGGCCCCTCGCCACTCGCTAGAGCCTTCAACAGCAGCCCAGGTGCCCGCTGCACCTGCAGCCGTGGTGCTGTTCCGGGAACCGGGCCCTGATTTTTCGTCTCGTCATCGTCCGCCCACCACCACCGCCTCCATCCTCATCATCCTTGCCCAACGCAGCTTCACCACCCCGTGACAAGGCCGTCGACTGCATCGCCAATCCCTCGCTCGCGGTCCTCCACGCGCCCGCCGACCGCCCGCCGACCGCCCGCGCGCCCCTCGTCGCCACCATGGCGGGCTCTTCCAAATGGGCGTGGTCCAAGAGCACCCGCATCAAGGTCATGCTCGTCATCGACACGGCCTTTTTCCTCCTCGAGCTCATCGCCGGCTTCCTCGCCCACTCCCTCGCACTGACTGCCGATGCTTTCCACATGGTTCGTCGCGCCCGGCCCTCGCAAGCATTCCCTGCGCTTCCCCCGCCAAAACGAATACCCCTCGCATGCTCCTACTTTGTACTGACAATGGCCCTCTAGCTAAACGACATCATTTCGCTCTTCATCGGCTTGTGGGCTGTCGTCGCCGCGCAAAAGGAGACGACGGACGAGTTCACATTCGGGGTATGTTGCACAAGACCCGTTCCCTCCCCGGAGAACCTTGGGCTAATCGCCTCTCCCCCGTAGTGGGTGCGTGCCGAGATCCTCGGTGCCTTCTTCAACGCCGTCTTCCTCATTGCCCTCTGCGTCTCCATCGTTCTCGAGGCCCTCACCCGCTTCGTCGAGCCCCCCGAGATCAAGAACCCGCGCCTCATCCTCATCGTCGGCTGCGCCGGCCTCTTTTCCAACTTGCTCGGCTTCGTTGTTCTCGGAGGCCACGGACATTCTCACGATCACGACCATGATCACGACCATGAAGAGGGCCACGGCCACCGTCACCAGCACGACCACGGCCATGATGTGGAGCAGGGTACACTGAGAACAGATGTTGCAAACGAGGATGGCCCCGTCAACGACGTCCTGCCCGAGGTCGTTGTCAGGCGAGCCACCAATGCCGGCCCTGACCGATCCGGGTCCGACAATCCCGACAGTGCCCGCCGCATTCGATTCGGAGCCGACACCGCGGGCCACGACGAGTCCAACGCAAAGAGCAGCCGCTCATCTGCCCAGCCCAGAGGCCGCCGCCGCCGACAGTCCAGTAAGAGCGGGCATTCGCGCTTCGCCAGCATCGAGGACATGAGCATCCACCCGGCCAGCTTTCGGCAGGATATCATCGCCGCCAGCCTCGCCGCCTCTTCGTCCAACCAGGGCCAGACGGCTGAGAGCGACACGGGCGACGAGTCTCCTGTGGCAGACTCGGAGACCGAGGCGAATGAAGAGTCGCCTCTCCTCGCGTGCGCCAAGGGTGACCACGGGACCGTCAACGATAAGTCGCGCTGCACCTCGGTCCCCAAGAAGCGCCGCTCCCGCCGAGATTCGAGCGTCCACGACGGCCACAACCACACGCTACCCCGCAAGCCCGGCTCCAAGGCCAGCGGCCACAACCACGCCGACATGGGCATGAATGCCATGATGCTCCACGTCCTCGGCGACGCGCTCGGCAACGTGGGAGTTATCATCACGGCCCTCATCATCTGGCTCACCGACTGGCCGGGCAGGGTCTATGCCGATCCCGCCGTCTCCCTCGTCATCACGGCCATCATCCTCAAGACGTCCATCCCCCTCACCATGGCCACGGCCAGGGTCCTTCTGCAGGCAACGCCCGAGAACATCAGCATCCAGGAGATCCGCCAGGATATTGAGAGGCTGCCCGGCGTCGTCAGCTGCCACCACATCCACGTCTGGCAGCTCTCCGACACAAAGGTGGTGGCCAGCCTGCACCTCCAAGTGTCGTTCCCCATCAACTCGCACAGCGGTGAAAAGTACATGCAGCTGGCCAAGCGGGCCCGCAAGTGCCTTCACGGCTACGGCATCCACAGCGCCACCATCCAGCCCGAGTTCTGCCTCGACCAGACGCACCAGCACGACCGAGACGCCGCGGCCCTTGCGCTGGACGGGCCCGTCGTCAACACTGGCGACAGCGCCTGCCTCCTGGCGTGCGTCGACGACTGCAAGGCGCAGGGGTGCTGTCCCACGCAAGACGCCTCGTCGCAGCCTTCGACTCGCCGAGGTAGTGACTCATCGCAGGCCGGGGCCGCCGGTCCTCGTCAGCAGTCTTAGCTGGACGCGTTCCCTGGACGGCTGTACCATTCTCGCGAGTAGATGAGCGCTGGCGATGGGAGGGGCGAGAGTGAAGGGGCTCGCCGTGCAATACGGATGCGATGCTCGTTTGTCGTCGACGCACGGCATGTACAACACTTTGGACGGGGCCTGGTCCCTGGACGGGATCCGAGGCTCTCGAGACGGATATTTCGGTCACGCTTATTTCCTTACTTAGTATCTTTTCCACCCCTTTTCTTTTGTTTATGGCCTCCGGACTACCCTGGAGCCAAGCGTTGTTGAGTGCGAAGGGCTGGCTTGCTAGCGCGGCAAAGACTGAGATGGCGAGCCGATGGGATGCGTGAACTGGGAACTGTGCGGTGCACCCGCTCGTTCTTGAGGGTAGGGTTCGTGATGGGTCGGGTGCGGGAACGCGAAAAGAATAGATGGCCGCAGCGCAGAATCGACCCGCTCTCGTGTACAAGGCGTAGGGGGTATGTCCGCAGGAGGTCTGAGCCGGGGGCTTGTGGAAGGAGTGTTGCCATGCTCTCGAGCATCTGCCCGACTGAATGGACCGGTAGACTCTGCTCTTTGGACTTGTAGACACGAGGGCAATGATATCGACGTGACCGTACGCGCCCTCCTCGGACGAGTGCGGCGACGCGCGGCGGAGGGGAGAAGCTATCGCTGGGACGCCCCCGTACGAGGAGGCTGCTATGTGCTCTCCTCGCCAAGGGGGGGGCTGACCAGCCTGTCCATCCCCTTCCTCTGCCCATTGACGTGCGCCCATCGCCGTCTAGAGAAACTCACCCCTTTCCCCCAAGGGAGGGAGAGCCGCAAGCATCCCGTCAGCGAGTCTCCCGGTTCATCGTCCCAACACCTCCCCCCTTTCCCCCTGAATTGAAAGGCAAACTTGGCAGGCAGATTTGGACAACCACGCCGGGGCAGCAGGCACTGACGCCAGCAAGGCCCTTTGCACAATCCATCGTCGCAATCTCTCTCTCTTCAGGGCCATGGCAGCACAGCCATGCACTTGCATGGGAGGAGAAGTAGTAGAAGTAGCGGTAGTCACACCCCCTCCCCCCCGTTTCTTTCTAAATCCAGTTCCTTTCCTAGCGGGAACGGTCCGGCGGTGCTGAACAACGGGGGAAGTCCCAGCTTCCACCGCCTTCTGGAAAGTCGATGCTTACAACATGGGATGCAAGGATGGAATCAGGGACGGCTGTCACAAGACGGCCAGGAGTCGCGTGTAGAATCATCTGAACATTCAGCTCCTCTCAAAAGCAGCACAGATCTCTCTCTATTCCCCACCTGTCACGGAATATCGTCATCGAGATAGTCATCCCGGCTGGGGGGGGGGTTATTACGGGAGGGGAGACATGCAAAGGCCAGCCTTGGAAATGAAGGTGGAAGAGGAAGAGGGGCTGAAGCGGAGGTGCTCGGGGCTCGGCACCGGTGACGGCCTGCGCCTCTTTGCCCATGGCTCCGGGGCACGGGGCCGGGCGGAGCGGAAGGGAGAGAGGGGGCAGGAGCAGAAAGGGCCGAACGGAGAGGAGCGAGATTTGGACAAGGAAACAGGGAGGCCAGCGCATTCATGCACCCCTCACGACGTCGAGCCCCCCCTCGGTCACAAGGCTGTCATCGACGATGGCCACCCACAACCCGCCGGCCGGCCGGGTTTAGATGGCGGAACCCTCCCCTGACGGACCCGGCAAGATGGGAAGGGATGCATGCTTGGATCGCTTCGCCCCGCCCGCCCGATCATGGAAGGATGTCGGTTCTGGGAAACCCAAAGAAAGTCGGCGCCGACAAGGACGTCCATGGATGCTAGAGGTTGGGCACACGTGGCGAGCATCAAAGATGGTTTGCGCACGCACATCTGCCTCTGTCCTACAGACTAGCCCAGGATGGACAGCCGGAGGGGCGAGCCGACTGTTTCGAAAGAACGAGAGGCTAGGAATCTAGCATGGAAAATCCCCGTCAGCGGAGGAAGACGTGGTTGCAAGAGTAATGAATCAAGATACCAGCAAGAAGACGCATTGGAGCGTTCGTCATCTGTGATCCCGAGCCCGTTCCACATGGCCGTTGGATGGCCCAAAAAGGGGGGAGGGGCCCGGCCCAACGAGAAAGGGGGGGACCCTGCCGAGGCTCGTTCATGCTCGCATCGGATTCTCGATATCGTCTCATTTCCGCATTCCCCTCCTTTGGCCCATGTTGCCTCCTTCTGCTCATTTCTAGTCCATCGTATTTTGGGTTTCCCGATGCCCGATTTCCCCGAGGGTCGGTCGGGGTGCAGATACCCATCCATGGACGCCCTTTCCCGCGCCAGCCCGCATGCATGTTGACTCTGCCCTGCCAGAGTCAGCATTGTTTGGATTGGTGCGGAACACTCGGCCAGTAGCAGCAGCGAGTAGAAGAGCCACCACCTTTGACTCGTAGTGGTTCAACGGCGGTCCTAGTGCTGATGATGGCCCGTCTTATTCGACTTACACCATGTTGGTCCCCGGCGCGGCATTCGTAGCAGCATCTCGGCTTTCTGCATCTTGGTCTTCGAGCCGAATACAACACTTCGGCTCCAGACTTTCCGCACCTCCTCCTCACCCATGATGTAACCTCGCGTGGTCGAGTTGCCGTCGACGGGTCCCTTGCCGGCCTGAAAACTCCGCAGCGTCGCCCGGGAGCATCGTATCAGACAAACTCCGTAGATGCGCTTGGCTTTCTCTTCATCGACGCATCCCCCCCCCCCTTCTTCATTTCCCTTCACACATGGGCGTAGAATTTCATCGAGAAACAACTGGCCGATACTGACCCCGATGATAAAGACATACTGACTCGCTCTAGGCCATCCCATGTCCACATCGTCTTCCTAGTCGTCTCGTTAGCCTGCTCGCTAGCCTGCTCGCTACTCACCACCACCTTCTCTCGCCTCCCGCGCCGCCTCTCCCGACTCGGCCCTGCCGGGCGGCCTAGTAAGGAGATGATGGATGGTCGAGTCCGGCTTTCATCCGGCGACGTCGCGCTGTCAAAGACGAGCCTCAAATGTCAACATGAGTCGTCGTCGTCGTTGTTGACATCCAAACATCACCCCCTCTCCTCCCGCCGCCACGGCCCCCAAAGCCACACGCATCTGCTGCCGTCTCGGTCACTAGCACCATGCAGGGCCATCTACAAAGATGCTTTCGCGTCTGCTGCTTCCAAGTCCGTGGTGTTTGAGCCTGTCTCACGTCCCCAGACCATCTCGTCCTCTGGGCCAAGCAGCGAATCAAGCGGCCATGACTCGGTCCCTTGGCTGCAGACACTTCTCTCGTGGAGCCTGTACCGTTCGTAGCTGAGTGTGTAGCGCCGCCGCCGATCCCCGTCACCCCGCAAAACCGTCAGCCTCTCAGGCCTCTCAGCTTGCCTGTGGGATAATCGCAACTGTTGGCGCGCGCCCATTCACGAACGAGAATGCCTGTTTACGCATAATGCACCCCATGTCTCGACCGACTTGGCCTCTGCCCATCGCGCAAGCCTGCCACGCTTTGCCAAGCCGGGCTACCTGCCTCGCAGCACGCAACACGAACGACGGCGCGGGCACGCGCCACCACCTTGGACTCTGCCTTGGAGGGTACGGATACCTGCGCGATACGGTGCAGCGCGTCGGCTCTCGTCCCATGGATAGCTCCCCGTGTTCATGTGCGGACACGCAAGCAGCGCGAATGGCTCACATCAGTCGGGCCACATGTCAACGACTGGGTAGGGGTGTCCGTTTTGTGCCAAGTCTGGGACGGTCTTTGCTGCAAGTCTGAGATGCGGGATATCTTTTGCTCCTCAGCTCCCTGCCAAAACCTGTAAGATGCAGGCCCGCGGCCTCGGGAAAGACCAAGATGCCGTCAGATCCCATCTCCTGGCAGGGCGCTGGTAATGCAAGATTGCCTTGGCAGCGTCATTGTTTCTCTCCGGCCTCGGCCGCTCTTGTGGAGCTGGGTCATCATGCCCTCACGGCCGTGCTTTGATCCGCATCTAAGCCAATCCACACCGAGCCGACCATGGCGCAGCATGGCTGGCTGAGAGTATCTCCAACCAGTCACCGGTGTCTTCGGGCCCGGACGGAGTTGTCTCCTTTGTTATGCAACCATCTCCCCCCTTGGTGTTTGACTTCTCCCTCGACTGAACCTTGTCCGGAGCCCGCGGTAAGTCGAGGCCGAGTTGTTGGTGGGATGGCGATGGACCGGCGGCGGCCATTACAGCGCCCTTTTTGATGCAGAGGCATGCCAATGGGCAAAGCCCGTTTGTTCCCTGCCTCCCGGTACTTTCGGGGTGCAGCAAGGTGTAGCTGAGCCAGCTCGTTTTCAGAAGAGGACATGAACGTTATTGGGGCAGCACGGACGAAGTCATGGCAAGCCTGGATGTCCAGGCATGTTGAAGGCGGCAAACGCCAAAGAAACCGTCGTCCGCTTTGCACATGAGGTCTCGCACAACCAGCACCTGGGTTTCCGCAAGAGGTACTACATGTGCGTAGTCAGCACCCTCATTGCTCCCTGGTTTGGTGTCTTGATAGCCTCAAGAGGCGACGCGTCGGCAGACTTTGGCGCGACGTCTTGGTGTGTCATGGACACTGCCAGCCATGCACGCTCGGCTTTGCCTCATGTGTGATGTGTCATTGCAGGTCCGGCCAAGCGGCACATGGTCGTAGTAGCGTGGAGTAGGTCGTCGTCGGGGTCCGCTAGCCGGGCCCGCAGAGGGTCTCGCAGCTCCGGCACGGTACATTGATGGAGATGTATGGCTGCATCGTCATTGGCGGCGAACACTTCCTTGCCGACATTGTCGGGGTTGGGGACGAGTGGGAAAAAATTGCGACGTCGGTGATGAATTCGGCGAGCCCCAGATGTGCGTGGCTGTCAACCATGTCTGACCGCCATTGCCCATGGCTGCAGATGGAGCAGTGCCGCAATCAGCATCCCGACGTCTGCCACACGAGACGAGATTGTCAATGGCTCCTCGTTGTCGGCGGAAGGCTTTGCTCGCTGTGGAATCGCAGG